CTAACTCAATATACTAAAAATTGATGAATTGTATGCCGATGCGATCAACACCTCAAACACTGATGGAATGGACATATAAAAAATGAATATTGGATTATTTATCTTATGATTGCTCGAATGGTTATATACTTTTTGTTATAATTTATTATATTATCCCATTAAAAAAAAAAAAAAAAAAAAAAAATAAATATAATGGGGTTCACTCTTCTGTTTACACTTGCAATGTAGCCGACCGGATGAGTAAGATTTTAGGTAGTTATGAGTGCCATAATAGCGAAATGAAATCTCGATACCGACAAGCCTCTATTCAGTTCTTTATCGTCGGCGCCGATGCTATTTCGGGCGATCGTACGAGTATTTGGCAAGCTCTATGACGTGATTGTGACGTCGTAGTGACGTAATTTTTGGATGGCGTAGTCAGGTGAGGGTTAGGATTGGCATGTCAAAAAATTGTTATGCTACGCCTACTAGAAGTACGTTAGGTACGAAACTACACGAGACCCTTCTCGACTACCAGACTCCCGACAACTTACCGTACTGTACTTAGCCCCCTTTTCGCATGTTCGCTAGGAATTTAAGAGTTAAAATCTTATACACTAGTACGGGTACATTATGCCTGTGAAGAATTTGTGTACCGGTATGTCTGTAACACAGTATTATGTTACTGGTCTGCGATTAAAGGGATTCCGAAATTTTGAGTAACATCTACACAGGACCGGTATCAGCACATGCAACTTCCTTCATTTCTCAAATATTTAAGAAACCACGAACCAGGAGTATCCGCCTATCTTCGCGTTTTGTTCATTGTCTGATTGTGCTAAACTTAGAAATACGCTCGCCGCCACACCTCTGATTACACTCCATGGGTTCGCGGGTTCGAATCCCATGCGGTGATAGTTATGTGCGAGAGGGTTGTTGTTGAGAGATTGTTTGAAACCTATCACATTATTTGGATAAGTTTTTCAAGCTGTGGAAGTCGACGGTTGAGGTTATGCACCATCAGCAGTGTTTCTAGAACGAGTGAGGTATAAATTTCAGAATTAGCACATCATAAAGTAATTTGTCTATCTGATAAAAAAGCAATCTGAAGTAGTATGATGATCTGCTACAACATTGCTACTTATTAATTGTTTGTAAGTCATTATGTTGATACCGTATTTAAAAGGCTTACCATTTGCTTTTACTGATTTTGTTTCTGAATGGAAATTTTGTTTGACAAATGGATTATTATATAGATTTATAACACTTCTTAAATGTCATCATATGATGCTACATTTCTTCTGTCCCTGCAGAACTGTTTGTCATCCACTCAATTTTTAATTTTTTTGATTTTAAGATATATTAAACCATTTTTAACTTTGGTCTATATCGAAGAGCGCTTTGTATAGAATAGAAATGGACAATTTATTTGGGAAGGAACAACAAACATATGTACTGATTGTTGAAAATATTTCATAATAATATTGAAAAAACGGTTTGTAATGATTGCACATGAATTATAATAAGTTGAGCATTATCATAATTACTATGAACCAAGCAGATGTTTGGGCTGTGATAATAAAGAAAATGAGCTTTGGAAATATTCACGTCAAAGATTTAAGTTCAATTTGTGAAATTTTCGCAGCTACTAGCTTGCGAAAATAACTTCAGGAAGAAATACATGTCGATGTAGTTTTATATGATACATTCAGCTTAAAAGTAATTTTGCAAGCTTGAAATTTTGCACAGATAATCTTTTGTGAAACTGTGTTTTTGTGAGAGCAAGCTTAAATATGAATGCACTTGTGAGAATGGTATTTTGCAGTTTGACCACATAAAAATGAATTTCTCTGTGATGACTGATTGATGATTGGATTTTATTAATAAAAATAAGGTTTTTGTTGATTGCTCACTTCACACTTCAATTCTACAGTGTAGTGTAGTAGGAACTCCTTGTTTAGAAAAATACTACTTTAAAGTTTTTATAATATGTAATAAACTTTTACTGATTTTTAGGGATGAAGTGATATTAATCCTTTGATTTAAATAAAGTTTTTCTAGAATGCTCTAGCTCTAATTCCAAAGTTTTTATTCTGTATTTATTTCACTTTGTCTTTCAGAATAAATTGGAAATTTTCTTCAAAAAAATTCTGTTCAATCTATCCTGTTTTCATAATTACAGAACTTACACTGTCAATTTTCTCGTCAATAGTCAAGAGGTTGTTGTGTAAGTTTACATTGGCTCATTTGTATTTATAGCTTTAGAATGATAGGCTATTCTATAATTTCAAATTGATAATCTCATAGTGCGGAAAATTGTAATACCTGCCAATTTTATATGGTTGAGTTAACATGAAAAATAGGTTTGAACTTGAACTTGAAATTATGTTTGAAAGTTCCTCTTTTGTTTTTGAACTGGCTTTTGCTGCAAATAAACTCTTTTACTGCAAAAATAAGATTCTGATTATGATAAATTTTTAAAAATGTTTTTTTTTCTATATAGTACCATCAATTCAAAATTTTGTCCTAGGTTTTTCAATCATTTTTTATAGTTTACAAGTGTAAAAATCCTGTTTGTTATCACAATTTCATATTCCTTGTTACTCCAGCTATGCAAAGAGGAAATCAGAGTTTAATGTGTCATGAGTCGTTATCATTCATCTCATGAAATGCAGGTTACTCACGCTTTAGAGATATTGCTTTCATAATTTGTTATTTGGAGTAAAAAATTGCAATATTACATTGGTATCCATATGAGAAAGCTTAGGCCTATAATCCATACTTCAACAAACTAAATTGATTGTGGGTTTGACAATTTGATTAAATACTTGAATTTATAGGTATGAGTGTTGGATGTTTGTTTGCTTGTAAGTTTTTCATTTAGATATAACATATTTTGTACCACCTGTTTTATCATCTTGACGAGGTTTTAAAATATTTAAAACCTTTCATGTGGAATCCTTGAAGAATTTAGCTCGTTAGTAAATTTACAGTTGGGTATTTGAGTAATACAGGGTGTTCATAAATTCCTGTATTATTAAATTGAGTGAAAACTTCGATGTGCTGATGATGGACATAATTATGAAGGTGTAATAAATCAAGTCAAAAAGCTTTGGGTCATTGTGAATAGGACTTTATGTTCACTTTCTGGTACTTTCTTTTCATGTAAATTCATCCTTATCAATTACATTAATTTATAATTTTATTGTTGGGAGTTGGGACATACATAATTTTACGAATAGTTAAACCAACATGAGTTAATTTAACTTTGTTTGGTAGGTAGTATAAAAAATTCTGCTTTGTTTGTTGCCTTGTGTGGTAATTATAAGCTTTCTGTCACAATAGCTTATTTACCGCGATATATCAATGCCAATCCTAATAATTGCTATAGGATTGTGGTCATCGGAATATTTTGTTTATACATAAGATAGAATAATTTTCATGTAAATAAAGTATCGTATATGAGAGAGCACTTTTGTAGTTAAATACATGCATTCTATGATGTGTAATCATATTCCTATCAAGTTTCATAAGGTTAAGGTTTCCTATTTTGTGTTGTGTAATTCCATATAAATATGTCAATCATAAACATGAAACAAAAAATAAATTGCAATGTTACAGTTGTATAAGTTAGTGCATGTCATGAATAGATTGAAATATAAATTTGGTAATTTTTATATTGAAAGTATAATATCATATAATACCGGTTGTTTTATTGATTTGTTTGTTACCTTTGATAAAAGTCAAGGCTATACCAATTTATCTACCAATTTCATCGGCAGTCAAGTGGATACCAGGGCTCTCATGTTTGAGTAAGAGGTGTTTAAACAAATAAAAACAGATGTCATTACCAGTATTATTATGAGATGAGAGAGTCTGAGTAACATTAGTATCTAATCGATGTATTTAAACTACAAATTGAATCTCATTATTTTTTGCAAAATTTTATGAGAAGTCTTTCATTCATGGGGTGTATTCCATGGAAAACGTTTATTAAGATAGTATTCAAATGTCTGATAATAAGTACTTATACTGGGAAAATTTAGTCTATGCAAACATTAACAGGAGCTTTCAGGGTTAGGATTTCGAGCTATTGTTTAACATATAAATAAATCGTTTTTGTGCACTGGAGATAGAAACATCTTTTTGTTGAAATTCTATTGCTGCAACATACTGATAAGGAACTACTAAGACACACTATATTAGCAGATCTTTCCCAGCTAATATAATCTTATATATGGCAGAGAATTCTTGCTGGTAAATTATGTCAAAAATCTGTTTGTTAGTTTGTGCCTCAATTTTTTGTATTTTAAAATTGTTACGGGTATTTTCCCTTTATCCAAATATTTCAAACTAAGTTTTTAATGCCAAATCCATAGTTTATAAATATGATATAACACTTCCACTTTTGTCTTAAAAATATAACAGATTTTTTTTTTATAATAGTAACATAATAATTTTATGCGAGTTATACAGGGTGTTCATTAATAAGTCATGCTACAATTTTCATTTGTTGTGAAGTCAGTTCTCATATATTTAATTTCAAGTTTGTTTTATTTTATTTAGTAATTTTTTTTTTACCTCATTTGACACATGTTCAGATTTAAAAATGAATTCTATATTTCTACCCTTTCAAGACATTTGAAAGATATTTCACATGTTTTAAACTTTTTTAAAGGTGTAGCTCGCTCTTCAGAATTCTTCATTTTTGATTTGTGTGTAATATAAATAAACTATCTATCACCTGTAGGGACCTACAAACAATATATTGTATCAATAAGTTCCCAGCAACTTGAAAAATTCCATGCCTTTATGATGACCCTGCATAACTGAATTTATTGTTATGTATCAATCTGGGCAACAATTTCGAAAAATCGAATAACATCAACGTAATAAATTTATTTTATAATTCTTATAGATCTTAAATTTATAAGCACTTACAATGTATTTAGTTATAGTGGATGTTTCGTCCTAATTATAAATTTTGAAGGCCGCATGTAAATGCAGCTAAAGCCTGTATTCTGTTAACAGATTTTTCTTCAATAATTTAGACTCTCAATCATTATTATTAATTGTAATTTAAATTGAACAATTTTTCTCATTTGTGATGCATTATACCATAACCGTCACTACTTCTGGGTGGCTTCACCAGTATTTCTGTTCTTTCTTCTGGAGTTGAAATCAAGGTTAGTACATTTTATTATACTAATATATTATTCTTTTTGACATGATCCATAAATAAACAGTATCCCAATAAGGAACTCAACGTATGACCACGCTTATTTGAACATAAATATCATTGTGGTTTTAAAACAGGACAAAATGTAAACTATTCCTGTTTGACCTTTATCATCGTAAATTACACTGTGATCTCTTAGAATTAGTGTGACTAACTTAACTTGAATGTGGCAATTAAGATTGTCATCACAACTCGTTTAGAAGGTGTTTAGGAAACTGTAATGCAACTATGAGCGTTAATTCGTATAAACTTATGTCGTTTATTATTGTTTAAATTGCTTAGCTTCACATATTTTCAGTTACGATAAATCCTTATTTTGCCAAATACTGAATCAAAATATAAACTAATTCTGGGTATGAAATTGAAATGCACACATGTCTGGGGCAGTAATTGTATAAACTGATTTAGTTTATTATTGTTTAAAATGCTTAGCCTTATATATATTTTCAGTTATAATAAATCTTTATTTGCCCAAATACTAATTTAAAATGTAAACAAGATTAGGGTATCAATATTGGGTAGGCCTATTATGTATGCCTTGGCAGTGAGTCCTGTTGGGAAATAAGAAAATGGAAAGGATAGTTTTTTACCTAATGTTTTGTCAATAAATACTAAGCAGTCCGTACTCCGTACTATAATTTAAATAATTAGTATAGGGCATATTCGAGATTTGCTCCTTATAAGGATTTTCATATTGAATTTTTTTTTGTTTTTTACATTGTAACTTTGGGTTTTATTTTAGTTTAAATATAGATTGAATTGGTGCCTGCGAAGTCATAATTCATGTTGGCTCGCTTCGTGAAGTCTGATATCATAATTTCCATTCAAAAATGATGAGTTACATTAAAATACCGTCACAGTTTTTAAAAACCTGTTTTGAAGACCTGTTACAATTTCATAATGCAAATCATGTTCCAATAAATGTCTTAAAAACCTGCACCCAAATCTCAGTCCTCAGTCAACTAAAACTGCTCATTCACACAGAAAATATGTTATATAATCAAGTCCTTGTGACTGCTTCATTTCTGCTTGCATAATTTCCTAAACCTCAAATTAAATTATGTGGGTAGTTGCACATTGTTTGCTGGTATGTCGATACAGTGTTTCATTGTCTTTTCTTCAATTTTAGTTTTATTGTATTATTGAAACGCCTGATATCCGCCTGATAGCCTATCCTTTTGGTAACACAGAATGTTAAATGTTTTCTGGAATTTTTATATATTTTTCCCTTTTCTCTTATTTTATTACAAAATATGCTAATTGTTTTTCTTTGTCATATAAAATTGAAGCATCCAATCCAAATTAACAGTTTATTAAACTTTTTTTGAATGTGACTATTTAGGTAAGGTGTTAAAAAAAAATATTCAAATTTTTATGTTTTGTAAAATACCATACTTAATTTGGTACCAACAAAGAAAATCGATTCACTGTAACTGGGCAGTTTTATCAAATTCTGATCATGAATTACCAATGCTGCTTGTCACACTCGGTTGATTTTTGGATTGGATGTTGTTTATTATTGCTATTGTAGACAAGACTCTAGTCCTGTTGGGTCTTTGTGAGCGAAAATTGTGTGTTTATGAAATAATTTGCCAAGGTTGTGTTTTGTGTACAGCACTGTGCAGTGTGCACCCAGCATTTTTTGCAAAGATGAAACGGGTGAAGGGTTTTTCAGTTAGGGTTTTGCTATAACATGCTCATGGTCTTTAATATTATTAATTAGCAGTTTTGGTATTTGCTTGAGTTGGTAGTTTCAAAAATTTTGTACTTATAGTCAATGTACAGTATTTCTTGTATAATACGCCAAATACGGTTAGGTTTAATTATGCTGAACATAATATAAATTACCTAATCTTTTTGGAATCAGGATCAAAATTGTCCAGAATTTGGGCCCATATTCTGAAACTGGCAAATAAAGTAATGTATCCTTATATGTTATTATTTCATTTTTTATTTTAGCTATTTATATTCAAAAACACCTGAAAAATATCTTCGAATTGTAAACAAACTACCCAACCTGCTTTCATATAGAGAAGTTTTATCAAATTTTTCACACTATCTAGCTATGATTTCTATTGAATTTCATGCTCATTTTCAAAATTCATCATTCTAGTTTTTGTAAAAAAAAAATTCATTTTATGCTAATTCATAAACTCATTGCTTCATTTTTTGCCACAGTCGTCACACTGAAATTAAAAGCAAATCTCAAAATTTTGAAGGGAAAGATGATGCAGGATTATGGATCGATCGACCACCAAGCAGGTGAGATGGATAAAACAGTTAATACCGGTATTTCTAGATGATAAATTTAAATTTTGCATCTTTTCCATTTTTTTCAAGTATTCAATGTTTTATTTAATAGGCTATTCAATTATTATATCAATTATTTAATTTGGTTATTTGAGCAAGTATTAATACCGATGTATAAACAATTTTTCGTCAAGATTCAATTATATTTAGTCCAATTAGAATTTCAATTTTATTATGGAATCATGTTTGTTTTATTTTGTTTTATACAAACAATATTTGGTATTGGTGAATTCCCTTTTCAATTCAAAATATGTTATTAAGATTTAGAACGCAACGTAATGTCCAAAAACATACTTTTATTGCTACTGGTATATCCATATGCCAGAAATTTATATTTTTTAAAATTGCTTATATGATTCATGCAAACTACTGGGCCCTAGTTTGACCTATTCTGTAATGAGGATGTGAACGCTCTGATGAGTTTGCTCATGCACTGTATTTTCTATATTTAATTCAAATAAAATTGTCAATTTTGAATTTTGAATCAAAATTCTATTCATTTTGCAGTATTTAGTTTTAGATTTTTTAAGTCCATAATAGGCTTAATACCAGTGTAAATGACATTCAATAAATATTGCATTTGTTTTAAATTCCATATGTTAGACTTTCATACTGACAAAATGTAAACAATCAATTTAAAATCTTTACCGTTTGTATTCAGAATTCAATGTGTGCTCCTTGGTTTTCTCACGTAAATCACTTCCTCTGTTGCGCACCATTGAAAATGAAATATAGATCTTAATAAAACTAATAACACAAATTAAAATACTGAATTAATAATGTAATATTGAGTCATTGCAATTTGAATAATTTCAATCCATGCATCTACAGTGTCAGCTTTCAGACAACATACATTATTAATGTGTAGATTACATGTGTTTCAGTTATGAGTTATATCACATATGGGTAATCTATATCATGTAAATATTCTTGCAAAACAATATTATGTTTTGTTGCATAATTTATTTTTCTGGTAAATGTTATGTTCTGACTTATAGTACGGCAGGGTGATGTGGTAATATACATTTTGTCAGATTTTAGTGGGTCTTTCGGTTTGAAATATTTTGAAAAGTTGCGCATTTTATTACTTTTTCACCTAAGGTCACGTTTCCTATCCAGGAAACAGCACTTCTTCCAGCACTTGCTGGAGTATTACTAATATTCTTCATTAATGCAATAACACTTATGTGTACACATTATAAACTACCGTATATCCTCGCATAAAAACCGAGTTTGAAACTCAAAAAAAAGTTGCCAAACTGAAGGGTCGACTTATACGCGCATAACTCTGATCGCACTAAAGGGTCGGCTAATGGTTATCATTTTCAATAATTCTCTTCTGCAACCATTCGCTGTGATATGTGTTACGATTTGTAGGGTCGGCTTATATGTGAATTTTTATAAATTCACTGTTTTAGGACCGTTTACATACATATTTACTACTGTTCAAAAGCCAGAGTGCACCTTGTGCATAACGCTAGCTAAGGGTCCATAAAAGATTGAACAAATAAAGTGGTTTTATGGGTAGTGAGGGAGAGAGAACTAAAGAGTTCCAAAACGAGCAAAAGAAGGAATTAGGGTAATTGTAAGGTTAGAAACCATTGTGGCTATAGCTTTGTTCAGTAAACAAACCCAGATTTTACAGAAATTCAGACTTTTATAAAATGCTTTACTTTGAGTTCCCTTTTTTAATTTGTGTATTACCTTTGTCTCCAAGCTATCAAAATGTAATAAAACATTATTAGAAATTATCCAATAATATTACTTTTTAAAGTTTTCGAATTATAATATTGTTTTGAGTCGCGAAAGTAAAAAAATGCAATTTTCTTTACGCTTGACATTAACTAGCAAATTACTGCAACATAATATAGTCTAGTACACAAAAGCACTTGATTTTGTTTCACATTGCTGTGGTATAAGGCTTTGTTTGGCGGAGTTTTGGCATAAACAATAGACAGTGGAAAATATAATGATAGTCGGGCTACAAAAATCTTTTCATTCACAGTAATTGTAATTTATATGGTATTTCGATGTTTCTTTGCTTTTTGAAGGGCAAAAGTAAGTTTTTTATGTATTATTGAGGACATTTTTAAGATTTGGAATTTTTTAGTACTTCCAAGTGTAATATGTTGTAATAAGTTTATTGAGAACAGAATTTTTTTGAATTGTAAGATGAGAAAATGTATTTTATACTACAATTAAAGTACATGCAAGATGCAACTATGCCTTAATTACCAAGTAAAAACTCTAATATTGTGTAATATGTAACCAAATTTCAATGATAATTATGAATATTCTTTGAAATCTTTAAATAAATGTACATTAGACCTGATATTAGAAATCATTGATAGTCCGTCTTATCTTGGAATATAATGATTTAATCGAATTTGATACTTGCTCTGTTGGTGCAGTTTAAAAGTTCATGTATAAAAATAGGTTATTAACTTATATGATGTCTTCCATTCAGACATATTAATTGTGCATTGGCATCTTTTTTTAGTTCACTTAATTTTAATATGTTCTATGTTTGAAATTCTGGAATTGCCAATCTTTCCATTCAAATGTCAAATTTTCATATATGGTAATTCGTAACCAGTGTAAGTTATATTTTTAATGCCGTCATTATCTCATAATTTCATTTCTAGGGAATCCAGTCCATCCGATGCCGTCGAACATGTCTACTGTGTCGAGTACGGCAGGTCTCGACCCGGAAAATCATGTTCACATTCAGTTTCAGTTCGGTCTTCATCGAGAAAACGTAATCGTTTATAAACCTGACCTCTCCATGACTGCACTTATGGAACTAGCATATTCAATAGTAGAAAACCAGGTTAGTTTGCTTCGATTTTGTTGGTATTTGCCAAGCTTAAACCAAGGATAAAGTGAGCCTTGTCGGCTCACTTTATCCTTGGTTTAAACTTGGCCTGGTATTACAAATATAGTTTCGATCCTATTACTACGAAAATTGATCAACCAGACAGGTCTATGATTGATTATATTTGTGATCAATGCTATTTTCTGGTATTCTACAACATGACATGTTCTACTCTATGAACCTTACCTAACTAAGCTTCATTCTATTAGGGTTTATCAATTGTCATTATTATAGTCTAGGTATCAATTACTTATTATATCCCAAATGTTATGAGATATACGGTAATCATTGACTTCCAATTTTGTTTGAATTGAATCTACATAAAAGAATCTTATTTTACTTTATGAGCTCCAAACAAGGCTTTACATAAGCAACCATTGATTGGAAGCAACTATTTTACTTTGGCTAAAAGAAGAAGCCTCTTTTGTTTCGCATTCTCTAACCAATTTATTTCAAATTAGAGGGAAGTAGTGGGTCTGGGATTTGAACCCAATGCCATAATAGTTAAGTCTAACGCTTTAACCACTAGGCCACTTTTAATTGTAAAAGTTTTTCCTAGAACAAATTTTTTTGGCTTCTTAAACTCGCCATGTGACCTTGATCTTATTGATAACCATCCAGCGACATAAATAATAAATCGCTTGTCACACAATTCTGTAATTTTGTATTGACTGGTATATGATTGTATATTGTCTGCTGCAACTAATTATTTTGTTGTTTAGAGATGAATTTTTGGCTATGATCGTAAAACTGAATAATATGGTGTTTGTCATACATTCTAAAACATCAATTTTCAATATGGAAAATTAAATGGATGTTTTTATGATGTTTAACAAAGAACAGCGTATTAAACAATATATATTTATAAAGATTGAATTACATTGAAAAGTCGGGATGAACATAAAATTGCAGTTTGAAAATGAAACTGTGAAATCATTCTCAAGAAGCAAAACTGTTAGTGATTAAGAACATATTCACCAAACTGCCTGTGATAAATTATAGTTTATTTATTTTGTTATTTCATTTAATTATTAACATGGTGCGTGGTGCCACTATGGTTCACCTTGGTTTTTAACGTTTCATGGTTTTGTATGATCATTTTAGACTTTTTTCCTTCTAATTACTTCATATAATATTTGTTACTTTTTATTTTAGTTTTCACAGGCTCAGGTCTTCTCACAGCTTAATACGAAACTGCATTTGTTTCATCATGATTTATCAGCGGCAAATGTTCTAGTTTTACTTCAATCTGTTGATGCACTTGGAGACAGATCACTAATTGAAATTGTATTATCAGGTTGGTTTTTCCTTATCTCTTAATTTTCTATGTGTTTCCACTCAGAACAAAGCTCTGGACAGGCATAAAATGATATGCATAATGCTTTGTTTAATGACTGAGATTTTTCTGGTTCTTCATAGCTTATTCAACTCATTGCACCCCTAATCAGGTGGTAGGCATAGGGTTTGAACCCAAGATTTTGAACCTGCAATGCCACAATACGTGGGTCCAACGCTTTATCCACCAGACCATCGTGGAATTATAAAAAATTAGAATCAAGTAAAACATTGTTTTTATTGTAAGAACTGGACATAAAAGCTTTTATTTTATCATGATAGACCAGATAAGACATGCTGAAGTCTTACTATTTATCTGTATTGTGACTGATTTCAATGACTTTTCAGTTCATTATTAAATTATCGTTTAACCAAGAGTGTAGTTTCATGTATAGATATACTAGAAGCATAGATCAAAAATAATTTGAATAGCATTTCATGGTTTGACTATCTGCTGTTATTCAATAAAACCACATATAAAACAGTAGATCATATATAATAGATTTATAATGCTTATTTGAGACAATTAGAATGATGTTGGATGCAGTTTCATACATTTCAATAGTGATCAGATCCTATCAAAAACAAATTTACTTACATCTTTGTGGTATGTCTTTTGTCTTCTACGTAATAAACAGTTTCATAAAATTGTGTTTGAAGCATTTTAGATGTGTTTTCAATTTTCATTATCTATTATAATTTGTAATTGATAGCTTCTTAGAGGATAATATAAAATCTTAATAATAATTTGATTATCTTTTACTGTCGGATTTTCTCAGTGATATTGTGCATTTGGAAATACGGATGACAAGACGGTGCCAAGTTTAAACACTTTGATTAATGTCAATTTTTATATTTGGTTGAAGCGCTGGACTTTACTGACATCACAGATTACACAACAAAAAGATTTTGATCATCTCAATCTTTATAGATATTAGTGACTGCTTGGGGCCTTGTTCAGAGCAAAATGCTCAAAAAAGCGTTGTATTTAAATATAGGGGAAAAGCCCAAAAAGTTAGCGTTCGAAATTCTTGAATTTGATCTTGCTATTTTGAATATCGCAATTTGATCTATTTTGCGAAACCACGGTAATAGCACCATTCACTCCACAAGTACTAAGACACATTATCTTAGTTTAATTTGTCCGTTGTATTAAAATTTATACATATCAAATTTCCGTGTTTGGTCTGAAACTTAGTATATTTTGCATGAAATAGTTTTCAGGAAATGCAGGAAGCAGTACCTAGCCTATATCAACGATACTGAGTCAATCTGTGACTAATTTTTTTTTTACTTTATTTTTTATATGGGATCAATGTCATTAAAACTTGTTCCAGGTAACTGATGATGTTATATGCAGGAAGTAAGCTGGAAACTGGAAAATATAATGCAAACTAATTTTTGTCCTAATTTTTCGGAAAATTTTTTTTATTATTACTGGTTTTTGTATTAGTCATAAATTTTTCACTGAATCACTACTGAAGTTTCTGTATTACATTACTGTCGTTACATATTTTCTATGAAGTTCATAGATTTGCCCTATGGAATAATTGTATTGTGTATATTGTATAATATGGCATTGATACTAATAGGTCCTGCTTCGTAACAAATAGTGCTTCTAATATTCGAAATTGATCAGAGAATTCAACCTTCGATTTTGTTATCAAATCTAACGCTTTAACTGCCACTCCCACTATCATGAGTTTTTTTGTTCAAAGATACTTATATTTGGAATTTTTTCAACAGCTGATTTTGATGGCAATGAACTTCAGCAGATCAGACCTCATGACTTATCCGTTCATTCATACAAGTCACCAACATTTTGTGATTATTGCGCCGAATTGTTATGGGGAATCGTTAGACAGGGAATAAAATGTAAAGGTAGGTTGTTCAATACACTGGAAGTAGGATTTAGTTATATTTCAAACAAACAGTTTTTGTTACTCTTCTATGTATTTGTAGCTTGATTGTACGAATGTTAGCTATAGTAATTCTTTACAACAACAATCAAGAGAATACAGCATTTTTCAGTTATGGTATGGTAGAATTTGCATATATCCAGTCCGAAAATAAATTCCTGTTTATACCGTAAATATGATAATATTATTCCCCTATTATCAAAAGATTAATATCATTACATCATGCTCGGAATTTGAGTGCTCTAACCCAAAAAGGCAAAATTGAAAAAGCTGTTTTGAAAAAAATGATGGAAACAAATGTTTTGGATTTTATACTATCTGTGACTTTACATTGGAATATACCTAAACTATGATAAGATAGAAGCCCAAAGAGCATTTATTTCTTTGTAATATATTCGGATCAAATTTTTTTTGAAATTTTAAAGGTGGTCATTTTCTTCTTAAAAAGCCTTGTTTACTTATATACCATATTGGCTACTTACCATTTGGTATCAAATTCTTACCTTCATGTTTTGCACTCAGGATGTGGTCAAAATTATCACAAGAGATGTGCTTACAAAATCCCAAACAATTGTACTCTCGATCGGAAACGCCAAAGAAAACATTCAATTGCTCCTCAGATGTCACACAATCAAAATGGACAAATGGATGACACTATTAGCGTAAGTAAAGCTTATTTGTTTTGTCAGACTAAGAACTAGGACGTAGTTTCAAATTAGAAGTAAGTAGACTTGTATATATGTATATTAAATTAGTTGGTATTATGTAATTCGAATATGTAATGATTTTAAGTAGGCTATAGCATAGGGAAATCCTTGTATGCCAAAATCGTTTTATACTGCAGTTTGTCTATAATTGGCACCATTCAATTTGCTGTATTTCTTTAATTTTCGATTTCTTCCCAATTTTACTATTGGCGGTGTCATGATCTCAGCCATGATGAGTACAATGAACTTGGATAACCTAGTCTATTTTTGGATTGGTGCTGCATGCATGCATACATGCAATGTTTAATTTCGGAAAAGTTTCATGAAAATCTTGTTTTGGAAAAGTTTAATTCATAAAAGTAAGCTAATTCATAAATTTTGAAATATCAACATTCAATGATTGTAAATAATTAATTGAGCTTTTAAACAATTTTCTCAAATTTGCTTGTTGAATGCATCATTGAATAGAATGTGCTTATTATTAAGAGATAAATAACATACACTCGTCACCACTGATTTGTCTGTTTAAAAAATAATGTATTGATAATAAATATATTCTCAATCGACCACTAGTATATATGACAAATTGAAAATGACACCTACCGGTACATTTTTGGTTTAGAATTTATGTGACAATAACAGCGAAAATCAAAATATATTATGTCTATCTTCGTGAATAAAAATAAATTTTTGTGTGTATAATAATTGATTCGACCTCTTTCTGATCACCATTTTCAATACTACTACAACTGTAAAGATACAGAAACAGATATTCTCCTTTTTATAGTTTATAGTATATTCAGCTGCGTGTTTGTATACATATTTCTTAAACATGTTCTATGTATTACATATCAAAATTTATACACAGTTGTACTGACTATGACCTTATTGAGTCACAGATGCCCTCTTGTATACATAGGGTAGCCCCTGACGTGTTTTAATATCATCTGGTTAAAATGACATGTAAGTTTCATATGCCTTGCATTTTGAGTTTTGTGTATATTTGATACTGCAGAACAAATGCTCAACTCACCATCAGATAGTGTAATATGGGAATACTGCTAAATATAAAGTCACGTAGGCTATTGGTTGCTATGGACAGTTTATAGTGAAATAATAGAGTTAGGGTTGGAAAGAGATGGATCTGTTCTTCTTTGTTGGGGACTCTCGTAGTGTGTGTACCAGGTTAGGGTTAGGCCATAATTTTATTTCAATTTTCTATATTTTGGTTCTATAATGAGTTCGGGGACTGTCTGTGTTAGCCAAGTGATTAGTGAATATATGCCCATAGGTTTCAGATTTCAGTCCCTTTACACAACTTGATGTAAAGTAGTCGAACAAAATTAGTTACCGCAATATTGGTACACACACTTCTGAAGCGCCCTTTGATGTACCAGACAGAGCTCTATATTTCAGCTTTTCAATGTTACATTTTTACGAGAAAAGAATCATGATATGTGCTGCATAAAATTCACAGGAAAAAGAGTAATTTTATTTTTCTACTGTCTAAAAAACAATTTGCTGTTATTATTTTACAGTTCATATTATTTTTTTTCTATATCTGAAGTGTCCTATGGTATATCTGAATTATAAATGCTCATGATTGACTTTTGTACTATAATGTTTGTCCTAATATTATTGATGCTTCAATTCCATGCATCAGAAACAAATATCTAGCTAACGATTCCCATACCTGTCATGGACTGTTGATTGAACGAGATGTTGTGTTTCGGAATATGATTAAGCCATCTAGGTCGTCTCATTCGCTTTTTTTTCATCTAGGGTTAATATGAAAATTCTATCCTATTTGTTATATTCTAAATACGGTACATCTATTCAACATCAAAACTGTGTTGTGGAATAAATAGTATCACAATAAATCATATTTAGTATTTGAAAAGGTCAAATCCAACAAAAGTAACCATTCTGATTTTCAAAATACTGGCATCCTCGATATAAAATTACAAATTATATTTCATACTCCTGAAGTATGTGAACCAAGATGGCGGACACCAGAATGTAGTATGTGTACCAGGTTAGGGGGAGGCGATAATTTCAGGTATAAATACTACATGGGGTCACTTGGCTAGTCCTCGAAATCGTAATAGAACTAAAATAAGAAAATTGGAAAAAAATTATGGCCTAAATCTAACCTGGTACACATACTACGTTCTGGTGTCTGCCATTTTGATTCACATACTTCGTGATATTTTATACTTTTCTAACTTTTTTATTGATATTTCAGATTGGCAGTTCTGCTTCCTTGCTTTCCAACTCATCGGCTTCTAGACCCAACTCCAAATATATCGGCCGTCCATTTGAGAAGGACATAAAATTGATGTCGAAGATTAAAGTACCACACACATTCCAAATACATTCCTATACAAGACCAACAGTATGCCAGCAATGTAAAAAACTGCTTCGAGGTCTGGTTAAACAAGGATTGAGATGTAAAGGTGAAGATTAAATTTTTTATACGACGTATTTACAGGTCATTTTCTCGGAACAAGGCTCTGCACAAAAAGTTAGCCCCTTAGTTTGGCAACTTTTTTTTTTTTGAGTTTTAAACTCGGCTTATATGCAAGGATGTTTGGCACTTTCATTTTGAAATTTGTTATTTAGAGTGTTTAATCTCCGATATGCGCAAGAAATAAAATAAACTTATCAACTTTTAAAAAGTGGAGAAATGGAAAAACCTATCAGAAAAACAATCTAAAACTTTTTTGCAATAATAAATTATTTTTCTATAAATTTACAATGAATTGTCTGTTGAACATGACCAAATTGGAAAAACCTATCAGAAAAACAGTCTAAAACTTTTTTGCAATACTAAATTAATTTTCTATAAATTTACAATGAATTGTCTGTTGAACATGACCAAATTGGAAAAACCTGTCAGAAAAACAATCTAAAACTTTTTTGCAATACTAAATTAATTTTCTATAAATTTACAATGAATTGTCTGTTGAACATGACCAAATTGGAAAAACCTGTCAGAAAATCAATCTAAAACTTTTTTGCAATACTAAATTAATTTTCTATAAATTTACAATGAATTGTCTGTTGAACATGACCAAATTGGAAAAACCTGTCAGAAAATCAATCTAAAACTTTTTTGCAATACTAAATTAATTTTCTATAAATTTACAATGAATTGTCTGTTGAACATGACCAAATTGGAAAAACCTATCAGAAAAACAGTCTAAAACTTTTTTGCAATACTAAATTAATTTTCTATAAATTTACAATGAATTGTCTGTTGAACATGACCAAATTGGAAAAACCTGTCAGAAAAACAATCTAAAACTTTTTTGCAATACTAAATTAATTTTCTATAAATTTACAATGAATTGTCTGTTGAACATGACCAAATTGGAAAAACCTGTCAGAAAATCAATCTAAAACTTTTTTGCAATACTAAATTAATTTTCTATAAATTTACAATGAATTGTCTGTTGAACATGACCAAATTGGAAAAACCTGTCAGAAAAACAATCTAAAACTTTTTTGCAATACTAAATTAATTTTCTATAAATTTACAATGAATTGTCTGTTGACCATGACCAAATTTAGAATATCATATTTGATATTCCAGATTTGAAAATATTATTTCAGAATTCATTAGTATAATAACTTACTGGTATTTGTTTTTTTGACCAAACTATTTGTATCCAGGCATAACAACCATACTAGTTATTAGATGTTTTCATATAACAAAACCAAAATTACATCAACGTAGCTTGAGCAATTGCATACCTAGATTTTACTGCTGCATATTATAAATATAATAACTGAAATAATCTTCGGGAGGAATTCTTCAGTAAAAGGTATTTGTTTAATGACCTTAATAAAACTGAATTAGATTACTTGATACTGTTTTCATATAAGGGAGATAAATTTACCCTTCGCTATGAATTCAACCATTTTTGGAGTATGTTTTGCAAGCTAGAAATTCAGACTTTTTAAGCTTCTACACCCACATTACTACTTTAATTTTTAAATTTTTATTTTTTTCAAATTTGCCAAGGGGTGAACTAGAGAATAAATGTTAAGAATTAAATAACGCATTAAATGAAGTTGAATTGTATGTTGTAATACTAATAGATAAAAAGCAATGCAATGGAAATAATATTCGCAAAAATGGCATTCCAGTATTGATATTCGATCTTCCAATCATTTTGGTTTAATTCTAATTCAACAATATACAGTATAGGTATATCTTTATCCGCAGCTTAGAAAGTTTATTGTTTTTCATAAATAACTGCAATGAAAGCATTGCACATTTCATTATGTGACATCATGAGTTGCAGCTTGAATTTGAAACCTCTTTAGAATAAGAGGGATACACCACATAAGAATAGTACAATATTTTGAAATAAAGATTTGTTGATGATATTATGGATGAATACAAGTATACAAGATATGGGCAATTCAGAATAATTTAAAATATTCTAGAATAGTTGAATCAGCACACCGAATCCTATCGAACTCTTATTTATTTATAGTAATCTTAGATCTAGTAGTTTTATTTCTTTTCTCTGGTATGTACATTGAACCTAAATTCTTACTCAATAATAATATTCGGGGCCGAGTTAATACAGTATCATGTAACCAAGTATGATTTTTGTGGAGAATCCTTGTACCACATTGGTTTAATAAAATCTTTATAAAGCGAATTTTTATATTTGTACTTGAATAAATAACATTCAATATGATTCCACATGGATCAGATATATGTCTCTATGGCTATATAGCGAAAATATTTGACAGTATTTTTTTACTTATACGATTTCTAATTATTTCTCAGTGTGTTGTAACTAAATGCTAAAATTCTAGATCTCCATCATTTATGGTCAAGCAATAGTCTATTCATATTTGACTGAACTTCACAACTGTCTTTTATGATAACTTACTCTAAGATTACAACCATTAATATTTAATGAACTCAAATACATTTATGTGACATTGTCACATTGTTAGGTGCTTATTATTATTCCAGTGGATAATCGTATACTTTACACGCAAGACCTTGTCATGTCAATTATCCAGATCACTTGAACTGGTATATTAAAAAAAATTAGCATTATATAGTAAATGATTTGGTATTTTTGTAAACTATGTCAATTAGTACAGTTTTTTTAATAACATTTAACTGGAATTTTGCTGTTATTGTGGTGTCCGTATTAACCACTAAGTTGATTGTGTTAGTATATTTGAGCATTGCTCTTATATGTTTATTGCTAAATTATAGGGATTTTGCAATTTTGAACTGTGCTGTAATTAATCGCTGGTTGTATTTTGATTTTAACAGCGAAATTAAATTTTAAAATGTTTAATGTGCTATGATTTTGAACAGATAATATCTAGTATCCACTTTTTAAAAATCAGTTCTCTTAACTCGAATTAATGAAAAGGAAATTGAAAGGGTTCTGTTGATTTTATCTTTTCAACCAGATATTCTCGAGGGATATTTAAAAGGATTTTTGGCTTTACTGGGGAAATAAACCCAAATATCTAGAACTAGTTTTAAATGAAAAATTTAGAAGTTTGTTGCTGATTTGGCATCCCAAAGAGGGAATTTGCTAGTTGATTTAAAAAAAATTAATTATTCTGAAAAATTTACTTCGGACATGTTTTATCTTTAATTTACCTTTGAAAACAAAATGTTTTTATCCTATCCAGCTTGGCTGCAGTGTATTTTGACTAGCTCAAATAATGAAGGTGTTCTTAGTTTGTCGTTATAAATTATTCATAAAATAGTTGTCAGGGAAGACACTTTAATTGACAAAAGATCCCATAAAATGATAAGGAATTAAATCAGGGTTAATGGTGATAATATCTCTTGTTGAGATAAGCTTGAATTAATGTAATGTAGTTAATAAACTTTAATCTGATCAAATTAGCATGAAAATTTAATGACAACATTTACGAGTTATCGACCAGAAAAGGCCCTGAATATTTGAAAGCTAGGAATCTTTGTAATTTAGGATGGGAGCCATGGAGCGGTAGCTCGATGTCAGAGTCAAGCTCACTATAATAGATGGAGCCGGAGCAACCAGAAATTTTAGTGGCTCCAACTCCTAATCAACTAATTGTTTTTTCACATTTATAATCATGCCTCGTCTAAAAAAAAGTACCTGCAATTACAAAGAAAATATTTTTTGACACCGGAACAACAAAAATTAATCTAATATTCTGATCAATAAACTAGGTAACTTGCTTATAATTGGAGATATGAAGACAAAATAATGACTATGTCATCTGGTAATCGCCAGGCTTGCAACTACAACTTTTATTTCTTTCATCTAAAGCCCTGTACTCTTCAATTTGGTCAAAATAGTTAAATAGTGTAAAAAAAAACATAGGGCCTTCCGAATGGCCCTTTTGTCTACATGTTTATACAAAATTTAGGACATCATCGAGTGGTAGCAGTTCATTCCAATCACATTGCAATTGTTGTAAATCTATAGAAACTTGCGAAACAGTAAAAAAAGTGCCTCGATTAATACCTGAGTTGCCCATAATTGTGATTTTTGGAAAATATATAATAATTTTCATGACAAAAAGTTCTTATTTTCAATAGTTGAGCAGAATAATAAAAACTATATATGTGCAGTAGCTGTTAAGTGTCTTTAAATAACCTTTGATGAACTATTCAAAGCCGAAAAACTAAGAAGTTTTTCTGCTATATAGTACTGTAAAAATTTATTGTAAAAATTGCCTAAAATAGGGCCTTCCGGAAGGCCCTTTTTCAGTCAAATTATTATTAATACTGCATGCAAATAATGAAATCTATCCTTTTCAGCCTATAAATTTTTTTGAAATCAATCGCTGATTTTAATTTAGGTTTCAAGTTAAATTTTTATATTTAATGTTCCATTTTGAAATTTAAAACCCTTTGAGTTTTGAGTCCCGCCTATGTGAAACTGCATTTGGGCTGATATTTCATGGTAATGGTCCTACAAAAAACCTCTATGGCTATGAAGCCGGAAGTGGAGCCCAGCTCTGAGGTTAAAAAAATTAAGCTTCAAAGCAGGAGCATTTATGTTTGTTAATAACAAAGATTTTAATAAGCAGTCGTGATATGGACCAGAATCCTTAGCTCATTTATGAAACATATTATCAATGTGAGGTAGTTCGTCTACTACCGGGAATCTTTTACTCATATTGGTGATTAGGCATTGGGCTTATTATGTATAGATCGATGCAGCCGTTAAAAGTAATTATAATGACCTGTATTATAGAAATATTATACCAATGCCGAAATAAGAGAGGACCAATGTGCATTTTTGCTATTCATTATCAATAATAATACATCCTTCTATTACATTAATATTCATTATGGTTAGTCTTAAATTCTTAATCCTTTTCACTGCCATATTTTTTTCATTTGAAAGAGTTGGGTACATCCTTATAGGTATTATAATTTCAATCCTATTTTTGAAAGGAATTTTTCGTCATGGCTTTTCGCATATTGTCATGGTAGAACCAGATTTTCTTATGTAACATTTTAAGGTTTTGAGAAAATTACATTCTTGTAATTTTCAGATCTGTACAGCCAAACCTAATAATGGAATTAAATGCATTACCCAAAATCGAAACAAAAACAGATATTGCTTTGAAAACCAGACAAAAAGCCCCTTGGTTCATATTGACAGAAGATCAAAAAAGTCAATTTCTGAATAAAAGAAACATAATCTACTTTGGTTTACAGCAGTGATTATAGACAATGTTAGAAGTTTTTTTAAATCTTGTCACTTTCCTAGATTGCAAGTTCAATTGTCATAAAAAGTGCATGAGATTGGTGCCTGATGATTGTCCAGGCGAAGATGAAAACCAGAGCAGACGTGAGTTGCCATTGTTTGTTTTGTATTTTGTCTATGAAGTAATGTCTTCTGATGTGATTAGCAGTTATAGTTAATATGCTATTTTTTATTAATGAATACATTTATAAATGTTTGTGTATTGATTTGGGTTTATGTAGTGGCTTCTTTCTAATTATAATTTTTTTTTTCAATGGGGTATATTTTTACCATTTAAAATATGTTATAAAGGCGAAAGATAAATATTTTAAATGTAAGGTGTAATGTTTGAAAACATTGGTCTAACAGTCGCAATTCGACATTTTGCGCAATGGTGCCATAACATTGACAACCTAGCCCACTTATTGTTCTGCCGAGCTATTACTTGTCGTTGTTTCAGAGGGAAAAAATGGAAACCGTATTTAGAAACTGTCATGTATGGCAAAAAATGTGGCACTGTCGAGACTCGGTGTGCTTGTTTTTGCTGGGTTTCATTTTATTATTCTAGGAATGTCCGAAAACAGCAGAAACTAGACAATATAACTGTGATATATTTAATTCCGCAATTCATACTGGAGTGGTTTCACATAATAATATAATGAAAACCATATAAACAATCAATGTTGATATACATAGAATTTGTGTCGTTATAGATTTAGTGTGGGAATGCTTCAAAATGTCAATGTTTTTATTTTAACTGAAATGTGGTGATTGTAAATGCTAAAACATAGATTTTGCATGCAGCATTCAATAAAATAGTTCATAAATTCTAGTGTTTTCAACACTAGCACATATTTTGTCTTCTCCAATATTCCAATTCAGGCACTAAACCTGCATTTTTTACTCCTATTCAGCTTCGGACACTGAATTGGATAGTCAAGAACAGGGAAGCGATGATAGTGGAGAAGGAGAAGGAATGCAGATTGATGACAATATCTGCTCTATTGAAGAGGAACCTGGTTGTGGGTCTTCGGTAAGAAGACAAAAGAATTGTTTTTTGAGAAAAAAATTCGTAAAGCAAGCCAAAGAATTGAAAATATGTTATTCAATAAAAATATTTTGCAACATTGTGGTGATTTTATGGATCATTATCTGATCAAGTGGTTATATTTAAATTTTGTTATATACCTGATTATATAGGCTACCTATATTTAAAAATAAATTCAAAACATTTTTTTGTGTGTTGAATTTATTTTCTATGATTTTAGGGCATTGAGAACCGAGAAATGGAAATCACACCTGTTGCTGAAGAGTAAGAATGATTTTTTTTTATCGTAAAAAAAAAAAAATTTAAAATAAGATAAATTAGTCAGGAAGATTCCTGCATCCTCTTTCAACCTGATTTGATGATAATCTTCATTTTTATGTTTAATTAAGAAAATAATTGATCAATCAAATTGCTTGAAAAGATGACCTAATAATTTAGTTGGTTAGATACAAATTTGAACTTTTTTATCACCATTGAAATTTGAAATTCTGACTCCCGACGCCAGGGAGTTGCTCCAACTCTATGTCTATATCACCATATCCCTGCGTTCTAACAACTCATTCTGCAATGAAATTAATATCCATCAATTTTATCTCAGTTTCTAATTAATTATATTCATTATTTTTAACAAAAAAGGCAACAAAATTCAGAAATTTTCGTCTGCATTTTTTATGAAAACGGTATTTTCAATCTTTTTGGTTTCAAAACATTATGTTTTGGACATCCCTTTGTATGTGTAAACGATGTAAAAGGTGTAATTTGTCTATCAATATGAAACCATACTAACATGCAGAAATTCTTCAATAAAAACATTCTGTCATACCATAATAATGACTATTATGGTCAACACTAAGCGTTTTGATTTAGCATTAGGACATGTTGATAAACTATGACACAATTGCCAAACAAGATATATTTCAATTAAATTTATTGATATGATTAGGGGTAACCCTGTTCATATATACCCATCACAAAACATGATTCCAGAATGGGGTGTGATGTTTACATGCCACATGCGTTTACCACGCTGTATAAACTAAGATGGATATGATATGATAACATAATGATTCAGTGGGCGCTATATCATTTGGATAGTTTTTATTATATGAATTATATGCTGTTATAGATTAAATAAAACAAATTTAAAATGTTTGATATTTAAAAATTGGCAATTTTTCAGAATACAATTCAGTTTTTCATTTTTAAATTTGTAACTGAATCGTATTCTGAATTATGTTTTTTTTTTCAGAAATAATCATATTAAAATATTGGAACTTGTAGAATTCTACACACAAGAATATCTAGAATTTAAATATGTAAACCTATGTTAGTTTTCGTTATTTATTCTTTTCCAAATTACAGTACCGTACCTAACATTCCTCTCATGAGAGTTGTACAATCAGTGAAGCACACAAAGAAGCGTTCCAGTACGGTACTAAAGGAAGGGTGGCTCGTTCATTTTACAGACAAAGACGCAATGGTATGTTGATTTGTGTCAAATAAGCTGAATTTTATCTCTCTAAATTTACTCACAATTAGTTATCTAAATCTATTTGATGTCATATTGTTATGGTGAATAGGCGATTTTCATTTCTAAATTGGTTCCATGTGTCATATGTCTGACTGAATCTCAAATGTATCTGAAATTGTACTTGAAGGAATTTAAATACGATTACAATTCTTTAGTGTGATCAATTTTTCTTCAAAAAACATAATTTGCTTATACTAATACTAAATATTAGGACCATTGACATCTTGGATGCAATTATTCGTCATTTGTCTAAATTGTTGTTAATGTTAAATAAATTATTTGCCTTTCTCTTTATCTTCTGTATCAATCATTTTTTTTTAATTTTCAGTAGTTTGAAAATGAAAGTGTCTTCTGGAGGTCATTTACAAAGATGATTTGCTACATTAGTCTTAGGAATAAAGTTTTATTCATTTTTTCTATTTATTTGATTGATCAGGATATGATTTTCATATTTATGTCATATTTCTCGGGAAAAGAAAGAGATAAAATGGCTTGATCTTATGGCCACAGCCTCTCGTTTGGTTATCAGTCCACGTCCTATATGAGAATAGTTTGCCAGTTATTTGTTTCAGATGCATAGACTTGATGGTGGAGGAAGTCGGAATCAGCTAGATCCACATTATGACGGAGAGGACTTCATAATGATGTCCTCCCGCGCATAATTATTTCCATGGAACCATGAATTAACGCAGGATATTTAGAGGTCCAATAGCAAACACTGGTGCCAACAGCCAAACCAGCTGGTATTGATGACGATTTTACATTCAGTTTTGAAGTCAAATAATAATTTTATTTATGGTAACATTTGTATCATTTCAATGTTGTCATCAATTTATTTTTAATAACAAAAAATTAAATAAATTTTCATATTTGTGCACAGAGGAAAAGACATTACTGGAGAGTGGATACAAAATCGATAATGCTGTATCAGGAAGAAACAGGATCCAAATTTTATAAGGTCCGTTGTCTCGTTTGGTTTATTTATGGATTTATCCTTTTTTATATTAGAAGTTTACTTATTTATGTAAATAAATTTGCTATGCCTCATGATTTTAGAGTAGCATGTTAGCTACCACGCTGATGCTCCTTATGCAAGGATCGAGTACGATGATACTCTAGCAAGAATCGAAATGTCCATTATTATCAAGTGACTTATTATACTGCATAGTGCTGTGGGTCAGACGAAACGTTACAGAAATAATTTTCGAAGTGTGATTTAAGATTTTCAAACCACTGTTATTCATGATTTTAATGCAGTGCAGTGATTTTAATTGGAGTTGGCATGATTGGTTCCATAGGGCAATCGTAATTGTTCTGAGTCTGATCTTGGCCTTCAAATATCCCTTCCAAACTGTTCATAACTTTTTGGGTCAAGCATTGTTAGGATTGATACTGGAAATATTAGTATATTCTCTGTATCTTATATTAGTAGGTGTTCGGTACGTTTTTTCCTTTGTTGCTTTTCATGACGAATTGGTATATTTTCTAGAAAAAATAAAAAATAGAGAAGTCTCCTCAAAAAATCCATGAAGCACTGTAGCAATGTTCGAGATTGCCTTTTGAAGTTACATACTTGGAAAAAACTAACACATTGTTCATAAATGCTAACAGAATACTGTTTTTATTTATTTTTTACCTATTGTTTAACACAGGAAATACCTCTATCAGAAGTTTTGACCATAGTACCAGCCAGTAATTTAGAACCTGGATTTCCACCGTACCAACTGAAACTTGTAACTTCTGGATTACAACTGTTTGTCAGAGATGATACGATCAATGAAAATGTGTCTGAGTATGATTCTTAATTTTTTTTAAAGCTCCGAACGTTCATATATTTTTCTCTTTCAAATATTTTTAAAAAATCACTCGCGACTTATCATTTGGGAACTGCTGTGATTGAACCTGATCTGCTTTTAATCTGGTCCATCACCCACAAAAGTTGTCCACATAACTGTCATCATTGAGTACTCATCAATATTCTCCAACATTACTCACTGGTAGCGAATTTTTTCTGTCTCTCGATTATTGGGTTCTAATCAGAGATGTATACAATTGTAATATAACCAATTTCTTCTTATCATAGGGTCGAGAAAAACATCACACAGTGGTTTAATGTCATCAAACAAGCTCTGATGCCCGTAGCAGCAAGTAGAGCAGAAGCTATAGTGGAAAATCAAAATGTGGCATCATTGAAACGAAGTAAGTTTACTTGCTAGTTTTATCACTGTTATTTTCATACCCAGATTCCTGTAATATGTATGCTAGTGAGGCTTGGCGGTGGCACCAACATGCTAAGCGTGGGTTCGCAGGTTCGAATCCCATGCTGGAATAAATATGTGCAAGAAGATTGCTGAACTCCTCGCCGCTGTAGAGTGGTTCATGTAAACGCTGATCCATTACTTCTTGTTCCACCATCAAGACCGTGTTTCTGAAAACAAATAACTGGCCTAACTAATCCCATTCCCAACATGGACTGGTCACCGAACAGGAGGCCGTGGTTCGCCATATGATTAATCCGTCTAATCGTCTTTCCTCGTTCCGGGATAAATATGTAAATCCAGTTTTCTTGCTCAGAGTCTGTTATTCGTGGCCATGATTATATTATTGAAGAGAATGAGATTTTCTATAAGTACTTAGTATTGCAATTGAAACTAAAATGGATGGATATGTACAATGCATGTGAGAGATTATATGACAGTTTTCCTCGTGCTATTTCCAATTTTTTTTCTTCTTTTCTCTTTGTAGAAGCTTCTGTGATGGTTTCATTCTCCAAAGAGACGCCGGAAGATGAAAATGTGAAAGACATCAGTCAGGTATAAAATTAAATTCTTATTGCTTTAGTCGTGTGTTGATTTTCAGTGTTGTAGTCTACGATAGATACAGACCTAAATTATCGTCAGTGGTAAGCATATTGATTTATTGTCCGTTGTGGGATTTTGACCTGACATGTGTAACCTGTGATGCCAACAGGTAAGTCTAGCCCTTTAACCGCCTGACCATCATGCTTCGTTTGTATATTGACATTGATTAAAGTTTATTATTTTCTACTTTGTGTTTCTTCAGATTTATCAGATATTTCCAGATGAAATACTTGGATCTGGACAATTTGGAATTGTTTATGGAGGTAAACACAGAAAGCAAGGATTTGATGTTGCGATCAAGGTCGTCGACAAACTTCGCTTTCCTCATAAAGAAGAAAGTCAATTGCGACATGAAGTACAAATTCTCGAGGTTAGTAATTCATCTCACTCTGGTATTTTCACATGAGTGCTCAACCTCGTTGATTCACTTCCCAAAAAATACACACTGCTCATACAAATGATGAAAAGCAGTTCACTTGGTGACTTGTAAAATCGTTTATCGGGCCACAACATTCTTTGCCACCTTTTGAAAAAATAAGATAAACGTATATCTTCCATTTTTAAACTCCTGTAGGTATTTATTGAAATACTTCACTGAATATTGCTTTAAATTATGAAGAGATACCAGCTTGAAAAGCATGTATTTGTAATGATTTTAAATTATCATGAATTCACTGTAAAAAAAACATATTTCATAAAAATTGATAAATTTTGTCTGAATTCTAAAAATAGTTTTGGCATACAGCCATACATTTTTTATTTCAGTTTAGGGTGAAATCTTTAGCCTACCCCATCTATGTGTCGTATCCAGGTAGTCGATCTGCTATATAAAAATTATTTTGGACTCAAGGAAAAGGTTGATTTTCCCATACAGATCCCAATTACAAATTCTCTATTTCATATATTTAGTTTTTGGATCAGCCAGGAATAGTAAAGCTTTACAACATGTTTGAAACTCCTGAACAAGTTTTCGTTGTCATGGAAAAATTGCGTGGAGATATGTTGGAGATGATTTTATCGAGCGAGAATGGAAGATTACCAGAACGAATTACAAAATTCTTGATATCACAAGTAGGAATTTTTTTTTATCTAATCTATTTTATATTTCCTATGCTCTGAACTAAGCTCTGCCACAGCAGCCATGGAAATACGAGGAGCTATTATTTTTTGGAAAGACTGAAATTTTTCGGTTTGGCATAGTCCAGGACTTCCCAAACTTGTGGAATCTTTGGACCCCTTCCAATCCAATATATATTAAAATCTTTCGTGACCTCTGTTGATTTGGCATTGTTATGCAAGTGTGCGATTCTTGGGTCTTGCAATCAAAGTCAACATTGTTTTGCAAGTGCGCTGCTTCTCTGATCCTATATATGTATATTCTCCTGAAATCGTGAGATTTATGTTATAAACTAGTTTTAATAAATGTGTTTCAAATCAAAAGTTTAAAAAGGTGCAATAAGTTTACAATTTGTGTGAAATTGGTGCACTCCTTCGCGACCCCTGAAATTTGTTGCGTGACCCCCAGTTTGGGAAGCCAAGCATAGTACACTAAATTTGCTACACGCCGGCGTGAAGTTGTGAGCATAAGATTTGAGAGCAAGGTTTTTATTGCGGATGCATACATACACAGTTACAAACATGCCACATACCGGTAGTTAAAATTACAGCCAACTCTAAACACCAGGACAACATCCACAACTAGAATACATTGCATATTCGGTATATACTATATCTTATATCACCCATGAAGATTTCAGAATGCAAACCGTGGTTATGATTCATCATTGTATATATGTACTTTTCTTAGATTCTCGTTGCACTCCGTTATCTTCACATGAAAAATATTGTTCACTGCGATTTGAAACCAGAGAATGTACTTCTCTCTAGTAATGATCCATTCCCACAGGTATGGTACTATAGTTTTATGTTGTCAGTTGTGTTGTTTCACTCGGATAATTAGTCTGAACTTCAGGCTTTCTAAACTTCATATCAGTTGTCTACTAATAATAATGTACTATAATGTACTGTTTTTTCATGACGTTTATTAATACATTTTTCCCTGAACAAGGCCCTACACAAACAGCCATTGGTATCCAACGGTATGTATGGGACTGCTATTATTCGGAAGGACCAGAATCTTACCTTGTTCGATATGCCTGCCTAATTTATTACACCCTAGGCTAGGTGAGGCCTGAGGGTAATGAGATTTAAACTCAAAACCTGTAAATCTGAGAGGAAATCTGGTATTATTTGAGGCATATTACATTGCAAAACTTCTAATTCGAATAATTGTTGTTTAACACAGGTGAAGCTATGTGACTTTGGATTCGCTCGCATCATTGGTGAAAAATCATTCCGAAGATCTGTTGTTGGTACACCAGCATATCTCGCACCTGAAGTACTAAGAAAGCAGGTGCATGAGTCATATTTTCATCAACGCCATACTCTGTGCCCTGTTTTTTAATAATAAAACTGTCAGTTTTAGCGGGTTCCTATTAGTTATTTTATGTGTCATGTTTAATCATAAAAAGCCAACAAATGAAAGTGAAAATATAAGTGCATTAGGGTGAAAGAATTGAATAAATTGCAATCAATTCATTTTAAATTATCGTTATTCATTTATTGGGAATTCAAACACCACGAAAAGAGCATACAAAACAATGTGTATTTTCACCCAGCACCCTTTTAAAAATAAACTGTCGGATTAGGATTTTATGCTTGATGGGAAAAATCTGAATTTTGAAAAGGGCCACACTAAAAGGCTTAATGGGCCGGGTTATGGCCCGCATGCATTTCACACCCCTGCCATATTAAAAGTATCCATACAGTGAGTGCATATGGATCTCCCGATACATAGGTAGTGAGAAAGGTGCAGTAGTTAGCAATACGTTACTATGATCCACCATTTATTGCAAGAGTTTCAATTTGTTTTATTCATTTCAGAGTTATAATCGATCACTTGATATGTGGTCAGTCGGCGTCATCATTTATGTCAGTTTATCTGGCACTTTTCCCTTCAATGAAGATGAAGACATCAATCAGCAAATACAAAATGCAGCATTTATGTATCCACCAATGCCATGGCGGGAAATATCAAGAGATGGTAAGAGATTTTTAGAATGATAAAGTGCAGGGTAGTCATATTGAACATATTCTAGAGGGAACATAACTTTTGTGTGAAGTGTCCCTAACTTTCCCAAACTTTTAGGTACAATCATGAACAAAATTTCAGGTGGTAAATAATTTTTCTACATTTTCATAAAGGTAATTATGAAATTCTGTTTCCCCCCCCAAATTTTTTCCACAAATACACTGATTGCCTGATCCTTCGGTGAAAATGATAGTTTCAATATTGAAATCTTTGCATTTGGATATAGGTAAATATAATTACAACGGCCACGGCTATAAACTCTGGAGGAGATGGTTTTCATTGAATTTGAACCTGTGATGTGTGACCTGCATTGCTAACATAGTTAATTCCATTTCTTAACCTCATCGGAGTTGTAGATGAACTGTTTAAATGTACTTTGCATATATGGGCAAAATCTTAGACAGCTTGTGGCTCTCTGTTTCGATTTTTTTTTGTATTTACAGCTATTGAACTTATCATGGATCTATTGCAAGTTAAATCCAGAAAGCGCTTGAGTGTGGATAAAGCAAGTAATCACTCTTGGCTGCAGGTAGGAACAGATTCTCAAAATAACTCTTGAATTGCAAATGTTTAGACTTGTATTCGAATATGAAGTCTACGTGTGGATTGTCATGCTAAATTGTTGTTAGTAAAAAATCACTTTTCTTGCACTAAAGTCCAATTGATTTAAAATTTCCAATACTCAAAAAATGAAAGAATTCGCTGGAAGGCTATTGCTATTATTTTTATTAGGGCGCGATATTTTTTTTGGTGTTTTATTTTTGTCCATCGGAATACTTTTACGACAACTATGTTCCGTTACGCTACCTTGATCTTGTTAGCAAAATCTGTGCTCAGTTGAAGTGTTATCAGCGCTTATTCATTTTTGCATATTTGCAAGGACAAGAATCTTTTGAGTACCGTATTGCCTAACCAATTCATTAAATCCTGTGTGGCATGAGATTTGAACCTGGAATGTCGGTGCTCCGGTCGGTAGTATGTGTACCAGGTTATAGTTTGGCCATAATTTTATTCCGGTTCTCCTTATTTTAGTGCTATTACGAGTTCGGGGACTGTCTGTATTAGCCAAGTGAATATACCTCCTGCACATAGGCTTACGTCTCTTTACACAACTTGATGTAAAGCAGGCGAACAAAATTATTTACCTCCATATTGGTACCCATACTTCTGGAGCTTCGAGATGTGTAGTCTGCGATGCTAACAAAGTTATGTCTAACGCTTTAGCTGCTAAGCCATACAGCTCGATTTGGGCATTGCTTCCTTGTTTCGGTATACAAAGATTTAAAGTTGTATTATAAACGCTTGCTTAATCCATTCATCCAATATTTCAGGATTATCAAACATGGCTTGATCTACGAGAGCTGGAAAATAATTTTGGTCGTCGTTACCTCACACACGAGAGTGATGATGAGCGATGGGAAATGTACAGACGTGAACAAACAGAAGGAACGTCGTTATGAAATTCACTATTAAGAAGCTAATGACTGATGAAATGTAGACATCCTTTCATTTTTAAATCAATAACTTGAAACGTTTTTTGTTGTTGTTTTTTACCTGGTTTTACCATACGTTTTATTGTCAATCGCTTGATATTTTTGATCTTGCACAATCTCGCTAAATTTCTGTATCCCATGCAAGATATCAGGAGTCTTCAGATACTGGTTGAAAAAAGTGAATCTTTAAGCTTGGGATCAGCTCATAATCGAAATGTGTCTTATCAGGTTTTTCTATTTTATTACATTTTTATTTTAGTGAAATAATATAGAATTGGTACAGAATAATGAGGAGTGCCAAGGGAATTTATATTGCAAATATGATGTCTTGCCTATTGTATTAATTATCAAGTAAAATAAGGCATTCGTCTGTAAAAACTTGTAACAGTATGTCAATCAATAATAGGAATAAATAAATTTCGTAGCATATATAAAAATAGTGGAAGAAATAATGTCATTTTCTCGATCTATGGGTGGTGATTGAGAATAGGTTGATGAGTCTTTGGCAGCGGTATGAAGCATAGTAGCGTGCTTACATGATTACAGTATGAATTAAGTAATGCTGATTTTTAAAGAAGTCCCATTTATGCTATTATAATTACAAGGGTTGAATTCCTATATGCACCATTCATTACGAAACACACCAATGTACTGTCAAGGCTTATAAATGAATAAAAAAACATTCCTTGATTTAAGTGTCGAGTTGTTTATTGTGATGGTTCATGTTTGCATATTTCCACACAGAAATTATTTTCAATTGTTTTTTTTATTAACTGTTGATTTACTTTGATATGAAGCTTATGACCTTGAATTTTATTCCTGAAATACAGCGTCGTAAATTTCTGTTTGAATCTGAAAAGAGCTTTTTATAAACTATGTTTAAGCTGCTTACAGTCAAAATAATGTTTTTAAATGGGTAACTGATTTTTATAAAATTTATTTTACTCGCTTGTATTGGTGTTACTATTACTGCTATATATTTTATTGTCTATACGTGCAGTAAGAACATCGTAATCATAAAATTTCATCTGCTTTTTGATATAGCTGTCTATAGGGAATAAATACCTTAAATCTTGCTTTTTCTAATACGATATTGAGTTGAAATGGATATGATAGAATTTTAATGAAGAATAATATTTTAAGGGTCTTAATTAATGACACGATTTGATAAACGTTCATATTTTAAAAATTCAGATGGTTATGTTTCGTACACTGGCACTCTGTAACCAGAACTTCATGTAAATATGCTTTAAATTACGATATTGAAAAATAAATGCTATTTAACCTCAAGCTAAGTGCATCTTCTATTTGCCATAAAATACAAATTTTGAAGAAAAATTTTAAGCTAATTCAATAGATTTTATAATGCGACCAGATGACTCAAAAATATAAAATTACTTAAGAAATCACAAAAAAAACTGTACAATATTTATGTATATCATCTTTTAGTTATTAGTTAATTTTCTATATCTAAATACTAACTATATTGGTAGTACTCTATCTATTTTATCCTTTGCTACCTTGTGCCTTATTTTTACGAATATATCATGATGTTATATTTTTCTCATTGTGATTTGACATGTTTTTGATCATTGTTTTAATGAAATCGTTGTAAATTTGTGCAAATTATGGTTGAAATAATTTATCAAGCATGATGGTATCATAATATTGTTAAAATATGCTTGATCGGGATTAGCCCACACAAAGATTTTGTGAGGATACCGTCAATGTATGTGCTGCTTTTTTAATTTTCCTTTTACTTATTTGTAGATAGCTGATAATTGAGCCTTGTGGGTTGTAATTTTACTATTTTAATTTGTTATATTGTAAATAAAGCATTACTTTCCCAAAATCACTTTCGTTCGAATTTCAATATTTGCTCAAAAATCCAATAATGCACTTTTTTATTTGATATTCACATTCTAAAAGTTTTCTTTGGCAAAGGTGGACTCATTTTACTAATAATAACGACATCTTTCATGAATATCCAAGTACAGTAGTTGAAATTTAGTTATAGTTCTTAACAGCATTGTCATAGGGCCACTGCCAAGTACATTCCTTCGCTACTACAGTTTATATTGTTGGATGTGATGATTAGTCTCCAGTTTGTATCCTAAAATTATAAATTTCCTTTTTTGAGTAATGGAGAATATTTTGGGACTAGATTCCAAATTGCCGATCAGAGCTGCAGCATATAATCGGACATTTAAACCATTTCTGTATGATGTTGTATACTTATACCTCCTGTTTGAAGATGAGTCAATATGTTATGAAACTCACAAAAAGGTATATTCAATCAGCATTCAACCTTTTTCATATTTTGCAACTTCTTGCATGTGAAGATGTTTGTCACAAAGAGATAGTTAAATGAAAATTCCTCATTGAAAATATCAATCAATTCGGGCTAATGATTCCGCATTCATAATTTGTCAAGTGCAACCAGAGACTACTCAAAACCAGTAATATGTGTTTTGTTCTGTCAGTGAATTTTTGTATCTGTCACCGCCTACTTTGATGCCATGGTAGTTAGTTATTAATATTGCTATGTAACTTATACCTTTATGTAAAGATTAAAATATGACCTTGGGTGAAATCTGTCTACTTGTTGTATTCATTTGTGTGGGTTAGTTAACTTCTACAGATGACATGGGAAAACTATGCGGGCCAAATCAGACTTGTTGGTTGACATGGGAAAACTATGCGGGCCAAATCAGACTTGTTGGTTGATTCAATCTGGCTGGCCTGATGCTGCCACAACCAAAGCTGAAACTAGATTTTGATGTTTTAGCTAAAAAATAGCTCAATGAATTTGTTGAGATTTCGATTAAATTTAGTTTTGGAACAAGGCTTATTGTTTTCTATGTTTGCTTTTGTTGCTCTGTAAATATTGTTCATAAAATGTAATTTTTTACGCCACAGTTACATGGCCTGCCAGTCTAGGTGGGCAAAATTGTTGGCCCATAGTCCAAAAAACCTTGCCCACTCTTGTTTTAGAGGGTAGTAGAAGAGAGAAGCAGTATTTTATTCATTACCATGTGTAAATGATACACTAATAAAGAGAAACAAAACAATATTATTAGACACAGGTAAAGGGCTCGCAGAGAACTGCAGTGGTTATTTAGTTCTAACAGCCTATGATGCATTGCTGTTTACAATGGTTTCATGTACATAAGTCAAAAGATATGGATTGCGGGGCAAAAAATATGTAGTATTTTTATTACCTTTTAAATAACTGAGCATTGAGGGACTACACGATTTGAATATGCCAGGCAGGTTGTCATGTTTTAAAAATATTTCCAGTCATTGAAAGCTTCTACATTATAGTTTTGGTTTAGTTTCCATAAAACTGCCAGAAGGGAGATGCGCTCTCTAGTTGAACACTAGGTAATCATAGGTGCGGTGGCGAGAGCATTTCCAACTCTAAGCATGATGTGTCACACTGCCAAGCCTACAATAAATGCAATCTGGACTCAAGTCAGACAGATATATATTGTTCTCATGAAGTACAAAATTTCATCCTAAAGCTCTAACAAAGTATTATTTGGCCATCGGTACAGTAGAAAATATCACATGCTGCAGCGTCGTCTAGGCTGCATATTCATCCACCAACTTCACTGGCATGGTAACCAAAACCCCTATTCAAATCAATAAGGCATTAGCTCAACCATTCATGTGACATGAGTTAGAATCCCCTGCCTAATCAAATGTTCACATTGTGATCGAGGTAGAAAATGTTGGCTGTTTTTTCTTAGCAAAACCACAGTTCCATCATCCATTTCAAATTGTCCATGATCCTCCACACACCTAACTTCAATGTATAATGACTTGGGTGGCGTCATGTCCTGAATATAAATGAAATTGAATCAGAAAAATGCAAGAAAATAATAATATAATATACAGGAATGGCCAAAACCCAATATTTTACTATTTCGAATACAATTTGAAAAAATATACACACAGCTTTATTATGGAAAGAATTCTTTACTTTTATTTAGAAATATTCAGATAGAAAGCATTCAAATTAGTATTCAATATATATAATTTAAAGCGGTAAATTAAATTATTCCTGTTTGGAAATTTATCGCTCATTATAAGCATTTGACATGAACTAATTCAACTTCTGCCGCAATAAAATCGAATTCAATCATATCTCAAATATTTTGCATAAAAAATCCAATTCACAATAATTTCTGAAAATTACTCCACCAATCCAGTACATATTCGATATTCCATAATCTAAAATTAGAAGAGTAAATGATTTGGTTTTGCTATCCATCTTTGATACCAACCTGTGTTAGATCAAGACCACCCATTCCACCGATGGATCGCATGTAGTTGGCAAGAGATCTGTTGTATCTCGTAAACCATTGAATCTGATTTGATAGAAAAACACAACTTTTATTGCCAACTGGAGTTAGACTCATTGACATACTTACAATGGCATTTCGTACAAAGTTTTGATGGTGATTGTAATCAACGAATCTGTGAATGACTATAATATTTAATTATGACAAAAGCATTATATTGAAATAAACCTGGTAAGAAATATTTTATCATAGGTCACAAAACCATTTTGTTATAAATTAGTTACTCCAATTACAAAATACTATTTCAGTACTTCATAGCTGTTTCGGAGTATTTACAAATATAGCTTATTACTATGCTATATGATTGATAAACTAGTAAATATACTTGAAAATTATTTAGATAAAAATTATTTTGAAATTGATACAAACATGAAAAAGCACAATTAAGTAGCCTACATGTATAGATTATACTCACTTCTTTCTCCGATAAATTACTCTTGATTTCTGGAGGTAAAACACTACCAAATTCCCACCTCATATCTCTGATTTTATGAAGTCTATTATACCTGAAAAATGATTTTTGCATCTGCATTCATCTGTTGCAATCTGACAAAATAGCTTGTTGGTAACTTAAGAGAATGTAAGGGGCTTATTTATCACCCTAAAGTCATGTCAGGTACTAGTTATCAAGCCCGGTCAATGTTTTGAAATCTTCAATTTTAATATTAAAAGGACTTCAACAGATTGTTATACACAGATATTTTAAGCAAAATAATACATACAAATAGGCCAGCAGGCAACGCTTGTTTCGTTCCAATCCACTGTGTCGTATTTTAACTGCTGCCATTTTACTTCGATCTGAATCTGGATTCACTAACTCAGCACTGGCATTAAAAAACATTGTTCAAATCAAATAGGTTATTGTACGACACATAAGTATATTCAGGAGATCATATCTTATTAATTAATCTTTTAATTCGAATAAGAAAATTTGTTGTAAGAGTAGACCATGCTTATGATACTTGTGAACTAACCCACAGCAGACTGATTTGAATTTCTTTATTAACCTCGTTGACAAATGAGAATGCCATATGCTATACTGTTTTCACTTCCAATGGGCATATCTTTTATAATCTCTGATACTATGGACACCTTTTTACCATAACATTATTTTTTATTTGCTTTATATGTGTGATGTTGCTAAGGCAACTCTCATATATGAATATTGATTGGTAGAATAGGTTCCATTCATTGTCCAACTTACACATCTTTTTGATTAGAGTCGTAAAGAACTTGCATTTCTTCTAGTACTTGTCTAACTCCATCTTCCTGCAAAATAACAATAAGCAAAACATTAGAAGAGACTTTTCAACTCTCACAGCTAGGGTTCAAATCCAATGCCAATCCTTTCACCAAGTGTACAATGAAATTTATAAGGTTCACTTGAACCTGAAACATAGCAACTGCCTGTAATGAGTCTTGTTCGGAGCCAAGATATGTAAACACCCGATGAAAATACCACAGCCTTGTTACCAAAGAAACTTTTTATATATAAATATATTGAATTTAAAAGTTAGCAGGCTGCTGCTCATATTAGGCCTTAAAGGTGTGAGTGAAATTTAAAAAAACTCACATTGTAAGGCGTTATCGGTCCATCTTTATTCCTGTACAAGTCTCTAATGAGTTCTAAGCCTTTCTCACCAAACATTATAGAAGGCTTTCAAGACCATTCGAATCTAGAACAGCTACTTTTCAATTTATATTGCAGACTGAAGGTGTGCTTAGCTCAAAAGTTTTCATTAAAATGAAACAGATTTATTTTATTCTGCAGTGGAAAAAATATTTTATATACATACCTGTGGGACATTTTGGTCAGCCAATCTAATATTTGTTATTACTGTGTAAACCAAAGATTTAAATCTTAATAGGCCATATATGTATGTTCATAAGCCTCAAAAAATGTGAAAGTATCCACATAATAATTAAACAGTATAACAGAGAGGGGATACATGTTCAATGCCTTACTGGCCAAGACACAGTTGAACAACCTAATGTACCCATAAAAAGCATTTACCGGCAGTTCAGAAATTGACAGTAAGTTGGGACCAGAACTGGTCATTATGAGACTGCGATTTAAAACAAGTTAAAAATAAAAAAACAATGGATAATTTAAAGAAATTAAACAAATTAGGGATTTGTAGAAATCTTTATATATGATTTGGAAAAAATCTATATAGGGAAAGAAACAATTGAGACACAATAGATTGGAGCAAAAATGTGGTTTTCCTTCTGGCGCAGCAGCCCTGAAATGACCAAGATTCACCATGTCCTGATGACATTCAGCTGTACTCCTGTACGATATTTATTGCTGTATTGTCACATGCAAAATCAAACCAAGCAATCATTTTTATTTGAAGGAAAAAAATTAGGAGATTCTCAATAAAAGGATTGTACGAACGCCAAAACTCCATGTGCAACAGGCCATATGAATTTTCGAAGGTGATGAAAAAGAGAAAACTTTGACAAATAAGGGAAAAACTTTGGCCCACGGTCGCATTTTCGCGCAGATGTCGAAATAACTGTCCTGCAGTCGATTCCTGCCACTTGACTTTTTCTAAACCTAACACAAAATGCATGCTTAACTTACATAAAGTTCATTAATAAATGTAAATTTCATAAATACTTTCCCTTGATAGACAACTCATCCTGTCATTCCAACCTGTCACTTAATTCATAAATTCACATCCAACCAACACGACCGACAGAAGAAAACAGCAACAAGACGTCGAAAAAATCGCGCGACTTGTTGTTGGACATTCTTAGTGACCCGTGAAGAAAACGTAAAGCAAGCGGTCGTCTCTCGTCGTCGATTAGGAGACATAACGTGCCCGTATTATTTTCAGAAATATCCAACATTTCGATTGGAAAGTAACGACTCTACGAACTTTTTCGTGTTCGCAATGTGTTCGAAACTTTTACACCCTGTCATTTTACAAAAAAATACGGGCGTGAATTGTATCACTCTCATACAGATTGTTTCATTTTGGTTGAAATTGTCCAATAATTACACTATTTTCACCAACTACTCGTAATACCCTGGCAAAAAACACTGACACTTAATCTATTTGTTTTTATAAGTTATTCAAAAAACAAATGAATGAATACTGGTATACAGTAACAATCGATTTTCCCAAATCTTTCTGGACTTTATTTTACCATGGCCGACTGTCATGCGTCGACCAAATGTTTTGCTCTTACTAAATGCGTGTACTTGACAGGTAATTCATCTTATTCATGTGCAAGTTTATTCTACTCTCAGACTCTATAAACCTTAAATTGATCTGTCTGTTGGTCAGTCTGAAACTAGTCTCCATTTAATCTTAGTAAGTTTCACTAATACCAAAGATGAATTTTAAGCGCAAAATCCCGAAGATGCGACAAAATTTTCTTCATTTCCAAATGAATGTTGGCTGCAACCTCCAGGATAGCTTGTCTCTGATTAAAAGACCAAGAAATCGTCAGAGCAAGGTAAAGTTGATCACATGTGGTTACACCATTAAAATAACTTTACCACCACTTGCTTACTTCTGCACCAATATTTATGTATCAATTTTATGAATTTATTGAACTGTTACAGACTATAATCTGTATTATTGACCAACCACTGTTTCAAGTGTTGATACTGAAAATGTTATTTAAAAGTCTTGAAATCCAATATTTTTACAACATTTTCAGCATTACTGCTTAAAATATGGTTGGCTACAGATATTAAAATTTTTTTTTTTAGATAGTTTAATAACGCATTCTGCAGAATTATGACATGAGTCATAAAATAATGAACTTCTTTATCTCATGGCAGACCTGGTGCAACTGCTCTTATATGTCTGATTGAGGTCCCCCGCAAATGGAAAGCAGCTTCGATTTTAAGTGCCCATGATTATGTATTGCTTCTTGCAGCGTTTGAATAATCAACAGTTGCAGACAAGCCTCATCTATACAAATCCTTTCAAATCTCACATTTTCTCTGATAACGTACCACACATGGTGTTGAACTGTCAAAAACTTTTATACCCCTTTTGTACCCCTATTATAGCCTATTGTTTGTCTTTTAAAATTCCCATTCCTAATAAACAAACCATTCACACTTGAAGGTTCACGAAGTCCCTTCAACCCTACTAATGCTCTTTTATTTCACTCAAATTTCAAGCGTCCAAGGCACTCAGGTTCAAATGATTGAGACCATGCTTTCAAAAAACGAACATTTTCAATAGTTACTGTCAAGAATAGCCCTCAGGATTCAGGTTTTCATAAAATGGTATTTCGAACATTGTGATTAAAATTCTTTTTATATCCATTCTTATTCCCAAATCGTTCCTGGGACCATTTGAATATGAACCAAAATACAATACTCAACAATAATAACTATGCAATGGTTTCATGCAATTTCTCAATGATTTCAGAAGACCAAAACTGGAGTGAATCAACCAATTGCTAATTCTTCTTTGAGTTCCACACAAGAAACACAAAGTGGAATGTCAACATTATGTATGATAGAGGATGTTGGTCTTGATGCTGGTTTTAGTACTGATTCAGGTATTTTACTGAAAATTTATCAACCTTGCATTTGGGTGTTTATCAGAGCAAAAATGCACATTCCACCATATTGATCATGATTATTTTGTATCCGGGGATATTGCATTGATCTGAACAAAGTTAAAAGAAACACTGGTTTCTCCATGCTTCCGAATATTTCAACCTTTTTTGATTTTATGCAACTCATTTCTTTAAATGTGTCTGATAGGCTATTGTTATTTGTGTTATTGTGTAACTCTAAGCAAGCATGACGGTATATTATTTGTAAAATGGGAATGAAATATCTTAACCATAAACATCACAAACACTCAGTGATAATAAATTAATGTCATCTATTATTCCATTGAGCATGTTTAATCTTCACCCTAATTTGATTGTTTGAAAATTATTTACTTTCGATTTATCAAATATCGGTACTTAACTGAGTTCATTCTGTACATCACTGTATTAAGCATCCCGTGGTGCAGTAGATTAGCGCAGTCTATATAATTGTCATATATTGCTAAATGTAATATAATCGAGAGAACTAGGTGAAGACCACAAAATCTGCAATGACTGCCAGATCATTATGTTTTTAGAGGTTATCAGATTATTTTATTTTATTTATTGGGTCACAGGTTGCAAAACATTATTGTGTGATACCATGTCAGCCATTTCCAACTAAAAACCTTCTCGGGCTGCATATTACATTTCAGTTTTGTCACAGGCGCACATTAAATAATATGTCATGAATTACAGGTTAATTTTGTAGTTTACTTGAACAAAAAGAGATATGATTCTTCCCAACTTTTTTGTAACTGTCGGATTTTATTCACAAGCGTCCTCTCTTGTCGTTCCAGACATAACCTTGTTTCTGTAGCATCAAGCCTATAATATGCTGCATGATTTCGGTCGAATATTGCATCACAATACACTTGGGTGAATTCTACCTACGGTAAATTCTGTTGTAAATGCCTGAGTGAGGTTTAGTGTCGAATTATTCAATGATTGAGGTTCAGTGTCGAATGAATTTGTCTGCGGGCTGCGGGTCGGACACTGTTATACTTTGTGATTAATCCTACTTGAGCAAATTCGAAAAATGATTATGTGTTGGCTGCCTAGTTATCTGATAATGTCTCAATTCAAGCTTGTTTATCAATACATGGAGAGAGGTAAACATTGAACAACTTTGTGCATTTATTTGTGCACTGAAAATGTGTTTTTGATTTTAAACTTCATATCTGGTTTTTCATACAGATTCATCTATTGAAGAAACGCGGGATGCCTGTTCTGTTATGCCGACTGGTAATTTATTTTGCCAAGTTAAATATATACACTTTTTTTGACATGAGCTGTTGAGATTTTATTGTATTCTCATACATATGCAATAGTATTGTTGCAAAATTTACCAACATAAATTGTCTTTAATTAAGGCATGGTTTATGAACTTGCCATAATTAGCATTGCTAATCTTCATTCATCTTCAGCCAAACTTCATGCTTTTGTCATAATTTCAAGGATTGCTTGTAAATTGTAATGTAATCAAGTTCCTGCTCGTACCTAGATACATTGCCCCCAATAATCCCACACAATTCCAATTACACATGAAAATTCAGCTCAGCCTTCTAAATAATAGTTTTGGGCATTGTCCGCTGTTGTGCATGTTGCACCAGTATGTGCTTAGGTTGGCGCCACATGCTTGAGCGAACGTCTCATTATCTCTAACATTATAACGAACTTTAGATTTTTAGTTTTTTTTCCAATCAATCAAATATTTCTATAACTTTACTTTCTTCCAGAAAATGTTATACTACCAGACATCATCATCAATAAACCAGACTCTAGTCCAGCGCAAAATAATCTAGAAGATACCCTTCATTTTAACATAAAGAATTCAACAATGAATCAAAGTGCTACAGAAGCTGGTATAGAAGATATTGAAATGCAGGATTTGTCTCCTATAAAATCTAGTAGGTTTGATATATTATGTAGTATGGTAAGTTGCTTGTGTTCATAGTTTTTTTTCATAACCGAACCTATTTTTTTATTTTCAGAAGATAACAAAAAAAATAAAAGAATTAAATTACTTGACGTTGGTGACCAACTTTTATCACGTGCTTCCGTAAGTTTTTTTTATAATTCTAGTTATATTCGTAATTCTATTTACTAACTTTTTACTAAATCATATAAATTTGGCAAGTTTTTGATAACCTCTGAATAGTATCAACCAGTATCAGAGAGGAAATAATATCTAGAAGTGATTTCATTGGTATATAGTTCATGTGTGTATTCATGGATGTTACAGAAGCTTGACATCGAAGTTAGGAATAGCAGTATAAAGCCCCAATTGACATATGAATGACCTCCCCAGTAAAGGAACCTAGGGTTTGATTTGTAGGTTATTCATACAAGGCTTACTGCTAGTCAAGTGTAATTTTTTATGCAGAAAATTATATTTAAAGGGCTCTAGTCAAGATGAAATGCAATACAATCATCTATTAAAAACATGTCTGTGCCAATCTTGAAATGCTAAGCAATATATTTATTAGCCACAAAAATGATAATTATGGGGAATCATATATATAAGGAGGTGCTAGATAACTCATTTTGTGCTGGACGTAATTTTGAACAATTCTTTTTTCTTTTTTAGCTTCTATGTGAGAAATCATCTGTTTCAGAATCACATTCAACTGGTAACACACCCAGGCATATCAAAAAGGTGATGAATAAATTGAGAGCCATTGGGAAAAAGAAAAGTTTTGGTTAGTTGAGCTTTTTTTTGCTTGAAAAATAAAAGGAAAGCTGTGGATGAAAATAATTTACTGGAGCTAATAATACATGTGCGTTGACTTGAGTTGAACAAAGCTTTTTTTTAGTCTAGGGGTCCTTTATTCCAGGGTTTCCAAACTTTTTAATATTGTTTCCCCTAAATCGAATTACCAAGATCTTAATTACCCCTTCCATAAAATACACTAGTCATATCGATATCACTTTTTATTTGATCGAAGATGGCGATAATACTAACACCTATTACATCTTCGGATTCGACTTGCGCTAGCTCAGCATTTCAGCCTACGATGAAGTATTGTTATTATGTTCCTATGAACGACTAGATGACTAGGCTCATTGACCAGTTGCGATCATTAAATGTCCATCCTTCCCGCAAACTAGTCAAAATTATGGGGATTACAAAGAAATTATAAAGACAGTGAACGTCTGGATTACCCCCTAATAATTGCCAAATTACCCCAAATTTCAAAATCACTGTTTTATCCACTTGAGAGTATTATGCAATATGTTCATTATGCGACAGGATGTTACAATCCTTATTAACTTTGTGAAAACTTCTGTAAAAACTTACTTATACATACAATAAAATAATAATAATTCAAACGTCATCATGGTGTTTTAGAACCAATTTGACAGTGGTTAGGAGAACTCATTTTAATTTATTTACTTTACAGATGTTTCAACTGTTGCTATTGAAAATACCGATATTAATCAGAATTCAATTGAAACGTCAAAACTAAATGAAAGTAAGAAAATTCTTAATTTTTTGAGGGACTAACTAATTCAATCAATTACTTACATGAGTGTATTGGTTGTGTTAAGGATTTATTTCACGATGAGTCTCTGCTTGTTTGCTCTTAAAAACTCTGCAATATTTGAAATAAGATGATTTGGCTGTGTAGTCTCGTAATTCGCACATACTTTTGACAGTAATTAATATGGATGGCTAATGAATTTCATCCAACAACATCAAATGAATATGCATATCATAATTTTCGGGAAGCTGTACTGAAAGTTTCGAATTTACAAGATTGCTCACCACACGTAGTACAGTTGAAAGTTTGTCACATAAATTCCATTAAATTTTCAACTAAATAATTCAAAATAGCAGAGGTGGTATTGGTCTATTTTGAGAAGAGTGACCAAGCAGACAAACTAAGCTATTTCGTTCGATGGACACTTATGAGCTTCCAGGATGCAAGTTAATCCAAAAAAACTTTAGAACAATTTTTGTTTGAATTATTTTGAGATAATTATTTTATTAGATTCACTTGAAGAAAATGACGAAGACCCAGACGAATGGTCTCCTACTAAGATGCCCAGAAAACCCTTTGGAACAAGAAATTGGCTGAGAGACGATAAATCACCATCGAAGTATCTAAGCCATGATATTATTCCTGCATGGAAAAAGGTACACAAAAATGATAAAGGTATGCAATATATTTATCCTGAAATGTATTATTGTTTATTGGTTTCAGGCGATATCAAAACCCCAACATGTGCCTGTCCATACGTCATTTCGGACAAGTAGTCCATCTCCTTACAATGTGGCATCCAGTAATCCCTCAAGAGAGAATAAAGCTATGTTTCAGGTAATAGAATTTTTTCTTAATGAAGAAAGCATTTGTTTACATGAGTGTTGGCATTTCTCCTGTTTTTTCTTCAAATGGTTTCTAAAGCAAAAAATGATAGAATCAGGGTATCATTAATAATGGCCACACTTGTGCACAATACAATCTCACGTAGACCATGGTCATCCCACCATGCTGTCATTGTGAAACTGCCTCGGCACAGCTATCTCCATGGTTACCTAGATGTGGTGTTTGGAGTCGATTTTTTTGTTGAAATGCGACTGCCAAAGATACCTCGACATATTTAGTGATCAACTTTTAATTTTTTTTTAATCATTTTCTTTTAATGTATTGGTTTCCCGCATCTCCTTTCACACTAAAATGTGATTTTTATATAATTTATTGCAATTTGTATTTCTTATGCCTATTTTCAGTGTGTTGGAAAAATAAACTACTGATTGTTGATTACTTGTACGACCTGTTACAATTAAATGATTCTTATCTGTATGCTTACTCTAACCCTTTGCTCAAAATATTAAACCTGGAAACATAGCATCAATACTTTTTCTCATTCTTACTTTAACCGTTTGCCTCGCCCTCAGGTTTATATCTATCTTAACATAGAAAAGTGTAGTATAAGTGGTACATAAGATTTTTGAGACACCAACCAATATATTCACATGTTAATCTTACTGATTAAGTTAACTTGCATTGATCCAATATGTTTACCAGATATCTTCAATTCGAGAATGTGATTCTGATGTTAGTATTCACCTCAACTTTGAATCGTTACCAAAACATACAATCAACAGTGATGAAATCGCTCCCTTTTCATCATTGAATTTGTCAGGTAAATAGGCTTTTTCATAGGATAACCTCAAAGTATGTAACAAACTATTTTTCAACTGATGAAAGTGTTGGTTAGGTTAGTTTTGGATTATGAATTTTATTTTTATTTCCTCCTGAAAAATATCTGTACTGTACCTAAGGTACTATCCTATCCTCAAGGCTCAAACGTGACTTTCATTTTAACTAGCGGAACATTTTGTGGAAAAAAGCATTATTCAGAATGATGACATACCTGAACTGAAGGAACCTCCGACCATTGAATTATCTAAGCAGGTACAAGTCAATAGTGCTTGACAAAAGTAGCATAAATAAAAAATAAAAAGTTTTTCTTGTGTGATTTTTAACAAGATGATATGGTTAACTTTTATCCACCACCTCATTTTTTGAGATATCCATTTTTATTGTATACCGCCTTTTACTCCAAACAAGGGAGCTCCAGAAGTATGTGCAACAGGTTGTGCGCCATCTTAGTGCACATACTTAGGGAGCGCCCAAACAAGTACAGAACCAGCAAACATTCGTATCTAACAATATGTAAGTAGATACTATTTTTTGGAAAGACCGGATTCTTTCTGGTTTGCGATTGAATACCCTATTTTTCATACGACGACGCGAGGTCGACATGGAATTCAAACCAGAGATGTGTAGCCTGCGATGCCTAGTCAAGTCTAACATTATATATCCAGTAGTACATCACATGCTATCGGATCTGACTTTAAGATTTCAAATTTGCACCAGCTCAGCATTTCAGCCTACAATCTGTATGACAAAGTATGGTTATTATGTCCCTACGAACCACGTGACTAGATGCGAGCATTGCATGTCCAGCCACAAGTATAAATGTTCTCTTTTACTAATCGTTATCTGCTAGTTTTGTTACAAAATTACCTTGTATAGTTTTACAATGATCAGAATGATGTTGAATATCTTCACGAAAATGCAAATGCTTCCAACACAAAGCAAGCCAATGAAGAAGAAATAGATGAAGATACACCAGTGCAATCGCCAGCACCATGTTTATCTAAGACCCCAGATTACCAGGAAAAGAATAAAACACCTTCACAGAATAATCTAGCTCAAGCTTGTAAGATTCCATTGGATATTATTTCTCAATTGCCTTCACCAGAATTCATATTCAAACGTACTAATAGAAAGGCACCAAGCTGCAGTAACATTCCATTTGATGAAATGGGTTATCTCTAATTTCGAGGAACATTTCATAAGTTTCATTTTGAGCATATCAAATGTATTAAAAAGTTGTTGATACATGTTTTCAAGATTGGTGTACAAATGTGTGCCATAAAATGCCACGAAATGTCAAAATTGAATGGCCATGAAAATAACCTCAATTATTTGTCACCCTGTTCTACAAAACAAAATTTGTTTTATTCGGTTGAAATTCCAGATTGACTCAAAACAAAAATATAGATTGCTTAGCGTGTCTATCGCTATTAGTAGTATTTCTAATACAGTATGTATATTTCCATTTATTTTTTCTACTTACGTCCATATTGTATTGCATATTTAACACTGTGTATGAAAGTTTCAATGAAACTTGTAGAATCTGTCATCATAGATCCGGAAGATTTATATTGCTAATATGACTATTGTTTGAAAAAAATGAAAGATAAACACAGCTAATAACATCCATTTTTTGTCATCTTCATTCTGTTTTGTTGATGAATATCGAAATTTATAAGTTCTATATTTTTTTTTAAATTCAAAATACACCCCAATTTATTCAAATGCTAAAAGTAACAAATAAGTGCACAAACAGCGCATTCTGAATACTTCGCTGTTTATCTGTGAAAGAACAATCAAAACTAGTAGTTATCAATCGATTCAAATCAAATATTTGTACCAGAATTACTTTTTTAAATAAGAACAGAGAATAGTACGCAAGCACATACTTTTTTTTCTATTTTTCATGAATGGCTACCGTTGGAAACAAAGACTGAGGTATTTTCAGTTGAAATAGAAATCAATCGATTTCAACTAAATAATTATGATGGTAATACCGTGTTTCCCCGAAAATAAGACCTGGCCTGACTGTTACAAATGATTTTAATATGAGCCCTCTCAAAATTTTTGACCGAGTCGATAGCAAGAATTCTCTCCTACACATTTTAAATGATTGATAATTAATCTATGTTTTGCAGTTATTTTGAATAAAGACGTGGTATTTATAAGGAAATGAATATCGGTTGCATATTTTGTGTATTTGAAAATCTCGTAATTCTCTTATTTGTAATTTTGTTTTTGATAAATGAAAATATAAGACATCCCTCAAAAATAAGCCCTAGTGTTATTTTTCGGAAGAAAATTGAAATAAGACACAGTCTTATTTTTGGGGAAACACGGTATATGAAAGAACAGGAAATACACATCTGCCAAACATTGTCTGATTGATTCTATGTTAAACTTTATTCTTTTGGAGCAAATATAAGTCTTTGTTCCGCACCCAACGCTCGTGGAGTAGTTTAATTTTTTTTTTTTTAATTTTCAACTTTGAATGTGCAAAAAAGAGTGATTTGACACATCAATTTCTATTATTGCGATTTCTACTTGATGCAATGTAACAATTTTCAGGGATATAATCAAATAATCATATTTTTGTCGTTGCAATAGTGAAGCGTGAGGCGTCCAACTTTGACTTGTGTGCTTATCCTGTAACACACGTCATTTTACGCTTCATTATTTCGGAGCTCCGGTAGTATGTGCACCAAGATGGCGCACAACCTAAACATAGTATGTGTACCAGGTTAGGTTCAGGTTGTGCGCCATCTTGGTGCACATACTACCGGAGCGCAATTTTTTCTGCCAAGTAAATATTGTTTCACGTAATAGCATAAATTTAATGTTTGTTTACTGTTGTTGTTTTTTCGAATAATTTGCTACCCATCTACAATATGAAATATTTATTGTTCAGTTAAATGCATTTCCATCGTATTTAGTTTATTTTTCAAGATTGTTGTTCATTAGACAGACGTTAAACCAGTTTTGGTCCACCATCCACTCAACCACCGTATTTATTATTAAAATATAATCATATATGATTTATTACACACTGTCGTCATATTTTATGGCGAGTACAATAATTAGACGGAGCTCGTCGACGCATACTGTATACTATATATATGATATGTACGCTGTTTGTTATTTGAATAAAAAAAAGTTCGCTGTGAAAATTTTTTTGAGTTGAAATCCATTTATGGCGAAAGGCGATGTTTTTGCTTTCTGTTGCTCTCTCAAACACTTTAATTGTTCCAAACTTGGAATATTTCTCGGAAGAAGCTTCCACTGCAGCTGTTCAGGACGAAGAAGAATTATCCGGAAATTGACGAACAGTTCACGTGACAGGAGAAGGGGCGAATTGGCCCTATCTTATCTGTGTGTCCAAACTCTCGTGTTATTAGGTTGAACACACGTTAACGAAGCAAAACCGCAATATGCACTTCCTCGTAGGTCAATAAGCATACAATGTATTGAATTCCAAATGTTTGTTAGAGGCCTAATACAGTAACACGGTCGTAATTCAAAGCATTGATCCACACAAAACATGAAAAACACTAAATTTCAAATAACATTAAAATCCATAGGTACAATCCACATTCGCTACAAAAGCATATACGTCTGCGCATTTTTTCAATGAGAAATTAGTGGAAGCGCATATTAAGATTACCTAATTATAAGGCGATTTTCACGAACACATGCTATTCTACGGTATTTCCGTAGTCTGGTGTAAAGATAGTCGGAGTCTGTCTTGTCTCCATTAATATTGGCATCGGATCCGGATTCGCCATTTAATGGCATCAAATAACAGCAGACTGTAAAAGAAAAACGTGCGCACGCAAAGGTATCAAAATATTTTTTCGTAGCTGGGGACAGAGTCGCAATTTTTCCTCACCTTGAAGCCGGAATTTTTGTCAGTTCGGACCAGGGTTCGTTTTAAATGGCTCGCAGTTGATGGTATATTTCCCCGACTTCCCGTTGTATAAAAAATCGATACTTTTTGAGTTTTTATTTCCCAACGTGGCGGTACGGTATCACCCCAAACCATCAAATGATGTCGAAACCGCGCTCCGGCGGTGGTCCACTACCGACTGAATAATAAATACTAATATATTCTCGTTGGGAAACGCATCACGTCTATTCTGTTGGCAAATTTCCACCCGGCCATTAGCTGTTCCCGTTGGTGAGTCAATATTTAATGACCTGGTTTTTATTGCTGAATTAAACGAATTTTATGCTCTATGTTTATGTTATTACTGAACTAAAATCGATCCAAATTTTTAAAATTTTCACCCTGTGGCTATTCTCAAGGGTGCAAATTTTAACAAATCTCTTCCGAACTATAATTTTGAGCAGAGCATGACATTCGCATGTAAAACATAACAGTTTAATTGTGTTGAATAAAGTATTATCAAATCGCATGTGTCTGTGTGAAAATCAGTATTAGTATCATCTTTTACGAGTTTTCATTCATAGCCAATGAAATGATGAAAGGCTTCTGGTAAGGAAGGACACCACCACGGTCATATCAAACAGGACTTACAAAATGACTGTGTTGGAAACAAAATTAGATTGCACCGAAATGCTCGTCATTCGAAACAAGTTGACAAAAAAAGCTGTCTTGATAATTTACACGAGTTCGGATGACTATGGACCAGTTATCGAAAATATAGCAGACACCAGACATGGCACATGCTCGCCAAAGACTAATTGGGAGGCATCGTTCTATGTAGCAATGCATACGATGGAATAATCGATACTTGATGATGTAGGACATTTTTGCTTGTTTTTGTGAACTTAGTTTTTTTTTACCGATGAATAATGATTTATATTTTCGTTCATATAAACCTTTTCCTACGAGAGTTCGTCCCTTGTCACGGAGTCGCAGGAGTGTCAAATGCAAGTGACCGTTATGGTAAGCTCCGTGAATGTCATTACCGTCATAGTATGATCGAATTTTGATCGACGGAGACGAAGGAAATGCGTCACTTAATTGCAGGTCTTTATAATGTTAAAGTTGTTCGATATTCAACAAGTCTTTGTTAGGTAGGTATAAGTATAAATGCTCGAACTGGAGTCACAGATAGGCTGCGCTTTTAGCTAAGATTTGCGGAAAAAAATCGAGGAAAAAATTAGTCTTCTTTTACTTTTGAACTATAGATTCTACTATAAAACGTTGTTCATTATTAATTTATTGGACTAATATCATATATATAACAAATCACGTCCCCTAGACTAGAGGGACAAATAGCTGGACAAATGTACTATAATTGCTTAACCACACATTAATCTGAGCAGTGTTCGCAGTTCCAAATCATCTAGGGGCTATTATGTGGTCGAGGATCAATGAATCCCGCTCCGTTTAAATAATGGTTTAGGTAAAGTTATGGGCAGTTACAGCTTTAGACACGTACTCGTAGCATTCAACTGCTTAGTTTTTATCCTAGTCCGCTAACTGGACAAGATCTTCCCATATGATTTATCTACCTTGTTTGAGAATCAGTTTTCTCCAAAATAGAAACGGGAATCGCCCCCTCGATGCAAAAATGAAATATTCCAGAACTCTAGATACCGTCCGCATTTCGCCAAGCTGGATGTATTAAGGTAAAAAGATTGTATTCTACCGGTTTGCGAAGTCTCTCCTTGCTATTGATATAAGCAGCACATGATAACACGTCGCCTTGAACTTATCCACGTCAGCATATCTACGAATCCCAAAATCCAAGATATGACAAAGCTAGCACACGTGTTTGCGGAGGCAATGTTTGATCAGAACAATTATAATTTAAGGTAAACGCTTCTAGACTTGCGTGAAATATATATACGGTTGACAAACACTTCTCGTCATTTAACCTTTCCATGGCAAACTTTGGTCACCTATATTATTGGATTAGTGGGTCTGCAGGAAAGTGCAAACGGAAGATCTGCCAGTTGACTTTTAGTGAAGACCAAACAATCCGTTGTATTGGTGAGAAAACAAATTTTGGCGTAGCTATACACCAGTCTGGTGTTTGTGTTCTGCGTTCTCTGGATATTTTTAGATATTACGCATTATCGACGTTGTTAAACATGAAAACTAACCTTTTCTGTTGGTTGTTGTCGTACACGCAAGGTAACTATTTGTACAAGAATCAATGCATATGAGCATTATATAGTTATTTATAGATGAATTAGTTGTAATCAATCTCTTGGCTTGTGTCTAGAATCTAGGTGTATCAATAACAGTTGTTTTGGACGAGTATTTTGTTTCAGATATGTTGGCAAAAGCTGGTTATTCGTCCAAGGCATCACTCCCAATTAAACTAATAATTTTGGTATGAACAGAGGCCAGCATTTCTCTAACAGGCGACTGCAAAAAATTGTTTTTTTTTAAATATGAATTAAAAGCGTTATTCATATTTTGTATATAAATCACATAATAATATTTATAGTAACGGTGTGTGTAAAAATAATAAGGTTTTGAATATTACATGATTTGCGAAAATTTATTAAAAATTAATGATATTCGTCTTCGATGTCTATAAATTTGATACGGATTAAACATCGTTGTGAGGTTGAATTAAGAATGAAAGAATCAGATTTCCTTTTCTAGCGGTCAGGTGAATACAACCCTTGGCCAATGAACAACTGTAATCTGGCAACGGATATTATGAACTCGCTCCAAAATTTGGATTTTGCGGAGTGCGTTGTTCTACCATCAGTGGCTCACGTATATAGTAACCTTGTGTGTTCTATCCGTTGTACTTATGTACAGCTTCACAAGTGATTGGCATTTAAAGTTTTTTCAAATGATAACATATTATTTAATCTATGCTAATCTTGTAAAGATGAACTAGGCGAGTTTAACGCAGTAGAAAGTTGATAGCTGCAATCTAACATCACAACGCTACGCCTGATAAATTATCACATGGAAATAGTTCCTCGGGTACATTATTTTATTCCAATTACATTGCCTGAAAGCTACGAAAGGAGGTGTGACTGCGATACCGTGTAAATAAATGTTCGCATATGTGGCTGGATTATGAATAGGATCTTTCAGTAGTAGTGACTCCTGTGATGACTAGTTGTATTCAGATAAAGATATTTGTTTATTGAAACAGAATTCGATTTAGAGTAGTCATATATCAACTCAAGGTAGTTTAGTTTAGGATATTTTTGAATTCTCATTTCCAGATTTCTCCATGGGACCATTGTTCAGTTTGCTGGGAGCACCAGCAATGCCCTCGCTAGGTAGCAATTGCTTATTCATCAATATTCATTTCTCGACTTTTTATTATTAAACATAGTGGTTATACACAAAACTGTTTTTATGGAAGAGAAAGGGACACGAAATGCTCTAACCACTAAGCAAATGTGGCCTCTATAACAATTTTTATCGTAATTTTTTTTTAAATCAGAGAAATGGGCCCGGTTGGGTTTGTACCATGATGCACCAGATTTTGTGGATTAGTTATAGTTTACCAAAACGCAAAAGTGCGTCGTTTATATTAATTTTGAACAGATTCTTGAAGTATCTGTTATTTTTCACAGATATAGTTTCCATTTTATAGAGATTATATAAATATTTAATGTATCACTGATAAAAACTCCGAGTTCTGACTATTTCATTATCCAAAAAAACCCATCAATATGAGAAATGTAATTTCTTTTTTCGACACTCACTCAGCTAGGTATTCACAAATTACCGAACTAATTAATGATATTTTTTTGCCGTGAAATTTAATTTATTAGAATATGTAAGCCTACCTAAAATATAGGGAATACGAAAAAGTGCTAACAATTTCAATTCAAATAAATATTTTATGCCTGTTTCTGGCCAGTTGGCTTTTTAACCAATATCAGTAATTAAATCGAAGTTGTATGCACATAATTTAGATATGTCGTATCTTCAAAGCATGTTGATGTGTAGATACATTTTAATACATAGTCACAGAATATGTATAGATGAATTTCGCAGTTCGGTCGTATACGACACATAAATAATTAATCATATTTTCTGGAGGTTGGTTTAATTTATTCCACAACTTATATCTGTATGTTTGTGAAGTGACTTTAAATGTGAGAGCAAAGTTATGGCTCCACCCAACTTTTTATTAGAATCAATGTTTTTTTACAATGTTCCCAAGAACTCCACAAACATCTCGTTTCCACATTGCTAAATCATGTTATATTTTATTTACTGCTTTATACACTAAACGTGGCAGGAAACAGGTGTTGCAATAATTTCATAATAATATTAAATAAAATTGACAATTATTAAATATTACTAGCTATAAAAATCGTGATTGTTAAAAACAGGTTTTAATATGAAATATAGAGAGTCTAATCCTAAAATCCCGGCTTCAAATAGGGCACATAAATTCAATAAACCAAAACACTACACGGGATTTAGTTTGAAACTGTAAAAACATTATGGTATTTACGACATCATCATACGTCATGTTTTCTCCAAAGCGTATAGCAAAAATAGAATCGTTTTATACCGCATTCCAAGCATTGTTAAGGAATATACAAAATTTTAGGCCTTTCATATTAAATGTGAAAAAACGGCAAAATCACAATATACATATGAAATGATTCATACACGGTTTGGCTACATCGTCTACTGGTATTCTAAACAGAATTTTGAAATGTTTCATTGACTGTGCTTCTGCTTCATATAGTGAACTTTTCGTTAGTAAACAGCTATACATCTTCACTTTCGGTAGGCTATATTTGCTTGGGCGTTGCCTTGTACAAAATAACAAAGACCTTATAACGTTTACAAGCAATAACTTCGCTGTTACGCCCCCTATACAGTTGATAGGATTCCACCGTTTTTAGTGCCAACGTATGTATTTGTTTGAACGTTTATAATGCTTTACTGATTCCAAGTGATTTTATCGTAATTTTAACTTTTGTAACTGTATTTGATTTCATCTCGAACCCAGATAAGATTATCAGTTTTATGTTAAATCACAATGTCTGATACTTGGATACTGAATTGCACAACATCGACACCACACATGTAGATGAATCAATTTACTTCAAATATTTGACTATCGTCCGTTTGGGCGTTTCTAAATAGCTTCGAAATTTAGACAAAGTGTTTGTCCACTTAAGCTGTATAGTACATCACCAAGCAAATGGGGATTTTAACCCGTACAGGTAAACATTACCACCGCGATCAGCCACAACGGTGTTTGAATTATGAATTTGTACCGGCATCAAACATGACCGTTGATGGATGCAGAACCTTGCGTAGGGTTATTTTGAAAGTACATAATTTTATTTACAGTAAAATAACAGTTAAGTTACTGCAATGTTCATTTTTATGCATGGTTAAATAGGAAAAGTGGTTGAACACCTGTGTAACAATGTAGTAGTAGTAGTAGAGTTTAAATATTTATCAACGACCACAAGATGGCATCACCTTAATGGTTTGAGCGGTCAATACCTCATTAATCCAGATAATCTGGATATTCTTGATTAAATATTAATGCTTTAAATGCTTGCCTCGATGAAAGTTGAAAACATGAGAGGAATCTGAGATATTTAACTATTTACAATGATGTGGTTAGTAAACGCCCGATTCACTGTGTCATCGCTGTACTGTCCAAATGTTTGTATCAATTAGTCACATAAATTATTTCGCCACGATTTTAAATTTCTGTGACTGCTCTCATCATTTGTTTGCTTCACTTAATTCCCCCACAACGATTCAAATTATTTCTCAATATCAATCGATACAAAATTTTTAACGATATTTTTCCTACGTAGCACCCAGTTCATTACAGTCATACGTTGGTATTGCGTAGCAATATTATGAGCTTCTTATAATTGTTCAGTGAATGATGTGGACATGCGATGTAACTGTACTAACGCCAATTTCAGTTTGCCCTACCAAATATGACAGTGTGTTACTAATATTCTCCAAAATACAACGAATATAACGATTTTTTTAAACTGTATTTCATATTTGCTAACAGCGTTTTGCGGACGCCTCCAATATCCCGAATTAGGCAATAAATCGATCGTGTTTTTGCAATATTGGGTGGCGAAACGAAAGCAATTATATTAATGCCCATTAAAATGAATTCTAATCATTAGGGTCTAATCCTAAGCGTTTGATTTGTATATTTTTAATTTTAAGTGCACGTGGACAAGCGTTTTTCCCTTCTTCGCAAACAAAGACCGATCGTTGGTCAATCTTGTCTTATTTGTTCAGAATAGATATAGACATGTACAGTAAGTTGTGTAAATTTATAAGTGTTGATAGGGAAACGAAATTTCAGATTTGTAGAAATAAAAGTAGAATTAGTTAAAAAAAATTAAAAATTGGTGTATGAAAAACCGAAGCAAAGTTAAAAATGCGAGTAACTTTATAAATTCGATTATTTTTGCTGATTTTCATATTTATTTAATACGAAACTTATTTCAGCTTCAGATATCAACTTTGGAGAAAATTATTACCAGTACTTCAAATACCGTTTCAATAAAACAAAAACTTCAAACTAATTCGATGCGGTTTTAGTATTTTAGCCACATTCAGTTCAATTGTTGAACACAAAAATATTAAGTTATCAAATTTTAATTCGTTGACAACAGTTACAGATGTTTGCTCAGAGATAGATTGTGTCTCAACTGAAGTAGATAGAAACTACAAGCTGGATAAATAGATTCAATTGTTTAGTTTTTCTTAATTGAGGTTGTAGTTCATTCATCAAGTTGTAGAATTCAATTTTGTTGGTGTATAATGAAATGGTTTTATATCTCAACGGCTAAACCTTCGTTATTTTTCTGAAGTATATGCAAAAAAAATCAACTGCATAAAATTTAACCTGAGTAAATAACAAAATGAATATATATATATATACTGTATTTTAAATTGTATCATCTATTCTGGAATATCAATCAATTAAAGTTGTTAATTGCAGAAAGCGTACGCCCATAATGTTTTCGAACAAGTGTATTCATCGATTCTGAATTTTGTTGTTTAATACCATTTAGTCAGAGGAAAGCGGATAAGCATACGACGTACCACGGCCTCTCGTCCAGTTATCATTTCATGTCGAGTATGAAATTAGTTAGCCAGTTAGCTCGTTAAGGGCAGGCCTTTATTTCAAAATAAAAGCACGGTGTTTCATTCTTTTAGCGTTTACAGTTTGTCATATCTGAAATCTCCTTACGCATATTTTCTTACGTATAACTTTATTTCCAAAGGTAAACATAGATTAAAAAGAGAGTCGGAACTTGTTATTTGCACAAAGGGTTTTAATGTCACAAACGCAAATAACAGCAGCGCCGTAATACCTTTTCAAGAACTTAAGGTGTATTACATAGAAGTCTATTCTTAGCGTTAAACTCAGGTACTTGTAATACTGTATTTGTATATTGAGATCTTTCATATACCGGACGTTTGTAAGGTAAATCTTACAGATTGAAGGTGAGGTTGAAACTATAATGCGATGGAACGTATGGTACGAACACTTTAAAACGAAAGCAGCATTGTAGATTATGTATGTGAATTAGGAGACGCAGTTTTCCCTAATGATGCATGCTGAAACTCGCAACTTGTTACGCTTGATGAGATTTAGTACTAGAATTAACAAAATTGGCCGTTGGCCGGTTAAGGACGCACCACACAGACTATTCATTCCTATTCAAATTATACTTTTTATGCACGAATTGTATCTATATTTCATTTTTTAACAGTAAATTACTATTATGGGGTTTATTACTCTTTCAAATTCCCATTACACAAAAATAGTTGAAGTCAATATAATGCTGTTACTCCCTATTTCAAATTATTCTATGAGACACGCGTTTATATCTTGAATTTTGTAGTTTTTTTGTAATTCACGGCACACTTCCATACAACATTGGGTACAATGCTTTTGACATGTTGCTAACATTTCGTCTGTCTTCTTAGTCATTTGGCCTGCATGTCCAAAGGTTCGCATTGATATAAAAAATAGTAAATACATGTAAATATTGTATATAGTAAACAAACATGAGAGGTATGGATATACTGACACCGAACCTGTTATTTTTATGCTTATTTAATTGAATTGGGTGGCAACTGACTCTGATGACCCTCAAAGGTCGTATCGTTGCGTCCCAGTCATGTACCAAAAACATCTGTTTATTTGATATTTATATATGTATGCATATTATATTGTTTTCTTGGATTGACAAAATGAAATAAACTATCTCTCTCTCATCTTTTTTGCTTGATGTTCTTTTTTTTACAATAGATCGGTCACAGCTAACTCTCTTTTGCATGTTCGTATTTGCAAATTGCAATTGTAACATTTTCGATTTTTGAGCAGTAGTAGGCCTACTTTTATAACAACTCCAACTCTCTTGTCTTATCGACCAGTATTTGAATTATTATTTTTTGTATCTTGATAACGCTTGTACAGATATATATCTCAAATATTTATGTAAACCCTCTAATTATAAACACCTGTCATTTTGAACAATGCCAAACCTTTCTAAACCTGGTGATATAATATCTGCGGATATCTGCAAACGTAGTATTGGAGGATTAGGATTTCTAGTCCGAGAAAGAAGACGAAAACCAGTTGTCATCGTTTCGGATATAATCGAAGGTATTTTTATTGTACATTTCTCATTCCCAACGGGAAAATATGCTTTTTTATTATATATCAAAAACAAACGAAATCTCTAATAAAGATTTGCAATTCAATCAAGGTGAACAACAGAAATCATTCTGGGTATGCTTTATTTGCAATTAGTACTGAAAGCCACGGAACTCTTGTCGCTCTTTGAACCCACTCTAAACTATTTTTGACTTTGGTATGGAGGAATTTCCCCGTCATATTTTGTCATCGTACAGCTGCGTCGTGACATCGTTGACGACCAGTTAGTATAACTTCTTATCGGAGAGAAAAGAGGTACTTCGGTGGGATTTTAAATCAGTTAAAAATGACCGTTTTACATCGTTTTTCCATTTCTGCTGCAAAATCTTAACCTTCCACAATAAGAAACATGGTCTATAATTCACTTTTATCGTGTAATACACGAGGTCCACAAACAGCGCATATGGTTACACAAACTAGAAGATGTCCGCGAGCGAATGCGAGAAACGCGCTTAACTGGACAACACGTGGCCAAACACTAATTGTGACGTTTCGCAATCTGGTTCTTAACAATGCGCTGTCGCAGCAATAATTGAGAAAGTCACCACGCAGAGAAGACTATTGTTCTGCTAGCTGCTATGTTGCGAGGTATTTTTATGTCCCGATTTTTCCAAGTTTAAAATGTGAATGATCAACGATTTTGCGGCATAGTTGCGCTAAAACTGAAAGACTAACATCTGATATCTTCCAAGGTGGTGCTGCTCACGACACCGGACTTCTTGAAGTTGGCGATGTCGTTTTGAAGGTAAATTCCGTGGATCTAACGAACGTTTCATATCAAGAAGCATTGTATGCTCTCAGAGGTGGGTCCTGTTCTAACTTTCACTAATATTAAAGCCTTGAGTTCATTTGTAACCTTAACATTCGCAACATTTCTGGTGTACTTTAACGAAGTGATGAATTACGAATTTTTGCTGTACGATTTCTTGATTTCACAACACATAGAAAATATAACTATCAGTAAAGAATGCGTGAGACTGACTCCCAATCATTTTTCAGTGCCTTTACGCTAGTGAATGCGTATTATGTAAGAATGCTGTAGCAGGAATAAAAAGAACATAGTATGCAATTCAAGAGTCTTACTGCACACCAACACAAATATATTTCTTTAACGTTTCGTCTGACCAAAATGACCAGAACTCTTGAATTGCATACATAGAAAATATGTTGGTTTTTCTGAAGCATTCGATATCTTACATGTATACACAGCGGTAAAACCTGGCGAGACAGCTACTTTGCTTCTTCGAGTTCGAGATGGCTTTACGAGTAGACTGGAAACCACTTTCAACCACCAGGGGCAGGCGAGGACTGTACGAATCACTGAGTCCAGCGTTCCCGTGGTCAATTCTGAAGGCAAATCGAGTAAACTTACTAATGGAGGTCCGAATTTAGGTAAATGCATTATTTATGTACATAGAGAATGCCAAAAATTTCGAAAATAAGACAGTAAAAAGGATTTCCCGAGCATATAGTTTAGTTACATTTTATTATGCATAGGAAATTGTTTTAGTGTAATGAAAATCAGTGTTCACCTATATTATAATGTATAGAATAAAGAGCGCTCCAGAAGTGTGTGTACCAATATGGAGGCAATTATGGCCTAACCCTAACCTGGTACACATATTACGGGAGTACCTATCAAAGTGTCTGTTAATACTTGCTGCAGCTCTTCAAATTTATTTAATTGAGCTCACACTCACATATTTGAATCTTAAAATTTATATGTTGTTTACGAAGATTGAGGCATACAGAAAAGACAAGAAACCCACGCAAAAGACGATTCGACCGAAATGTCTTCCCCAAAAAAATCGTTGGATCTTACCGACTGTGTGTAGTGTTTTAGAGATATTTATGTTGAATAGGAAACTTTTCGATATATTAATGGAATATTTTCAATGCATCAACTTCCCCACAACTTGAATGTGCCAACAACGTTCTAAACTGTTTACTGTGTGGTAAACGGAAGCCGGTCTACAGCTAGTTGTTTATGATTATTGAGATTATCCTGTAATCGAAGGACGAAATTATAACGCTGAATTCTACTCGTTTACTGGGGCATGCCTTGCAACAAATTGCACTTTATGTGGGGAATTCTTCATGTTCTTGTTTGGAATGCTTATTTTAACAGCTGAAGACAAAGTATCGAATTAGTGAAACATTTTACCCACTAAAATTACGCTGGTTAATTAGCTTCGATTGTTAAACTTTTTAGCGTCTTCCCGTGATTTCAACTAATAGGAGGCATTGTTTTAAGTATGGGCAGGACATGCGTTCAAAATGACAACTCTCTAACAATTGAACGGCGTTAAAAATAAATAATATGTGTAGTCAATGCTGTATCAACTAGCGTATGCCACGTACGGTACTAGTCGTGTATATTCTACAATTGCTAGGAATGCGTGCGGGATTTTTTAGCTATTTTATACTTTATTTGTCAGTTATTCAGGCCGAGAAAAACGCCGAACGATTTTTTTTAATGTGTTGGCAAAGGCGTCTATATAAATCGGAACTCTCTACCTGGCTAGTTATTAAATCTCTAATGACGGTCGATAAATGAATTAGCAAATGTCTTTAGGCACCTTTTGTCGAGCCCGAGTGGCCTAAAAATTGTCATTCGCTGATTTGCTTTGAATATTAGAAGAAGAAAGTTAAGCTAAAGTTGTTCCACCAAACTTGTGGAATCGTGCTAGTTCTAATTCGTAGATTGTCTTTCTAATGATAAATACAGCATGTATAAGCGTGTAAACGTGACAGTTACATTATCGCAACAAGGACATAAAACTTCTGTTTTGATTATTTAAATTCGTCGATAGTGAAGTTAGCTGCCAATACAGTTGAAAATAGATGCCATTCAACATGGTCGTATAAAAATTTACCCTGAAGCCAAAAGTTAAATGGGGTTTATGGGAAATTAATTACTTCGGTGTATTTTTACATGTATCGATGGTATATGGTTTGCACAATTATAGTTGTTCGCTTTACTTTCTTACGATGGGAAAGGCTTCAATCAAAAGTTATTTTACGAGTCCCTAGGATTGTGATATATGAGCGTACGAACTGGTGTACACTGTACATAGTAAAACTGTAAAGCTGTAAATGGAATATATTATGTAGGCATGTTGCTTAGAAGAGTGAGAAAAGAGACAATTTGCTTGAAACTATGGCAGATTCATTTTGTTATAAAATAGATGTAATCCATAAAGTAGAATTAACGGTACTCCCGTAGTATGTGTACCAGGTTAGGGTTAGGCCATAATTTTATTCTGATTTTTCTTATTTTAGTTGTATTACTAGTTCGGGGACTGTCTGTGTTAGCCAAATGAATATACCCCTGCCCATATATTTCAGTCCCTTTCACAATTTGATGTAAAGTAGGCGAACGAAATTAGTTACATCCATATTGTTACACATACTTCTGGAGCGCCGAATTAACTTTATAATGGTTTGACATGTGCATGAAAATATATGGTGTATACTAAAATACATTTAAACACTTTGGAACGAATGATCGTAGCTTAGAAAGATGTCGCCGTAAAAAGTGTATGTATCAGTCCCATCTTGGTCAAGATCACGTATAAACGTCAGTCCCGTTTGAAACACGACCGCCTTACATTTATGGATCGATATATATTTTTTTATTATTTCCTTATTTGTTGAGAACAGGTTGTTTTGTTTACGTATAGTTTATATTACATATTGAAACGTAACCGCGATCTATATGTGGGTGAATACATTCGAGAATAAATATTGCGAAATTAACCGTGAACGTGTCTTGTTGAAACCATACATACCATACGTGTTTGGTCTATCTTTTGCGGCGCAATGGTTTCTCGGGAGGATAAGTATACGTTAGGTTATCTCGGCTATATGACTCTTTATACAAGTATAATAAGCATTACAGTGAGCATGAGAAAGAATGGAGACGGGGATTAGTGCATCAATATTGCGATCAAACGTATAGAGGGAAGTAGAATATAAAATATGTTTATATCTGTCAAATCTGAAATTGCAGGTTATTTGGCTTGAAACGTACCTTAACTCGTAGAGAAAAAAGGATAGCCGATTACAACTATACGTTGTGACAGATTAGACAGCGTAATGTAAAAAATAATCACTTTATTTATTGTAAGTGTTGCGTGCCTTGATGTATGTAAATATTCGTGACATGCGTCTATTCAAAACACATTCGCATTTTACTTTAAAGTGTTTGAAAACAGGGAACATATCAAACTTAATATTTTCTTAGAACGTAATAGCAGATTTATACGTGATGCTTAGTGCTTAGGAAAAAAAACTGATTTATGGATTCAGATATGCATGTAATGCCTCAGAGTCATATAGAATATAGCATATAGGACATATTGTGGAGGTTTTGCAGTACATATGTTTATAGGTCAGACAATGCTCGTGAGGAATTCAAATTTTTTATAATACCGACATTGGCTATTGCTCTCCGAGTAACCGACAACGTTCGACCATATATTGTACGCTTGGTCGTTACGAAATCCATATGTCTAAATTACAGACAACTGTTATATGATAACATTAAATAATATACCAACAAATATAGCACATTTCGGTATCTGTTGTTGATGACATTTTAAAATTGGATTATTCTCCGGGTATAAGGTTCCGTTAAAGTAAATTTATGATCTTAATGATATTTTAGTATGTATTCAGCATTGGACAGTATTGTTTACATTTTTCTTGAATTTTTATATTTGCAGATAATCGAATAGTCAGGTCTACACCAAACGGACAAAATACGAGAAGACGTGAAAGTGTGAAAAAAATAGAATCAAAAACAAACTCTTTATCTGAATTAACCTGTGGTGTTTGTCTATCTTCAAACAACCCTACGATACCACAACCACCTCGAGTTTCTGCTCCAAATGACCGAAGACAAGACGTATCTCACACAGTAACAAAAGTTGTGAACGACGAACCGAAATCCGGAAGTTCTAAAATGGCCGAAACAAAGAATATTCCCAATGGTCATTCTATAACAAACGGAGGAAATGCGAAATGGAACGACCTAAATGGCAATGCAATAGCAAAAGATGACGTTGTTGATGCCACCATAGTAGCTCGCAGACCGACCGAAAAAACACCGTTGGTGAATGGAATCGAAAAGTAAGCAATTTTATGAAACGTAATTTTTGTTTTGCAATATAGACTTTTTTCTTTTATGGGTTTATTCAAAATGCTTCAAAATACCATACATCGTTACTATCATTACTCTTGTAAGATTGCACATTCTGTATACAGGTTATTCATGCCTTAACGAAAGAACTGATAAATGTTATTAGATTTATATTTTCAATTCATCATTGATTAACGTGTAATTAGCGCTGCACGCTTTAGCTAAATTTAAAGTTTTTTTCTGGGAAATATTGGTACAGTCTACTCGAGTCTACACTCTGTGCCTATAAATTAAATTTGACAACCGACAATTTTATGACTTTTGGAACAATGCTTTTTGGTAATACTCAGAGATTTTACTGCTAACCGCGACATAAATTTATAATCAGGCGGAGACAACTTTATTACCTTTATTAACCGTGTCTTTCGTCAGTCCAATCAGTCCAGAATTATATACGGTCTCGTTTCGCCATGTTTAACACAAACATGATCAATGGAATACATCAACAAATTGTTAAAATTTTACAGACCCAAGTCGGCAGAATCCCATACTCCCACTTCTGTCAAACCGATTCATAAGAGCTCATCGACCGAGTCGAATCACCAGCCTTCGTACCATACATTGAGAAACTGGGAAACAGGAACCAGAACAAATGATACCTTATACACCAAGTGTATGAAAGCGCAATCGGTGAGTAAATCCGAATAAGATTGTGTATTAAATGTAGTTGTTCTATAACAGTAATGAAAATTCTAAATATATTCGATATTAATAATTGATATATCTCCTTAGCACAGGAATTACGAAGCATGTATTTATTGATGTTGTGTGACTTTATTTAGAACTGATTTTGTACGAAAACATATTAGTAATGAACATTAGAAAGATTGTTTAGTGTTTGCTAAATCAGACATTACCAATAAGGACCTGGTAAATCTTCAACTGTAGGTATTTTGCCAGTTGAATTGATTACACCATCCAAACCAACCATAATAAAATCCTTCATTAATAATTTGGAAGGGTATTTTAGTTGGCTCGATTTCCGAGCTGAGAAGTCTAGCGTTGACTCGGCTAACAAGTATGTAATCCAACATGCATTTTTAATTAATCTCATCTTTCTACATTGTTTTCTCCTTCTATACTGACCAGTGACCACAACACTGTATGCTGTATAGATACTCTTTTCCCAATCTTGCAATATTAGATCTAGTTGATTTTTTGACTCTGGGCTTAAAATTAAAAATTAGTCGAAATTGTGCTTGATGTTTTTGTGTGATTCGAAAATAAATTTTTATAAATCGCTGAAAAAAAAAAGAATTTGGCAAAAATAATAACTAAAAGAAACTTGTGACTTTGTTTTTAAAGTCTCCCGGCACTCAGTTTTTAAACGATGGATTATTGGTTTAGTATTGACGAAAAGAAATTCGAATCGTCGTTCGATGGAGTAAGAATGACGCAAGCAATTGAGACTTTTTCAATAATTATGTTATTTCTAACCGCAGTATCTTTAACTGTGACGCAAAGTACGTCGCCGATTAAACGAGGGAGAAACGTTTTGCATTTAATATTTGTGAAATATGGGTTGAACTTTTTCTCAATGTTTTGTGAGATTAAAAATACGTCCTGTTTTGGAGGTCATGTTATAGCTTTGCCAAAATTAGGTGTCTTCTGCGAACTATTTATAAATGAACTTCATAAAACAATTTCTCATTGGCATTGAAATTTCCTTTAAGTGTTGTGTGAACTTTATGATGCGTACTGTTTATGAATGATGCACACAAAACTCCAAATTGTTTAAGACTGAACTATATAAAAATTGCCTTGTCGAAAATTTAATAATCTGACTTAAAAATTTGCGAAAAACAAATGATACTGGCCGTTGTCGCTATGTATTTTCTAGTCAACTGAAATTTATTGCAGTCCCAACGTTTTTTTTTCTCTGATCACAGTCACGGTTACTACCCCCATGCGCTGATAATTTCGAACTTTAAAGTTGTTAGAATTATTGTGCCGGAGATGAGAAAAACATTAAAATTATTTTAAAAATTCACTGCTAAGATATTTTGAATAAAGAGTAAAAATTTCACAACATTTTCCAAGAGCAGGGGCGCACATAATGCTTAGACGTAGGGCCTAGACCAGGAGTGTACAACAGGTGGTCCGTGTTCCCCAACCCGGCCCGCCAAACTATTTAGTTTAGCCCTTGTCAACACACAAATTTATTCCCCACCAAGCATAAAATTCTAATCCGACAGTTTATGTTCGAAAAAAAGCTCACATGGGTAAAAATACATAATGATTTTTTGTCGCTACGCCTAACTAGATGTATGGAGTTGGTTATATGGCCGACCGACAGAAAATGTTGCACACCCATGGGCCTAATTTACTGCAACATTCAACTAAATACTTTATTCCTTCAGGTTGCCACTGGTTGCACCAGAAACAAATGCTTAGGAAGCGTCATGAATCCTGATCACATGTCAATTGATCCACGTAAAAACGTCAGGTCGAAAGAAGAAAAATTAGAAATGGCTGTCGATTTTATAAAACAGTATTACGGATCCATGAAAAGGTATCAGATTGGGTATTATTATTTTCTTATCGGATGCGGATTATCGACCGGAACCACATCGATAATAAATATTTTTTCAAGAGTTACCTCCTTATTAGGTCTTTCTCAATATCAACTTGAGATAATTGTGTATAAAGTGTACAAATAATGTGTAAATATATTGTGTACAGAGTTTTTACTCTGTAATTTGAATTAAAACCTTTAAAATGTCATTATAATATTGGCCCATTTTATAGCAAAGTCCATTTAGTTGTTACCCATCTTTACTTTTCTCCTGCCAGAAATCAAATTGACCATGAGATTTTACCACCACTTTCGTCGCTTATTTGGAACATGGCATTCTGAGTTATTAGCGTTAATATGATTAACAAGTCGAAAACTAGATTTTGGATTTTAGCGGAACTTGTGTACATCATCATTTTAAAGAGATAATTTATTTTATTTCAAGTATATAATGTCCAAGTATGGCCCATAGTCTTCCGTATTGAAGCATCAGTTTACTGCAAACAAAACAAACTAATGTCAATTTACAGTCAATTGACTTTGTTCCAGTACATCTGATGCATTCGTCATTTAAAATTTTTAGTAATTTCTTGTGCTTACCCAGGACCTTATACCTAGCATAGATGTGAAAATATACTAAACTATAACCATAACTAAACTATGGGTTTTCGCTAATTAATCATTTATTTTACAATTGGGACATAATTCACAGGTAGCGCGACATTTTTTAAATTGCCTTTACCTGATGGCTTTTCACTGTTTTTTTTCTGATTTGGGCCAAACGTTTTTTTCTCATGGGAAATAACCCACAAGCCACTTGACTTTGACTAACGCTGCGGTTTAATGTGATAATAAGCTCTTACGTTTATTGATCAAATTACTATTTTAGGTTAATTCATTCACTTATTTATTTATCAAATGAAAACAAATCGGAATAGTGATTTTATTGATTTTGTTAATATTGCATCAGATATATTGATCAATTTTATGGTATTTCGAAAACGTATATGAACAAATATTAATTGTTTCATGACAGGTCGAAAATCGTTTAAAAATAACACCCTGCGACATTTCACGTTATATTTTTATAAACAAACAACATATTTGTGTAAATATTAAAAACTGAAAAATGATTTCCAATTTTTTTTTTTTAAGCCGTTTTGGCTATTGCTTTTGAACCGCGGTCAAAAACAAACTGCCAACAAATCTTGGTAATTTTTCATATCAGCAGGAAATTTTTTTGAGCGTATCTGTAAATGAGCCTTATATGTACATACGTTTGAAAGAGCTATTCAATTTTACAATGGCCGTAATCTTATAATCGTTCAACGTGGCTTATCCATTTTTTTACCAAGATGGTTTAAAAATATTGGATCAAAATTAGCTTTGTATTTAAATTTTATTTTCATCTAGAAAAAATCCAGAAATGGAAAAGAAACGTTTGGCAGAAGTTGTCGAATCAATTGAAAAAACTGGAAGTTATCAACTTACCGAATACGAATTGATATTCGGAGCAAAGACTGCCTGGAGAAACGCACCCAGGTGCATTGGAAGAATACAATGGAACAAATTACAAGTATATAGGTTTTTGTATTTTGATTTCGTATTTTTCACTCGAGATTTTATAAAACCTTTATATATAACTCATTTTTCTTTAAACACAATATCAAAATTTTTAAAGTATTCACACTTAGCTTTCATTTTAACAATTTTTTGTTTGTTTTCTGTTTCCTTCGGGTGGTAAAACAAAATACTTTTTTCATTTTGTAGAAAAATTGATTAATAATGGGAGAATTGGTATATTCAAAGAATGACCAAATGCCTAATATACTTACTTTTTACCGACGTATGTCATTTCCAAGTCTAAGCATGATAAATCAATGATCGTGGTACAAATTTATTGAAGATTTAGTGAATATAATCAATCACTGTCTAGCCATATCATTTATTATGACATAAAGCCTACATTCACGATAACCTGATGTTTAGTTCGCTGGAACTGAGTATGATGGCTTCCTAGTTTCAATACTTTGTGGGCAAACGTCATGTCTACCACCCACGCGCGGTAAATAGCATGGCATTCGGGAATGGGAATGTTCTCCTCCTAAGAATTGTAGGTTGTTGCGTAGTAGTCTTACTTGTCTTGAGCTTTTTTCGAAGCGGATATACATTATAACTACAAAACGTACCTGCGAGGCCAACGTAGTTCAACGCTTGCAAATCCACCACAAAAATTCATTGTTGTTTTTATACGGTAAAATACCTAAACAGGCATTTATTTTATGGTAAATAGATGAAGCTCTTTATCACGATTTCCATTATTTAAACAGGTTTTTGATTACCGTCATGTTGATAACACCGCACAAATGTTCGATGCAATTTGCAACCATCTTAAATATGCTACAAACAAAGGAAACATCAGGTAAAACATTTTCACTAATCGTCGTGTGCCGACATCGTGTACCGACAATTTAATTGAACGCAGGCCAAAGGGTCTACTTTTGAACTTTTCTTTCTATGGTCATAGGTAGGTTTATGTAAAATATTACTGCGGGGAATTTTTTTTTATATATTTTGCTGTCGAATAAATTTATCCATTGACAAGAGGTTCGGATTCACCAATGGCCAATCCGACTTCATTTATTATAGGAATCAGAAAGTCCGTGAACTTGAATTCAACATACCAACAAATAACATAAAACTTACTGAATTTTTTTGATTTTTTTGGGGTGCCGTCAATCAGAAATTTAATAATTTCTAGTTTACCATAAAATACACTTTCACACACTTCATTCCATCACGTTTTCGCTTCCCCGGTCAAACTGAATTATTTTATAATGTGTCTCGCTCCGAAAAAATCTTCCTACTAGCAGTAACTTTATATATACAAAGATGTGCGTTGCAGATTTAAACTCGCAAAAGTGTGATGTATGATTTGGTATCATCTTGTTATCACCCCATTACAAGAAGTTACGTTAGATTATTGACCTACCTAACTGTACCAGAGAGAAACAGAGTCAAAGAAAACGAATCAGAAAATTAATGATAAGCAATATCAGCATAGCACCAACGATCATTTTACACCGTTTTGCTATCCGCATTCTTGTTATTCATCCTTGTACTAAAATATTCTCAGATCCATTGTTTGGGAGTATCTGAACCTTAATGATGGTTAAGGAAATGAAGCGTTTCGTGGTATATTGTACAGTCAGCACGGCGCCAATTCGGAACGTGGGTGGATTTCAAACATTAGATGCAAAAAAAATCTTAGAAAAATATAAATTACATTTGATCTTACCGGTACAATAGAATTTACCGATCCCCTTGAAGATTAAATCACTCGTTTGGAAGAATTGTTTTTTTTACTTTGATTTTTTGTGGTGGCGTCAGGGGAGGGTTACTTTACGGTGGTTACCCGGTGTTGTTTTAAATAGCGTGCGTTTTGTTTGCAATTGGCCTGAACAGATAATTGAGAACCCATTTGAAAAGTTCAAAGGTGAACATATCAGAGAGAGAACATAACTTTTGTGCAAAGCGTCCTAGATTTCTTAAACTTTCGGGTACAATCACACACAAACAGAAGTGCAAGTGCTTAGTAAATGTTCATTGTTTTCAAAGAAGTAACTAAGAAATTTATGGGCTCAGGTATTTCGGGCCACCATGTACCAAGCATCTTCTAACCAAAGGGTTAGTATATATATATATATATATATTTTTTTTTTGAATTATATTTGCTTCGAATATAGTTTGATCGCCATCTTCATTGGGGCCCATTCTTCTCACTCTCAACATACTTACGTCGAACGTACATGAATTATATAACCCTCGCACATTTAAATTGTGTATATCTAGGTATACGATGGAAAGAATAATTAGGATCGTCATGTCCATGTCTCCCACGGGTACGACCACATAAAAGGAACGATTCCGACTTGCTTTTGTTCGATTTGTATCGTGTTATTTTGTTTTCGAAATTGAAATCTTGACCACGAAATACGATTTGGAAAAACAGCTGCTGTTGGGGAACGCGATTGTTATTTTTATAGAGAAACCCTGATCCAAAAATAATACGGTTCATCACGCGTAGACATTTCGCCACAATAAACAAATCCTAGGTTGAAAATAGCGTCCTTTCTTCTGTATTAAAGACAGAATTTTTAAATTTTTGGTTCATTCCTGAATTTTGCTCAACTAGGCGTGATTTGGCAATATTTTGGAGAAATATAGACTGGGGTATTGTTTTCACAATGTCGCCAAATTTCTTGGTGGATTTTCACTCGCTTTGATGTTTTCGCAATTCCCTCACGTATTCCAGACTGTGGGATGTAATCCTGTTGTTTATTTGTCCGATTATCAAGTATTATGGTTTGCATTCAACCACAATATTTGGTACTTCTGAAATATTTAAACCAAGATGGCGGGCACCGGAACGTAAAATGTGTACCAGGTCATAGTTTGGCCATTGGTTCATTTTTTAAATTTCAAAGAAAATTTATCGACACCATATATAGTGTGTTAGTCCCAACAAGTGTATCGAATAAAGTAAAAAAGCCTTATTACTAAATATACTAAAACAAACCTTAAAATACACTGATAACTGAGTTCATAACAAAATTAAAATTGCAACAGGACTTTATGAACTTCCTGTATGGCAAACTAAAACATAACCAGTCATATAATTAATTAAAGTGCCTGATTTTTTCTTGGAACTTTTATTACTCTAAATGCAATTTATTCGAATGTATTCAACATTTAAAAAAGGCTTAGTCGAAATGGATTGAAAAAAACGATGATGGAAATATATTTGTCGCGTTTGAGCGTACCAATGCAATAGTTTGGCATATGGTTTGATTCTCGACCACCATAAAATTTAACTCAGATTTTCAGAATTATCCATTTCCAAAAGTTTATTTTATAGGTCGTTGCATTTTTATAAAGCTTATGAATAATGCAACCAACAAACTATAGAATTAAGTTTTTATAATGGACAAAAAATCTGAGTTGAATCTCGAAGGCTAAACATAAACACTATGTCATAATAAAAACTTTCAGTTATTCAATTGCATTAAATGCTTCAAGGCAGATTCAATTTTAAACATGACCAAACTGATTCCTAAATATCAAATTCTCCTTTTTCTATAACTTCACTACACGTAAAAATATAGCCAGCTCAAACATATTTAGATTGTATTACATAGCGGAGATAGGCTATAGATGGGCTGGTGCGGTCCACCTATGGCCAATTGTTGAAAATAAAGCAAAAGTAATCATTGTTTTGACTTCACTATGATTCGTATGTTTTAAAGTGTCTGGAATCATGGGTGATTCAAATTTGATTCTGACCTAAGTAAATTTATATTACATCATAAATTTTTAATCAGGTCGCCACTGTTTTTCAAACATATACTTAGAAACCAGGAGTGGAATAGTATATTGTACTTAATTGACTTTATCAAAACACGCTGTTTGCGCGAGAATGACTTTTGCAAATAATCTCAAAGGTTCTTTGACTTGAACCAAAGCGAAGTCAAAATTTGCCAGTTGCCATTTTAAGCGTATAAGATGCATTTTACGTTAATTCACCGTGGCTCGATTAACTCAAATTGCACCATCTTAGCTACAAAAAAGCAGTCTTTTAATAACTGACGAATTAATGATTTACAGAGACATGTATATGAAGGATACTGTCAATTTAGGGCAACTTGCTCGACAGCCATCAAAACAATATGAACTACGATCGGACCAAATTTAGCTTTCGATGAAAGTCATAGTTCACTTCCATATGTCTATTACATTTTCAGCCATCTTTTCCTCTAAACTTGCTGTTGTTTCATATCAACGAACAGTATTATTAGGAATTCAATTCGTTTATAATGAAGATTTCTCACTCAAAACATGAATCTGTGAAATATTGTTCTACCGTGCTATATTGAATTTAAGTTTGGTAACAGATATTTATTGACAACCATGGTCCTGCAGCCACGGATCAATGGTGTACGGGGTTTTACTTCTACATAACACTAATTCAAACTCGGTCGCGAAAAGCAAAGCCCTGGATTTAGAATGACCTTATTAAATGAAGCTTGGATAAATAGCATATGCAACTTTCGACGGTTGTTATGTCCTACGTTTTCAATAAGCGTCTGTTTAATTAAACGAATATATTTTCAAAAATATATCCAAACTCAATTTAATTTAAAACCCAAGAAAAGAAGGCAAATATTTGAAGTGAACCGATTTTTCGAAATTCATAAACTTTAACGATTCAGCCTATTGAATATTACAACTGAAATAAATATTTTAATAAAACTTCATGGATTAAACAATAAAACATGTATTTTTTTCACCTCCATATATTTTGAAGATAACTACATTTCTACCCACGCGTAAAATTAAGTTTGCTCAAAGAAAGGTCACGAGTACCGCGATGTTACTTTAATATTTGTACATACGTTAATAATAAGATATAAATTCTGTCTGTGTTGGCATAGTGTGGAGTTACTCACATGGTAAATAGTGGTTAAGTCAAGTTGTTTTTCCGTCTATCTTTTGTATGTATTTAGTGCTTCAGAGATGATTTCATGCGACATTTTTTCAAGTAAATCATGACCCAGCAATTTATTTCACTATGATTTGTTTACTTGCACTCACTCAGAACACGCCTCGTTGGGTGAAATCAAGGGCATACGTTCGAACCTGAGACTTTTCGCTTTTTATTACGTAATATATTGCGTACATCCGGTATATATAAATTTTATATCTTCAGGTCTTGCATCACCTTTTTTCCTCAAAGAACGGATTACAAGAAAGATTTCCGAGTCTGGAGTTCTCAGTATATAAGATATGCAGGATACGGGCAACCTGACGGAAGCATAATTGGTGATCCTGCAAATGTGGAATTTACGGAGGTGCATTTCATATTTTGGGGCTCCAGAAGTATGCGCACCGAGATGTCGCACAACCTGAATCCAAACCGGTACTCACATACTATGTTCAGGATGTGCAGGATGGTGCGCATACTTCTGGAGGTCCCATTTTTTTCTACTATACATTTCAGTATTATATTGTTTATTGCTAAATAATAAGAATTTCAGAGAGTTAAATAGAGCCCGTTATTCCAAATCTGTCATACGTATTGGAGTTTTTTGTTCGAGTTTTTGAAATACTCGGAATCTAGAGAAGTCTCGGTGCAGAATATCATCGAAACAACGTTTAACGAAAAAGCTACATCAACATCTTTAAAGCAATTCGATGCAAATGAAAATACGCTGTTTGATGTTGATTTTCAAATTTGACAACTTTAAGAATTAAATAGAAAACCGCACGCGATTTTAAATCCCATACATGTATTTGTGCAGAATTATATTTATAACTCACTTCTTAAATGGGTTTTCATGCCGGAAGTTTAAAGTCATGCACAGACATTTAGCATTTTTCTCTAAAATCAGCTATATCGTCAAATTTGCATGCAAGACGGCTGTCGCGCACGTACCCCTGCGTACAAATTTTGATACAAATATTTGATCGATCAAGGGAAAAAACTATTAGGCAACAGTTAGTTCTTTGAATTCTTTGATGGTTAGTTGTAGGTTCCTCCAATATGCTAAGTGCTGTATATAAAATCAATTAATCATGTCGATTAAATATTGAGTTGTTTGATTATCAGTTCATAATCATTATTTCCCAATTAATCACATTTGTTTGATATTCGTGAATAATATTCTCATTTTAATTAATTTAACACATGCGGCCAAGCATGGTTGGAATGAATATATTCTAGTTTCGTGGTCGTGTAAACATGTCCCTAATGTCATCCGATATTCACTATGTATATAAGTATGATATACACATTGTACTTCAATTACATTATGTCAGAGTTTTGTTATTAATTTACCTTGTCGTGACTTGAATTAAGATATTGTCAAATTTACTACTCAATTTATGCCTCTCACTCACACTCACTCAGTGGCGTATCCAGCGTATGTCAGCTCGTGTAACGGGCGCCGTTTGTAAGAAAAGACGGAAAGTTTTTATCGTATAATAATTCGATAAAATAGTATCAAATTGGAAATATTTGAAATCGCCGTTTTTCTTAAAAAATAACGTAGAGGTAATTCAGTTAAACAACATCGTAAAAAAATGGCAGCCAACGGCCAAGAGGGCGCATTTTAAAACTTTTTCATTTTACAAAGTTACGCTCACTATTCTATTTCTCCGTTTCAATTCCTAGTTTTAAAAACGCTAGCGTGAAATTCAATACTTTATAGATTGTTTTCCTGATCAATTTGATGATTGTTGCTTCAGTTTTGAATATTTGCAATCGCGTTATGCACCGCCATATTGCTATATTATTTCAATGCCATTTCAATGTTTGTTGGTAATTGGATTTGGATATGGGATTCCTTTGCTTCCGAGTGAGTGCGCATGGCCTTGTCTTGAGTCGTCTCTTTTAAAAACGTATTAAGACATACTCTCCGAAGAAGGCTCCACATAAGAAGTAATTTTAGAGTTCCTATGATTCCAAATACTGTGATCGTTTCGATCTGGCATAGCCTACTAAATTTATAATTACTATTTCTTTTATTTTAGGTTTGTATCAAGCTTGGTTGGAAGCCAAAATTTGGTAGATTTGATATCTTACCTTTGGTACTGCAAGCTAATGGAGAAGATCCTGATATATACGAAATTCCACCGGACTTGGCTCTTGAAGTAAAATTGCGTCATCCCAGGTAGGTTTATCGCATTGAGTTATTGATTTGTACTATTAGAAATCGTATCTTAACACCTTGGCATATACTATAACACTTCGTATAAAATTGACATGGGCAAACTACGGCCCGCGGGCCAAATCCGGCCCGTTGGCTAATTCGATCTGGCCCGCCTGATGCTGCCACAACCAAACTAAAACCAAATTGGGATGTTTTAGCTAAAAATAGCTCAAAGAATTTGTTGAGATTGCGATTAAATTTAGTTCTGGCACAAGGCTTATTGTTTTCCACTTTTGCTTTCATAACAATGTAAATATTGTTCATAAAAGGGAACTTTTGACGTCACGCATGGCCCTCCAGTCTATGTAGGCAAAATTTGGCCCCTGCTTTAAAAAACTTGCCCGCCCCTCGTGTAAATCCTTGGCAATTTTACGTTGTATATTATTTCGTTGGGTACAGATGTCTTGCAACCTGTAAACTGTAAATAAAATAAAATTTGGGAAATTGTGATGCAAGACCTTTTAACTACTTAATGTATATATATATATCCGCAATCCGTGTATATACGGATCTACTGACGCGTACGGATACAAAAAGGAAAAGTTAGGTGCACGCTACTGAAGTAAACTTTGTATATAATTTTCTTTGTGCTTTTGTTACTTCCATTACCTTGCTTCCCAGATCTACAGCGGAAATAAAAAAAAATTCATATCTTTACTTTATCTATAACAAGGTTCAAATGGTTTGAAGAACTTGGATACAAATGGTGTGCAGTTCCTGCTGTCTCAAATGTTTTGCTGGACATTGGTGGTCTTGAATTTCCTGCTGCACCGTTTAACGGTTGGTTTATGGGAACAGAAATAGCGAGAGATCTTTGTGATGTGGCTCGGTACAACGTACTGCAGGTGGGAAGATATAAGTTATAAGTTACCACGAGATTCTAGTTTTATACATCGTTTTGCTGATAGCTTGGCTTCTCTCGGAACCAGGCACCATCTGATCTGAAACTTATAAAACGTTTTCAAGATTTTATCCAAATCTGAACAAAAGAACTTCATACAAGGAGCACGCGTAATTTTTACTATTAAAATCTCCGTGTCTTCTCCGGATGATTGCTGTGAGTGGTACAACCGGGACATGTGGTGCAAGTGTTACAAGATGTGAACGATAATTTTGAGACACCCTCTCAATCCGCCTATGACCTTAATTATGAATGAATCGACATTGTCCCTTTTTAGAATACAGCAACAAAAACAGTTTACATTGTATTGTTTCAACTATATGCAGTATTATTTACATTTGTGTTTCAGGATGTAGCAGAAAAGATGAATTTAGATACAAGGAACACGTCATCGTTGTGGAAGGATATTGCATTGGTGGAATTCAACGTTGCCGTTTTACATAGTTACCAGGTATATAATTCATCACTTTTTCAAAACGGTTATACATTGTCATTGTTTGTTATACATTGCTTCGCCGAATCGTATTGCTCTGTTCGCCTCCACTTTTGTTAATTATAATAACAAAATACCTTTATGAAATAATAATTATAAAACAAACGAAATACTTCGCTTTCATAACGAAATATGCAATTACGGCGATCGTACTTCGTGCATTGTCTAACCCTCAGATTCAAAATGCAAAAATAGCGGTTTACTTGTAAATTGGATCAACCTATTTACTCAATCTAATGGCATTTTAATTACCATTCCCAAGTAAAGGGCTACTTTCCTCCTTTCATACTAAAAATAATTTCACGATCGACCAGAAAGGTTAATGCGTGCCTTCGTGAGATTATCGTCTTTCAAAATATAAATCTATTTCATTTAGCAAAGTGTGATTCAGAGATTTTTGTAGTACCCATTATCTAGTTCTCATATTTGGTTGAGGTTTATTTTCGATTCCGAAACAACTTAACTTTACAATTCGAGAATTGGAATTTTTAATTAGGAACCTCGTTACGAAATCACGAACTGATTTTTGATTTAAAATTTGTGGCATTTCGATCGCTTCGAAAACCTGATTTATTATGATATAGTTACCTAGGTCCTAGATGTCGTGCAATCACCCTTTTCGTCAATTCTTCCAGTTTTCTCTCGCTTGTTTACACCAATGGAGTATCCGTAATTCAATGATGCCAGATTTATTCACCTAAAGTGTACTAATTTTAACTCTGAAATAATAGAAGTCGGTATATCGTTACTTCGCCTTAGTGACCTAAACGCAAATTATGATCGGTTTACGCAATCAGAACAAAGTTGTTCATTATACTTTGCCAAGCATGATCCGTTGCAAAAAAGAGCATTTTGTATTATTTCGTTCATGGCCGATGATAAGTAATCACGTTTAATGCCAAGATTACACTCTTCGACTCAAAGTCGTTACAGGTGTTACAGAGCATTGCTTAACGCAATCCGTTGAAGACGCACTGGGAGAATGCGTCACTGCGTGGTTTGTCAATTACGCACGCAATTTGGTCACGCAATACGAGGCGACGGGAAACGTTTTATTTTCGTGTAACAATATAGTCCCCCATCGCGGTGGTAAAATCCTCTTCGTTCTAACAATGGTTCCCGACACATGGTGTTTATGATGCCGACGTTTCAATTTCAATGCATGGATATGTACTGTTCTATTATTGTGCCGTCACTAATTTCTTGATCTGTTTTCGTATGTTAATAATAGGGAAGGTTAAGTTATTTTCCCACCTTTATCTTGTCATCTTGAAGACACAATATCCTAACATAACTTATCCTGGCATATGTATTGAGTAACATTAGATGTTGGTGGTGCAACAGGACCCGTTAATACTCTCGGCATTTTTCGATCTGAGTGTAACTTGTTTAACCTCTTACATCTTGGAGAAGGTTATTAGCTCGTCCTGCGCAATGAACTCGTTATCTGTATTATGAATTAACATTTAATATGACATTTATTTTTATAATTTAGAGTGACAGAGTTACGATAATGGATCATCATTCTGCGACACAGTCGTTCATGAAGCATTACGCCAATGAATTGAAGCTACGTGGCGGTTGCCCTGGTGATTGGGTCTGGTTAACCCCGCCCATTTCTGGAAGCATTACTCCCATATTCCACCAGGAAGTTTTGAACTATATTCTTCATCCGTCTTGTAAATATCAGGTATGGGGTATTAGGTGCATTTAACACCATTTTTCATTTAGGCTAGATATGTGGAATCATCTAGCGAACAACTTTTTAAATAAAACACTGATTTTATTCGATGGGCATTACATGTCTCATGTAGATGCCGTTCCAAAATTAAAATTACCGTCCATTTGGCAGCCCAATAGCCTTCTATGGACGGGGCTATCATTTTACAAATGTTAAAAATATTGAGTGCAAGCCAAGATAAAAGGTTGATAAATTAATTCGAAGGTCTGGCACTTAGCCGAGTATCAATTTATATTAAAAATCTTCCAGCCAGGTCCGAAATTAAATTACATGGTCGCACGCATAGGACTAACGACTTGATTTCTACACTAATGTCGATTGGCATTACCAATGACTAACGGATCGATAAAAATATTTAACAAATGTTGTAAATTATGCGCTCATTTGCATATATATTTCTCGCATGTATATCTCTCACATCCCCAAAGGTTTTAGGTAATTAATGAGTTGGATTCACTCTTTGGTCATCGTAATTATAAATCAGAATCTCGAGTTGTTACCTGGATGCGTATGGCCCGCGGTTGCCACCACGTAGAGAGAGTATCATGAAATCGGGTTCACAAAATATAGCGGCCTTTCTTGTCAGAATATACAAGGATAGGATTTTTCCCCCCTACGCAAGCCACAGTCGGTCGTCCAGTTACAAGTATGTCGTCTATGGGAATATTTAACCACTTCTTCAATTTATTGAATTAATACGTACTCCTATACCCGGTCCTTAGACTTGCATAGAAATTGTTCGGAATCAACATATAAGCGTCTTGCAAGCACGCGGCATGCAATGGTTAAATGAAAGTTATCTTATAAGCAGACAACACAATTTTAACGGTTAACGGTTTAGCGTGTTATACAGGTACGAATTGATCTCATAAGTTCATAAAAAAAACGGGAATGAAAATATTATGCCTTATTCCAAATATACTTCGAAGTATGAACCAGCTATGTATATGCTAAGCACGATCTCACCGTGTATGTTTTGCCTTATATGGCACGTATATAAATGTGATAATTTTTATAGCCTGATCCATGGAAATATCATGTGTGGAAGGGAAAAGTCAACAAAGTAAAGAAAGCCATCAGATTCAAAGAGCTTGCAAAGTGAGTCGTTTTAATAAAAATACCTTTCAAATTTATCTTTGATTGGGTACATATGTCGTACTGCTATGTAAACAGATTAACATTTAAAATTCACCTCGAAGCTCGAAGATTTTTTTTTAAAATTAGGTATGGAAGAAATACCCAAAAGTGTCTTTTTATTTGCTGTTTTTCATTTTAATTAGATGCAAAGCTGTTCCGTACATTTGTAGTTTCAGTATCTCTTGGCATATTAGTTGTCGCTCGCAATCTTACTCGAAGATGAGTCTCCTTTACTTCTGAGTTAGTGCGTATGACCTTGCAATATGTGATATGATATGTGTATTGTGTGCAATGTCCATGCAACTTATACGGTATAAAATTGCATATTAATATTTGATGTGTACTCGAATTCACTGATATTTTTTAAATTCCCAATGATAAGAAATCGGAAACAAAATTCGCTAAACTGCATATTGAATAACTGGTACTCCCGAAGGAACAAATACTACGGGAGTCATCTGGCTAGTCCCCGAACTCGTAATATAACTAAAATTGAAATAAATGCGCCATGTTTATACTCGTTCGAAACTATTTCGTGACTCGTAATATCTGTTACTATTCAATATTTCCATATACTCCAGTTATGATACATTTTCTTGATACTTATTTCAGGTCCGTGCTAATTATGTCATCCATGATGGGAAAGGCAATGGCGAATCGTGTGAAAGCAACAATTTTGTATGCTTCTGAAACAGGAAAATCATTGGAATATGCGAAGACTTTGTGTGACATTTTCAACCATGCTTTTGCTGCAAAGGTATCTATCTGAATATATAAAACCAAGATTAGAATAGTTGGAATGGGGATTGCGCCATGTGGGCCGTGAAAACCGCTTTGTTATTCGAAATTCCTTTATGGTCAGTGTAAAATCAATTTAGAAAGTCTCCATTTAAGTCTTTGATGCGGAAATGGACATTCCACTTGTAGAGAAGGCTGAAAATGTATAAATAATTTAGTTCTTCAAAATTGGATACATTTGTGATTCAATAAAAAAAAGCTTTTTTCGAAAATTCTGATAATTGAAATTGGATTTTTTTTTAAATGGAACATTAATGCAGAGAAATAATCCTTAATTATTATACTAAAAACTGCAATATGAATTTTAATTTTATTAAAACAAGGGACCTCCTGAAGTATGCGCACCAAGATGGCGCACAACCTGAACTCAGGTTGTGTACCAGGTTAGGGTTCAGGTTATGCGACATCTTGGTGCGCATACTTCAGGAGTACCAAAACAAGTTTACTCCGGGGTTGAGTTAAATTACAAATTGCTCATTAAATACGTTGAAACATTGAAAATTTTGTTGGCAAACTTTTTGACGTATCCTAATAAATGTATTTTCTTACGCGGCGTCCCTATCCTGTAGATATTTTGTAGTCCGGTTTGATATTAGAGACTTGACAAATCCTCAAATTCTCTCTCAATAATCAGTAAAAACTTGGCATAAGTGAAAACTTGTCTATATCACCTACACTTGGAAAAATTGACAAACGTGTAGTTTAGTGGTTCTCAAATCCTCATGATACCATCCGCCCGCAAATACTTTCAACACATGTCCCCTGCTTTTCAATAAAAATACCCAATTTTAACGCATCTTCATTGGGGATTTAATCAATGCAACCCATTAAATAAATAAAAAGACAAGTAATACAGCAAGACAGTTTGAGGAACCCTGGCCCAGTTGTTACAAAGACTCAAACTTTTTTTTCTAATAGGTTGTCTGCATGGACGATTATGATATTGTACACTTGGAACATGAAACTCTTTTGTTGGTTGTCACAAGTACTTTTGGAAACGGGGATCCCCCTGAAAATGGAGTAGTAAGTTACAAAAGTTTGAATATTTTTATTTATAATTTGTAAAAATCGCTCATATTATAAGAAAATATTCATTCCAAGTTAGTATATGAGATCAAAACTGTTGTGGAAGCATCAATATTGAAATTGGTTAGTTTTATGTTGATTTTCCAGCATAAATACCAAAACTATGATATGGGGGAATATTTCACAAGAACGTGGCATAGTATCAAGATATAGGTTTAGATTTTGAAAAAATTAAAATTTTGTTCAAAACCTATTACTAATTTTTTATTTATTGCAGCTTTTGTAACAATATTATTTTTTATTTCAGAATCTAGGCCAGACACTAGTGGAGCTATCAAAACCAGAAGAAAGCCAGTAAGTTATTTGATAAATATATTTAGTTGCACATCAGATATTTCATATACTGTATGAGGTAAATAAAACGATTTTCTTAGACTGTATAGTTGACCCACCATTTATTTTTAATATTATCATTCAACATCTGTAGTTTGCTATCACTACAATAGTCTTAGTCCTTGCTAAAATGCTCTAACGGGCCAGAAGTCATTACTTTTCATAGGAATGGGTCATGTAATAATGTTATCGGCTTTTCTCTCTTAGGAAAAAACCTTGGCCTATTTTTCTCCAACCGTATTTAATGTCAAAAGATATTTAATTAACCAGGAAACCACGAATGCAACGACTTCTCAAACGCTCTTCCACCGCTCCGTACGTCAGTGACCAATTGAGTGAAAAATAATTGTTTGTGTTTTGATTTTTGCAAACTTGTTATTTTATTTAAAGCTAATTCAGAACAAATATGCAATTTGGTGGTTTTGATTTTTTTTATTTTAGTATATTTTCTATGGTTTAATTTATTTGGTGATTTATTTTTTGATAAAGTGTTTTCGAATTTGTTTGAGCTTGATTTTACATAATTGTTACATTTTTCATCGAATTAGGCTCTGCAGAAGTTAATTCTACCTCTTCGAAAACTAGTTTTATGTTGTAACGGTTGTAATTGATGCATTATACTGAAAATTTGTATAATGCAATTAAATATCAATTGATTTAGTTCTTTTATTATCTGTTGTAGATTTAAATAGGTAAATAGAAGAGATTTTGTTAACCTGTATCTAAATGTACATAATATTACTTTTTGAAAGATGTTGAGATCACAGGGATAAGGTTTTGTGTGCATATACCCAATATCTGAAAATGATATATGCACTATGCCAACCTGACAAATTCCATTTCTATTTGGTCGGCAATTGTAACTTGAACAGAGGCTTCCTGGAAGCATAGGTGTTGACACATTCCAGTAGAATTGAAGTATCGCTCAAGTTTTTGTCATATCGACAAAATCACTGAAATCAAGCAATTCTGATTCTAATTACAGATTGTTTCGATTATCGATTAATAAAGTTTTTGCTATTTCCCATTGATTATAAAACAATTGCCAAATGAAGGTTTAGATTTACTGCCACCCAACAATGTTATAAATTTGTTAGTAAATAAGACTGATTAACTTTCTATGGCGAATCACTTCTGAACGTGTACATATTCTAATATAGAATATAAAATTATTTTATAATAGGTAATGTCAAACATAACAATTTATAGTAATATTCATATAGACATATACATTGATCTTTTCGTTCTGAAATCTACAATGTAAAATGCAAATACTTTCAAAATTATTTGAAATTCGATTCTTTCCAGTCATATTTTATATAATTATCAATACTGAGAAATTATCATCAGGAAGTCAAAAACAGATATTTTCACGTTAAATATTAATTGGTCTAATAGTTCAGAAAATTCAAATTTATGTTCAAGTATTTAATTTAGAGAGTCTTTTCCTTTTTTTCTCCGTATTTGATTATTTTTTAAAAAACTTCAGTTTTCATTTCTTTTTATTCTTTTATTTCAGAGACAATTTGGGAACTGACAAAACGAGATTCACCAGTATTCACAATGTAACACCTTCTGTAAGACGTCGATCATCAGTTGCAATGGAACCGATTGATCTCCCCGATATTGGTGAAGCTACCGGTCTTCTTGCTAATTTACGGTGAGCAATGCTGTTGGTTGGTTGTAAATTACTTTTACTTTTTCAATTGAAATTTAGCTTAGGCCGTTATCTTGCAGCGTAAATGACAACTTTATCAGGAACCGAGTATTTGAATTTTTAAAACTTTACATTGGAATTGTGTTCTTTGGGGATTATGATGATAAATAACTCTTGATTGGTTTTCATATTTCAACATTTCTGCGTTGTCAAAGTTTATCTTTTCATTTTTGTTATTCAATATCATACCACAGAAGCGATGTCTCAAAAATACCATTTACCAAGGGTACATGTAGTACTGGTGGTACATGTGGTACAATTAGTGTATGTGGTACAAGTGGTACATTTAGTAAAATTGATATATGGGGTGCAAGTGGTATATGTGATACAATTGGTATATGGGATACAAGTGGTACATTTAGTACAAATGGTCAATAATGTGGTACAAGGGGTAGCAAGCGATGGTCATTTTTATACATTTACCTGGTACACAATTACATTTAACCAATTGTTCCACAGATTTGCAGTATTTGGTCTTGGATCGAGAGCTTACCCACATTTTTGTGCATTTGCTCACGCTATCGACACTTTACTCGGAGAACTGAGTGGAGATAGATTGCTTGAAATTGGAGAAGGCGACGAATTATGCGGACAAGAAGAGAGTTTCAGAAATTGGGCTAAGAAAGTTTTTCAAGTAAGAGAACTACTCCAAAATAGTCAAAAATGAAAAAAAAAACTTTATGAAAAAAACTTCACTTTATGGATTGTTATTTTTTTAGATTGCTTGTGAAACATTCTGCGTTGGTGAAGATGTCTCTGTGGAAGCTGCAAGTGCGTCATTAGCTGGTCAAGACAGGAGTTGGAGTCCAAATAAATTCCGGATAGCTGTTGATCCGGAAGATGTTGAGGAACCAGCGTTGTTGGAAGGTATTTTAAGGATGAAATTAGATCACATAATTTTGACGAATGGAACATCATGCAATTAAAAAAAAATTCTAGGGCTCTCCAACTTTCATAAGAAAAAGGTTTCCGGCTGTAAATTGAAGAAGCGAACAAACTTGCAATCTGGAGAACAGGAGTGAGTAACCATATTTCATATCAATTTAATTATTGGCTATACTTTCTAAATAATAACATTAACGGAACAAATTGAATTAATCACATTTGCCTCGTTTTCTGTCGGATTCAGATTCCTATATTTAATTTATATCATAGAGGAATCGATGTACAAATTGATTTAAATGTAAATAAAGGCATAGAAATAATAAAGAGATAATACATAACGAGAAAAAAAGCGTACATGCGTACATGTACAAGGAATTAAAGTAAGCAGAAATACAGATTATAATGATAATATCGCTTAATAATATGACTAGGCATATTATAAACGCAACTCAATGTCGAAAAACTCTAGCTGTAGGCCGATAAACACAGATGTTAGGAACCGCCTGGGCGCGGTTTGAAGAAGACTTTTTTCTATGCAAGTTATATAAAAAAAAATCGAAATAGCATCAGTTGGTGACCAGGCGAAAAAAAAACGATACCACACGATATGTAAATGAAGTATTAACCTAATGCCGCACCTGTATCGGTACGGTAGTAGGACGGTAGGCATGGGTTAGGGGTAGTGCTGGGCATCGAATCGAATAGTAAATTATTCGAATCGGTTCAAAGCTAAATTTCGAATCGCCGCCATCTTATTTTTTCTTTCACCCAATGATCTAGGTGAATTCCTCATTTTTTGTTCATTGAAGTCATAATTTTTTAACGCAATTCTAACGTATAACATTATTTCTGTACTGAGTTATTGATAAAACGTGTTTGTTATTGTGTGTGAACGCTCAGTAATCCAACTGAGTGATGTATTCTATGTCTTCAATAATTCTGTGGCAAGAGGACCTATTACTCTAGAAAAGTCGCTTACAATTATATATTCCCAAGTATTCGAGATTCGATTCGATTCGAAAAAATTATTCGATTCGATTCTGAAATCACAGGGTATTCAAAAATGCCCAGCCCTATATAGTTAGTTGACATGAATGAGGTATACACTACTACAACTATGATAGATCGGGCATAGATTGCTAACGATTCTGGTCCCAACTTGTACCAGAAGACTATTTAGATTACCGGACCAAGTTGGTTCTTATTAAACTGCTGAATGCAATGTATTTATATACCGAAACAAGAGAGCTATGCTCAAATATATGGGCACGTAGCGCCACCCAATGGCAATAATTTTGATGACGTCATAGCGAAAAAAAAGTAATAGCCTTCTGAAGAAAAATTTTATCTTCAACCACTGAAAATTTCCAAGCAATTGGTCCAGTATTCGAAGAGAAAAGCGATTTTTTAAAAATGATGGAGACAAATAACAATAACAACAAAATTTTGAAACGATCGTTATGTCCACTAAACGTGTCCAAAAAAGACTAAAGTTTATTTATTAATTGATAACACTATTTATACGATATTTTCTTTTTCAGTCGCGGCACCATCCTTGTTGAATTCGATTCTTCAAGTTCTTCTGAAATCAAATATCTACCAGGCGATCACATCGGAATATACCCCTGTAACCAAACTGAAATTGTTGACCGTATGTTATATTGCTAAACTATTTATATTTCAATGAAAAAGTTTACCATATTTGTGCTTATTTTATTGTTAATCTTCTCAGGGATTCTAGAGAGACTTCACGATAAAGTGGATGAAAAAGCATTGATTCAACTACAGATATTTGAACAACGAACGACGCCTCTTGGTAACAATTTGCTAGAAATGTTTATTTTATTTTATTTTTTTTATACGACGCGCAGTTAAACGCTTTTTGCACTTAACAAGGCTACGCACATTCTGTTACTGATATGATATGTGGGGAGCTACCTTATTTTTTGAGGAACCGAAATCTTTCCGGTTCGGCATCGTCTACCCAATTGATTACACACTGAGTGATGTGTTTAAGATTTAACCACTGGGCCATCACCGATTCTTCAATAGCAAATAGTGTCACTTAAACACTAACAGTGATAGTTTTTCTATTTTGAGTTAGGGTTCGTAACCATGTTTGAGTAACTCCTATGAATTTTCATTGTTTATTACTGCATCAGTTCAAGGTTGTAAATATTAAATTGTTGAAAATATTCGGAATTTTTTCATCTCTTTTCAGGTGTTATTAGCAACTGGCTGCCAGACAAACGTCTTCCTGCCTGTACATTGAGAACTGCATTCGAGCGTTATTTCGACATTACAACTTGTCCTACTCCACAACTATTGAAAATATTTGCCGATTGCGCTGCAGATGACAAAGAGAAAGCAAGACTGCTAGAGCTTTCAGAGGTTGGAATTTTTTCTTTTTCATACGAACAATAGTTCAAACTAATAGTTCTTGAATCAATCAAGTTATTGAACGTACCGAGTTCATCATAGTATCCGGATTATATTTTTCAAATCTGATCAATCGATACATATACAGATATTCGAAAATGAGGTTTCGCCAAAGGATTATCTTAAACATAAAACGTAATCCTCACCTAATTGTTGCCGGATTGGTACTTTGAACCTCAAATTCGTACGCGCCTTTTGTCAGGCCACCGAATATAATATTTACATACAAATGTCCTATCTACTCTTAGCACAAACACATGTCTGGAAAGCATGTGCATAATAAGGTATAATTAATAATTAAATTATTATGCCTATGCTTTATTGTTATATCATTGCAAGTATTTATTCAAACCTTAAAAAGCTGGTGTTGTATATAATGGTAAAGGTTTACCATTCGTTTGTTTAATTGAAGAAAATTTTTAAGTTCATATTGCTGCGTCCTCCTTTCTGCTGACTTTACACAGAATAGTGGAGATGTGAGTGATAAATTTTGTGTGTCAATTTTGTGTGACTTGCTTTCTGTGATCAAGTATTCTATGACACATTGTATAGCACCAGCTAGACCAGGAGGGAGCAAGGTTTTTGAACCAGGGGCCAAAAATTTTGCCCACCTAGTCTGGCGGACCATGTAAGTGTAACGTAAAAGTTAAATAATATGAACAATATTTTCAGTGTTACAAAGCAAAGATGGAAAACAATAGTCTCGTGCCCAAATCGAAATTTAAACGCAATCTCAACAAAATGTTTGAGCTATTTTTAGCTAAAACATAAAAATTTGATTTAAGTTTGGTTGTGACAGCATCAGGCGGGTCAGATTGAATTACCCAACGGGCCAGAGATGGTCCGCGGGCAGTACTTTGCCTATGTCTGAGCTAGACTAATATACCGTTTTAGTGCTTGGTGATATGATGATGATTACCTCTTGCACGACATGGGCGATTTAAAGTTTTTAATAACAAATAAATGATAGAACGCAACGTATTAGTCTAATAAACCTTGGCCCCCCCCCCCCCCCCCCCCACACACAAAAAAAAATTGTTTGGTACATTTAAACAAAAAGTTGAGTATTATATCTGTCCTAAACCGGTACTTACCATGAAACCACTTCTATATGTTCATCACTAACCAATCATCCAAGATTTAATATATATCCCAACCCAGAAAATTGATGCATGTGTGGTGGTACTAGTGTTTCTAGCGTGGTGCAAGTGCGATAAGTGTAGTACAAGTGGAGCGAGTAGAGACTCTTCTTTCAGAAAGCTTGCATCAGTATTCATGACAAAATATCACCACACAAATCCATCTTGAACATGTAACCTCGACTTGGACTGGTAATCCAATGCGCAATAGTTCGCTTGAATATTTAATCGGACTACGTAATCGAATATAGCCTATTTTTTGCCTGGGATACACATTGGGTATTTATCTATTATGTAATAACAGTTAGCCATGTATATCCTCATTATACATTGCAGTATAAATTTAGTGCATTTTCGTGGAGTGTATGAACATGTATATTTACCTCACTATCACAAAATATGCCTGATGTAGCAAACTTAATACACATACCTGGTATAGTATTATTCACACAAATGTACAGTTTTGTATGGTTTTAAAAAAAGCGTTTTCTAAGAGCGTCAAATATACGTGTATATTTATCAACTGCAACGTTGAATGGTGGACAACGTGTACACAACTATTTGCTAGTTTAAAATTTAATTGTGAGTGCTTCAGAATGAATGTCTCAAAAATGTTGTGCCACACTTTAACACACTTGTTCTACATTTCTCCCATTTGTTTCACACTTGTACCAGACTTCTACAACTTGTTTCACATTCCTCCCACTTGTTAACAAACTTCTAACTGTTCTACATCTTTCTGACTCGTTCCGCACTCCAGTTTTTCCGCACTGCTTCAACTTGTTCCACACTTTTCCCGCTTTTACCACACTTGTTCCACACTTTTCCCACAATTAGCTTGTTACCTCATTGTGATCTATGCTCATTTACTTCATTTCATTCTAATTAGGTAACCTATGTCCGCGAAAATAAAATATTTTCTATGAACCACGCTTCTCTGATTGCTACATAACAACCTTTTTAATTATAATTCAGGGAAAGTCCGAATACGAAGAATGGAAGTTTCATTTTCTTCCAAACTTGGCAGAAGTATTAGCGGAATTTCCTTCGGTGCGAGTAGAAGCATCTCTTCTCTTGAGTCAACTCAGTCCTTTGCAATGTAGATATTATTCAATAAGTAGTTCTACTGATGTATATCCAAACGAAGTTCATTGCACAGTTGCTATTGTTAGCTACAATACCCAAGGTAAGAAAAATTGTATGTATTACTGTATTGACTGTATTATCAAATACAGAAAGAGCTTAAAAACTCGTAATAGAACTAAAATAAGGAAAATCGGGAAAAAATTATGGCCTACCCTAACTACGGGAGTACCCCAAAATGTCCAACAAATGTGGATTGGACAAGAATGGATAAAATTTGTTCTTTCAAAGCATGTTATTAATTCTTTGATAAACATTAAAAATATCGGTTAGAGATGTAGTTTAATATTTTGACGTCATCGTCGAATTCAAAAACCACAACTGCAAGAGAAGAAATTCGTAGTTGACTGTTTAAACGCTAGAATAGTCGAAGAGTCTTAAAAGCTGATTTTCAGTGAAATAAATGTCATTCTATCACATCTCAGGGGGATCGGGAACAAAACGTCACGGTGTATGTTCGTCTTATTTGAATAGAATGGAACTTGGATCGGATATTTGCTGCTTTATAAGGCCGTAAGTGTTATTCTGATAACCTTATTCATGATATGATCCTAGTAGATTTATGTTCAAATTCTGTCTTTTGCAGAGCCACAAGCTTCCATCTTCCGAAAAATTCTTCTGCCCCATGTTTATTGATTGGTCCGGGAACAGGAATCGCTCCATTCAGAAGTTTCTGGCAACAAAGGATGTACGACATTAAACAAGGTAAAGTTTGCCATTTAATCAATCTTTCAGTTAAACTTTTGCAATAAATTAAATAAATCATCTGAATAACTAACTGTCTGGTTTATATAACTCAAAAATCTAATATTTTTGCAGGAAAACAAGTCGGAGAAGTTGCTTTACTTTTCGGTTGTCGTCACCCAGATCGAGATCATTTATATAAGGATGAAATACAGGAGGCTAAGAATTGTGGAGCTATCACTGAATACCATACGGCTTTTTCGAGACTTCCGGGACAACCTAAAGTTGGTTTGGTTTTTGACAATCTACGTAAAAAATAATCCTCAATATACTTGTTACTACGCATGTATATAATAAATTCAATTTACGATACATGTGTGGCAAAGTCTCTGACAATGCTAGACCATTGCGCCAAGGTTATCATATTATGTTTTTAGTGCATCCCGGCGTTTTTTAGGCCATTAATGGCTTGTAAATAAAATGATAAAATATTTTCTTGTTTACAGCAATATGTTCAGCATGTTTTGAAAGAACAATTAGCTGATCTAGCATACGACTGGCTTTTAAAGAACAGCGGACACGTCTACATATGTGGTGACGTCACAATGGCTGATGACGTCAACAATGCACTAATGGAAGTTTTGGAAAAGAAAGCAAACATTAGCAAAAAGGAAGCTAGAGAACATGTGACTAAAATGAAGGTGAGATACCGTATGTTTATTCGGATTTTCAACATTTTATGTGGCAAATGACGACCATGTTGGTACCCCTCACTATACGATGTATTTGGACAAGCTAATCTAGTTTTCCCGAATGGAAAATCTGTTTGCTAGAAACATTATCAAAACACATAAAATGGTAGGGTCAAGGATCATCACTGACAGAGTGTGTAAGACATGGGGGTGCACTTGATTGGGTACTCCTGTAGAATAAAATTATGGCCTAACCCTAACCTGGTACACAGACTACGTTCCGGTGTCCGCCATCTTAGTTCACATACTACGGGAGTACCCTTGATTGTGCCCACAATATGTACCTGAATATGAGCTGCCTTCCGACTTTAGCAATGTAAAACCCACAACAACAAGACTTAAAGATGATCTTCTCAACTACCAGTTGGATTCGGGTTATACTTACTCTTTATCCTTATTAACCTTTGTTTTATAATTTTGTAAAAAAAAATTGCGATATTTCGAAGTATTATTGATGTTCAGGAGCAAGGTTTATATCATGAGGATATTTTTGGCGTCACCTTGAGGACGTACGAAGTAAACAAGAGCGTGCGTCAGCGTCACGTCACTTCGAAAAAGAAATAAAAGCGTAAGAAGTTGCATGGAAGCAATGGACATAGAATATAATTATTAAGCAATAGAAATAGATCAACATGCATGTGATTGTGCTAGTGTAATTATCTAATCACTTCACAAAATTACAAATAACGTGCGATGCAAACAGCTCGATTATAACCATTAACGCTATGATGACACAATGCCTTTAAACCTGACATGTACAAACTACGGCCCGCGGGCCAAATCCGGCCCGTTGGGTACTTCAATCAGGCCGCCACATGCTGCCACAATCAAACCAAAACCAAATTTTGATGTTTTAGCCAAAAAATGACCCAAGGAATTAGTTGAGATTATGATTGAATTTTGTTTTGGCACGGGGCTTATTGTTTCCCACTTTGCTTTTGTAACACTGTAAATATTGTTTATAAAATGTAACTTTTTACGTCGCACTTATGTGGCCCGCCAGTCTGAGTGGGCAAATTTTCTGGCCCCTGGCTTTAAACCCTCTTTTGCCCAAGACCTATCTTCTACACTTCTTTCTATTGTAGTAAGTTTAATATACCCAATCGGGTAGTAGAAATAATTTGCTTTTTAATACTTCTTTTCCCACACATTCTGCTTAATTAATCTTATATTGATTTGTTCTTTCGCATATTTATTGACTTTCACATTAGAGCGATTACGACTTTCCTTAGCAATGTTAATGAATATCCGCATGTTCGATTTCCGTGGGAATATTTACATACAAGAGGCCTATTTTCATAACCTACTTGGAATACTGAACGGGCTGTATGTATGGTTTACTGTATGGTTCGCCTACATTTAAATTTTTTTTTCCACGGGTTAAATATATGAATCCTATCCCAGCGGTTCCCACTAGTACGCCCCGAAAATTTAAATGCGGAACCGAGTTCAGCGAACATGAGTGATTTTTGTCAAAGGAAAATAATACATAGATGAGGAAAAAGAGTTGATGTTTAGCCTATATTCTCTAGGATAGGCCTACATGTTTACGAACTATAAAAGGAATAAAGTAAACATTAACGATCTCAAAATTGGATTTTTATAGGCTGCAATTTTTTTCGTGTAAGTGCGCCATTAGTTTTTTCCCTGAACGCGCACAAACAAAAAGTTTGAGAACCGCTGTCCTATTTTATTTAACATTAAGCAAAAAGCGTTATGACTGTAACAATGACCATTGTGAACTATCTATTTGTTGGTCTTAGATTCGACGTGTCATGTAATTTGCATGTTCCAAGCGAATGCATACAAATAACAATAGACAGTAATTTCTTACATTCAAATGTTCTGTTGAGATGCTGTTTACCAGATATGTGTTTGTTTATTATTACGTTCATGTATTGTTGCATTCAAGCATATTTGTTTCTTCGTTTGGTACGAACTTTTCCGTTTGTATTTGTCTGTTTTGTTGGTGAAATTTATTGAATGGTTATTTGCGTGAGTCATGTTCGAAAAATTGGGCAGCGCATTTTGACTGCGAGTCGGAATTCGATGTATTGAGAACGTTTTTTGCTTGCAAAATATTTTTCTATAATAATAATTCAATTCTTTCCAACCATATGGAATATCACAAACATTAGTTAGTATATTGTTGAATAGAATGTTTCATACATCGCAATCTACTTTACACTAACATCGGATGCTTCTATGTTATATATTTTATTTCAATCGATTGTTCGATCACAAATACGAACGTTCTGCTTGTACCACTTAATTCTATTCTCTTTAGTATCATTTCAACGTTTTATGTTAAAAGTTAACTAAAATTCTTAAAATCCGATGATTTTTCTGCATATTGGGAAGTCATCGTGTTTTTTTTATATTCATAAAAAAATGTTTCTGCTTGAAAAAGTATAAAAAATCTAAAACTGCTGTTACCCCTGATGCCCGGATTGACAAATATTTTAGTAGGAATGCTGCAGTACAAAGTTTGAGAAGGGTTTTCTCATTTCCCTTTTGTTTTGATAATTGTAGTTATGTATATTTTTGTTATTTTTACAGATGGGATTGTATCTTCACGAGGATGTTTTCGGATACACTCGTTACACTCCCAAATCCAGAGTGATTTTGAAGGCTCAACCATGGTGAGGGCAACGACGAATACATCATAACAACATTGGAGGTTTATTATGCAGTATCATTCGCTCTGCCCATTCGTCAACTTTTGATTTTCTAAGAACTTGAATATATATCGTCAATTAACTCCAGTTGATCAATGCCACATATTTTACGCTGTGTACAGACTTTTCTTTCTCTATTTTCTTTATTAGAAATTAATATTATTATATATAGTTGACATTCGTTGCATTTTTTGATCATCGACTCACTGCATCTGCTTTTTAGAATCTTAAAACCACTCCGCCCACCTACAGAAAACCACTGACTCCGTTCCAAGTGTGATCCCTTTGTTTCGACTTATTCCTGGGATAGAGATGTCGGTACATAATGGGCTAGAGTGGTCAGTTGATTTAATATAATATGTAAATGAGCAATGCCGGTGACTTTGTGTGTTATATTTATTTTATGTAATACTAAAAAATATTATTTTATTTATGGAAACAGTTTAGTATAGTTCTAAATTGTAAGTTTACATATAGCACGATATGTGTACCATTCTCAACTTTAAATATTGTGTATAAAAGTGTTTTCACATTGAATAGTGAGGAATTGCAGTAGTATATCTACGTAATTATGATGGGAACATTCTCTAATATTCACAGTTATAAATCTTTTCACTGCGTGATTTATGAAACTGTATCGTATCAAAACATAGTACAAATTTGGTTTAAGTCAATTCCATGATGCTCAACTGTTTTGAAGTTGGATAATTAACCTATTTTTTGCGCCCTATCCATTGTTGATATTTCTATCAAATTAATCTGATTTTCGTAATTGCTAGTCCGAATTTCTAAATCGTATAATTGCTTTGATGACTTCCCTTTTGATGCAGTCGTATGAAGCGTGATGTTTCTGATTTTGCACAGCCCTATTTTGAATGGGATCTGTTCATGCCACTTACATGTTTACTTTAACTTACAATTCTTCATTACTAAAAGCTGCTTTCTATTTTATGAGGCCAGAATCCGTATTGTTCAATAAAAGTACAGTTAAAGCCACTTGGTTTTGTCTCTGTTGGTATTGGCTGAGTCACAGGCTATTTTTATGGTAAGTTAGAGGATTAGATTCAGAGTCCAGTCAAGTTGTAAAGTGTAAACAAATAGGCAAGTCACGACAAGCAAGCTGCTATGCATTTAAATCAAAGCGGGATAGAGGCAAGAACGCCGAACTTAATGTAGCGGCAGCGCCGGATTAACCATTAAACAATATAAGCACGTGCATAGGGCACCAAGCAAAGAGGGGCACCACAGAAATTTTAGAGCAGAATTTTATATAGTTTATCGGTGTTTATTAAAATATTACGAGTTCACCAGACGACTCTAACTTCAAAATGTTCGCTTATTTTTCGTCTCCAAGTATCATATTAACCTTCTTTATTAAAAATAAACACTGAAACCCATTTATTTGACACGAAATGGGCCTATGAGTAGGCTTACCATAAATCTGAAACAAAAAACCGGGACGGTGCGATTTGGCAAACATTCGGTCGATTGCCAGTCTTGATAATATTGGAACGTCTACCATGCTATTGCGGGTATATACGGCTGTAAATCTCTACTGATCATTGAATTAGAAAAAACACAAAAAATTAGTTTGTATTATTCATTTAGACCAAAAGTATTTGTCCGCAGATGGAACCTTTCTCAAAAATTCTTGTTTTGATTTTGTCATAAAACTGATAACAAGAGACATCACCATTAAATTTGCAGGTTACGGAGTGGTTTTATATTTTCTTCTGGCATTCTGCACCTGCTTTCGGACCAAAATTTTTTAACAATGGAAAAAATCCTTTCAACAGATGCCGATGTTCCGAAAAACAAAATCAACCAATTTGCTGCAAATTCGAAATGCTAATATTTCTGTTAGAAAAAACGTTAAACAAATCTGTCCACTTAATTTCAACCGGCAAAGTAAGTCAAATTGCATTTGAACCATGCTCAGATAAATATCTCTTTATCAGTACGGGTCGAAAAGTGCATCGCTATTCAAAACCTGATCAGCTAACCAAACATATCATTTATCAATTTTGCAGACCAAACACTTCAGTCCAGTTTATTTCACTCTTCAAATTTGTCCATATGTGTGGCCTGGCAGCATTGTAGGCTTCATCGTGCAGCTCTATATACGATAGACATTTCTCGTAAAAATCGCAAACATTCTTTTTAAATACAAATTTTTTCCCTGCAAATTTAGCTTCACCTCTGACAGAATATTTGCAACATCTACGGCAGGGGTCGGCAACCTTTTGTAGCCCGCGGGCCAAAATTAAGGGTTGCGAGTCATTGGCGGGCCGCACATATTTTTAGAAAGTTGAAACTGAACGGATGATACTTTTTATATTAAAAATCAAGCAGTGATACATCTCTCGAATAGAATATAGATTTATTTCCTCATTGCATCTCAAAAAATTCCATTTGAATATTTTCAGCGCCATTGAACCCTTTGCACTAAGCATCAACTTTTCTGCGTTTTGTTGCCATTCGAGCTAAATCATCATTAAATTCAGAGGAGAACAGCGGAGCAATGCACCAACTCTCATTTATTTCTGGCTAAACGTGCAAAATCAGCGAATCCGCTTATCAGACAGCGGACATCAGAAATTCTAACTGTGTATATTTTACAAGTTAATGCAAATTTAGCCTCAAAAAAATTTGAAATTAATTTAGAGGTGCAGTCAAAACTTTGGTCATGAATAGCAGTGTGATAGGTAAATGTTGGCTGCCAACGACACAGAATCATCCGAATTTGTTATGGCAAAATTGGTCAGTCGAGTCGATGCCTCAATGTTTTGTGCTTCCTGCTTTGGATATGATCGTTGACATCTGAACGTCCGCCCTGACTAATAGAAAAACAGATCTGCCATCCGTACAGTGTACCTTTCCTCCTTCAGTTTGCTTCAAATAAGGAAAATCTTTCTTCAACTCATCAGAAAACTTGTACTTTCTTTTTGGCATTTCGACAACTTAACGACATTGCAGTTAACGCCAGAAAACACATTAAAACATATACCAATTGTGACATAACAATAGAGCGATTTCTCTCTCTGAACTAGCAAAGTGTGTCGCAAAACAGTGGTAAATGGGCTGTCACCGTTAAAAAAAAAATTTGTAATAATAATGAATTTGAATTTTTTACCCATGAAAACCGTGCTGACAAACCGGGACATTTGAGTCAACCGCCGGGACGCCGGGACAGCTTGTCAAATCCGGGACTGTCCCGGCTAAACCGGGACGTATGGTAAGCCTACCTATGAGTCGTTTTCTTGAATTGTTGTTGTTTTTTCTTTCTAGTATTCTCCTTGTTGCTGCATTTTTGTTTTAAAAAAAATTCTTTTATTTTCAACAAGAGAGTTACGCCCAAATATATGGACACGTTTTTGAGTTTTTTTTAGCTATTCCAACTGGGGTTAGGATCCCGAGATTCAACCCCTTTTTTCTAACGCTTTGTACTCTTATTTTAGTAAAATCACTGCTCTGTTTTCAAGCGTCGGCCACGTGACAGTAGTGACGAAACGCAGAGCCGACTTAACGCCGCGCAATCCATTTTTCTTTAGCAAGGTCCCGAAATACCAACTTAGACGGACTTGGTTGGTATTTGACGATGGCACTAAGCTTGCTCACGCTGCAAGTTTTTAAACTACTCAATATAACAATTCGTAATAAAATGAGTGTCGCAAGAAGGGTGACATAAAGAAAACACGGCGGAAACTAAACGTATTTCCTTGCCCATCACACAGTGTCTGGTTTGATTTCAAGTAATATCTGCCACGAAAGAATATAATTTGAAGCTGCATTAAACGTGAGATGCGCAAAATACAACGGTCATTCTCGGGAATTAACTTTAAAATAACTGAAGGCTTTATATATATTCTTTAAAAGAACGCCACCAATGCAACATAATAATAGTCTGATTATAACGGTAAACTCTCGTTGTTTATTAAATTTAAAGTATGCAAACTCGCGATATTTCGATCACTTTTGGGTTTTCTCCGACTTTCGGCCCGCGAGACCTCCTCAAAAGTTTTGCGGTCATTCAACCTAGCAACCTTGAGGTAAACTACTAGGTACCGGTAAAATTTCAAACTACAGTTGTGACTTGTATCCTTTGGTATTTTGATTCACGTTGAGACTGGAGGCACGAATCTTTATTGTCACACTCCCTCAGGATTAGGGCTCAACCGAGCCAACCTGAGGGGGCACCAAAGTCTTTAGTGCTTAGGGCACCAAAGGGGCTTAATCCGACCCTGTGTAGCGGAAATACGCTTTTGTGGTATCAGTATAAGAGTTCAGTGTATATCAATATAAGAGTTTCCTGCGAATATATTCTTCAGCAAGAATAATCAGAGACGTTAAATCGTAGTAGTATATATTTACGGTTAAATGACTACGGTGTCATGTTCCAGTTGTGACAATGAGATATTATTTCCGATTACAATTTAAAGTAAAAAAAATTATCATTAACTATAATCGGTACGGGCGGAGAAGACTACAAGTCCAACCAAAATAACCTGTTATCATCATACAATTGGTAAGTTGAATGAGGACAAGTATATATATCTAAAATACGAAAAATATACGAAGTATGTCCTTCATAGATATAAATCTTTAACAATATTAAAATTATAGTGTAACATTGTGTTATTTTTCTAACCCGGAAATTATCAAACTTTTGTCGAACCACGCTTTCAATTATATATTACTGAAATGTAAATACGCTACACATCATACACATTTTTATGATTGAGGAAAATGAAAAGTTCCCCTATCCGTCGACCAGTTTTGCTTTAGTACAACTCAGAATCTCAAACGATTAAAACGATAAACATATATTATCCCTGTCAAATTTTTTCTTTTCCTGCAACATAAAATATAAAGACTGAAACAAAATTTTTGAAAATCAATATTTTCTAAGTGGCTCCGGCACCACTTCGAAGTCCTGAATCGATCTGATGCCTTGCAGCTCGGATGCAGCCCAAGCACGACCAAGGGATAGGGTTTTTTGAGCGGTAGTGCAGTAGTGTGTGTGCTGAGAGGAATGGTGTCAATTTTGAAGACTTCTAAGTTCCGGTTATGACTAACGCACCAGAGGAAGAAAAAGTATGATTTTATTCAAGTTTTTCGCCAATCTCCCAATTAGCGATGTTGTAAACTGCTAGGATGAGATAGGATTTGCATATTTATCCCGGGGATAATCATACAGTCATATCTGCATATGGCGAACCACTTCCTCGTCTGGTTGACAGTTCACGTTGTGTATGGGATTAGTTAGCCAGTTATTTGTTTTCAGATGCATGGACTTAATGGTGGGGGAAGGCGGTAGGTACCGTAACTAACCTGCGGTTTCTGGATTACAGGAACCATCTTAGGGCAGTACAGCAGTAGGGCGTGGAGGAGTCCAGCAATCCTCTTGCACATGGGATTCGAGCCTGCGAACCCATGTATAGTTATCAAAGGTCGGTGCTGTGCGTATTCCTATCGCTTAGCACAACGCGCCACACTGCCAACCTGTTAAATAAGAAATAAATGAATCTATGTGTGAGCAAGCATTTAGCGTCAGCAAGTGACAGAACCAAATGCTGAAGTGGCAGTCCAGAATGCTGGTTTGTCCTCATTCTGGCCTGTAATGCTGTAATGCGATATGACAAACTTCATTACCCAGATGTTTATGTGCTGAGTTATGAGTTTTTTAAAATTATATCATAACTCAATATTACTGGTATTAATCTCATGCAGTCATGGGGTCTTGTCTTCTCGAATAATTTTATCTCATCAATCCTAGCTTTGTATAGGACATGATCGCATTACTTTGTTAGGATACCTCATTCAATACTATTCAATTTAAAGACTATTTCTTGATCATAATTAATAAATATATTCAAGGAATATTTATCCTATACAAACTTATTCTGTCCCTGGTTATATCGTGATTCCCAGGACTCTGATAACTCGTCTAAATACAATAATAAAATGGAAACAGAATTTTACCTCCTTCACACTAACCTTGATGTTTTCCGTTGCCAATCTTCTTGAAAAAAAATTAATAACGATAACGTTGTTCATTATTGTTTTAGAAACGGACAACATTTTTCAACCAACTGAAAGAATTGACTGGAGAAAAGAATATTGGCTTGCTTTCTAAAGCATATCATGCGTGTAGGGGAGATATTGCGAAAGGTGTAGAATATATCAACAATTATCACTCTGAATTGAATTCAGTGAGTATTTTATACATTCTTTCAATTAATAAATGGATGTTTTACTCTTTAACCCCATACTGCAATTGTAGGAAGTCACCAGGTTTGAAATTTCTTATAACATTGATCTGACTTCTGGCTGTGGAGTTTAGAAACATTTACACCAGACTTAGAGCCACTTCAAAAACGACTATAGTCCCCTTCTCTTTAGGCCAAAAAAGTTGACTTCGACTTCAGGTTGAATAAATTTTGTACTTAAACTTCAGCCCTCAACTCTGAAAAAAAAATTGATAGCCTATCAAATATTTCTCTGTATTGGCATTATTTAATTCCTCAAAATATATTGTCTTTGGAGGTAATGTTGGAAATCATCACCATTAAGAGTCCAAATTTCCAACCACAGCTCGGACCACAGTATCAATAGAAACATGCTCAACTTTGACTCTCCAGCACTGTCAAACGGTCAAACCCTACCCAGTTGTTACATTTTTTGATAATCCCGTAGTGTGTGTACCAGTTTATGGTTAGGCCATAATTTTATTCTGATTTTCCTTATTTTATTTTTATTACAAGTCCGAGGACTGTTTGTGTTAGCCAAGTGAATATAACTTGATGTACAATAGGCAAACAAAATTCGTTACCTCCATATTGGTACACATACTTCTGGAGCACCCATTTTTCATGAGGGGATGGAATCTGACATTCAGTTCATGGTCCAAGCAACAGTGTCTGAGATTTAACTCAAGTAGCCACTAGAGACCATCACTTAAATGGCGTTTTGAAGACTACATTAAAACAATAAAATACTTGCTCATAATGCTTCATAAAGTTGTATTAACCACTCGACCATGCAGTATGATATTGTTACAAGTTTACAACACCAATGCAAAATTCATTTTTTATGCCACAGAACATGCCGGATTTAACTGGTCGATCTCTGAATCGCCATAAAGGACCTGGAGTAGCAGCACTCACACAAACACCCATGGATTTCAATAGCACAGGCATGAATTCAAATAGAAACTCACTCAAAACTGGTGGAGTTGGAGGAAGTGAGTAGAATGATACTTCTGAGTTATCTCAATCAATTATTGTTTCAATTCTATCTCCAAGTATAGCATGGCTCAATTCATCAATAGATAACACTTGACTTAAAGTATTTCCATTTGACTCTGTTTACTATCTATGAAATTTCAGAAAATATGGTCTGTTTTTAATAATATTGTGTCATAAACTTGAAACTTTGTAGGTATAATTCTCATTAGAATGAAAAAAAATTCCTTATAAAATTGAATAATAATAAAATTGTAAACCTTCTCACAGTGTATTTTATCTATTCATGATTGGAGGACATATTATCTGTCTTTAACCATTTTCCATATTGCAATCCAATTTTATCGCCATATGATCAAGAACTCCCTCAGGATAAACATGAGAATTTTAACACACATAGACGTTTTAGTGCATATGTGTTGCCTAACTAGTGAATTTTTTTGTGGTCATATTTTCAAGTCATCGACAGAAGCAATATATATGTATTCCTATCAACAAACAATTTTGAAGTCTATTAATTTTATTTTGTTCACCATCTCCAACACAATAATTATATACCCTGTCCTAAATATAATAATGATAACACGAGGCTCTTTAGTGTGATAAGTAATAACTTGGCTAAATAAATTGTGAAGTAGGCAGCTGGAATTATCAAGGAGTGAGATTTTTGTTACCCCATATAAAATGTTCCAGGGTGAGAAAGTGAAAAATTCAGCACCTTCAAAGATGTCTTCTGCTAGCTGAAGTAATTCCTGGTCTATGCAGAGAAAATAATCATTTGATTTCAAGTTTAGGGGTGGTAGACTGGTAGGTCACATGGTTTGCAATAGGAATTACCGTATATTTATAGTAGTCTCGAATTTCGTCATTTTATATTGATACAAACTTATTGTTGTATTTTCAGCTCTAATTTTTTTTGGCATTAAATCGAGTGATGTTCAAGAATTGGGTTTTAAATTAAATAATTTTGTTAAATCTTCATAAAATTCATATAATTAAGTTAACCCCTTTCTAAGTTGAATTAGATTATTTATTTTGATGGAAACGTCATTATGTCAAAGTAAAATTTGTCATTTATTTATTTTTCTTCTAAAAAAAAGAGATATTTTAAACATGTTTAGATATGAAAGACATTATAGCTTATATTTGATCAGAGAAATAGTAGCCTACAATTTGAAGGATAACAGCAATTGTTCTCTGTTGTGATGTCATACGTAGTCTGTCATGAGATTGCAGCATATCTGCTTTGTAAAAAGTGAATTTGAGACACATGGGAATTGTTTCTGAATTTAATTCCTTACCTCACTAAAGGAATGCGCCGCTTCTGCGTCATTACTCAGTGCTGTCAGAATATAGATAGAGCAGTTTGGTTTGGTAGAGACTGATTTACTGGCGCAGTAGCAATATGCTTACGTGTGTACGATGATAAGAAGTATAGAAAAGATGATAACTATTATTAATAATATTATAAACAGATCATTCAGATTTTGTTAAATCAAGTTAAATCAATTCAGTTGTGAGTGTTAGAAATTTTTCCATTTTACAGTTTAGTAAATAAGTAAAAGAATGATTATTTGTACATTTCCTTATGGAATTTGCTGAAAGCTCACATGTATTTGACTGTTTAAGAAAAGGGTAACTTTAGTTAGGCTATAAATAATGTACTGCCTAAACCGTAAATGAATCCTGTGAACAGGATAAATGAGTTTTATCATAAATATTTATTTATATTTAATTCATGTTTTTTGTAAATTTACTTTATCACTTTTTACAGTTGTATCCAATAAATTGTTCATAACATTAATTTAGTTTGGCAATTTCAGCAGTCATATTTATTGAATATTAGTCTGAAAGTGTTAGTCAGTAGGTAGAAGTGAGAAATGTCATCAGCTGACGTTGTGCAGAGACCTGTTGAGGATTTTATACCTGGTGTGACCATCGAGAAAGGTATTCCTATCGAAGTGTTTCTTATACTGTTGAACAAGTTCTCAAACAATTTTGTAATGATTAATCCGAAATCAAGTCCTGGAAAATTACATTTTCTTTTAAATTTCAATTCAGAAGTTGAATATGATTTTTAGTAATTTTGATCATGGTTTGATTCTATACTTAATTGTAATGCGATTATGATAGATTTCATATTTATACCTATTGAACAAAAAAGCCATTAAGATGACTTTTAATGTTAGCCTTTGACTTCAGACAGATGCGTGAACTGCGTGGTTTGGGACATATGCCATGACCCAATAGTTATGTAATGTATGGTAAGAACTGAGAAGTCAAAACTGACACCTGGCATATAAATGGATCATGCTCTATCTAAACTAGGGATGTGCAACATCGGCATTCCACTTTCCAGTAGTTGCAGGCTCAAAAATTTTGGTTATTAATCTAATGATATGCGATGTTCGCTTTGCCCAAGCTAGCTGTTAGGTCATTGTAATGTCATAAGCATGAAAATTTAAATTGGTATAGGCTTTGCAACGCAAAGGGATTGGAAATACTCGCATATACCAGATTCGCTTTGCGGGCCGCACACCCTTCAAAATTGGCACTTTTCTGCGGGCTTCACAATTTTTCCTTGTGAGCTGCAATTGGCCCGCAGGCCTAGTTTGCACACCGCTTATCTAAACCCAATCAAAATGTAACAAGCAGTGGATCGATAAAACCTTTCCTAGGGTTTAGGTATGTTAGCCAGGAATTTAATTGATTTTTTGAAAATTTGTTTTTTAGATCCAGTTATTGATTTGACGGGATCAATTCTTAACTCCGAAGATGCTGAACTACAGAGAGCCATAAAATTAAGCATGGAGTGTAGTGGAACGTTAGAATCAACAGCATCAGGGTATGTTCATCGTGATTTTATTTTTTAATTTCATGTCTTCTTCTGGTTACTCATAGGAGCATACGGTAACCAGTATTTAAAATTGATAATTTTTCAAATATCAAATGTAATTACCATAATTTGCATCGATTCAATATATTTGGACATCCCTTGATAAGTAATTTATATTTCATTCCCCAGTAGTTCTAAAGATGTCCCTTCAACCAGTGGAGTAAATTTGTCAAATACAATTCCTCCAAGTAACATGAAAGGTTTGAAGTCCACTTCTGATCCATCAAAGAGAAGAAGAAAATGTGAGTTTTTTTTATTAGTTATTCATCTTTGCATCTATCCTAATAAAACTGACATTTCTGAAATGTTTTTTATTTAGGAAAAAATACTGCTGTATCATTAGTTATAACTGGAAATGTCCTTCCAATTTATTGAGATGCAGCAAAAATATATTGTCGATTGTCTGATTTTAATTTCTCAAAATTTTTGTTACTCATTGAGGTATATTAGGTCATGGACCAAATAATGGTCAATGTTATGTTTCTGACATTAGCCATTTTTTTCTATTGTTAAGATTTAATTTTTTTTATCCAGGTGGCTTTTTTTTGAAACATTTGGCTTGCTTTTAGCTTATTTGAAAATGAAAAAAACTATATTTTGTTATTTAATTTTCATGTCTACTGTGCTAGTATAACTAGCAGTCCCAAATTGCTAATATACTAGTGATGGGTACATGTTGCAAAACCGTGTCTTAGGTCAGTAACGTATTGAACATATATCCCATCTCTGTTATACTGATTACTGATTAGTATTGATAATGCAGACACTTACATTTTTGAAGCAAATAAGTAATTGCTCAATAGACTTATTCCCATTAGCAATAATTTCTAAATTTGAGCCTTAATTTTTTAACTTGCATAACATAAAAACTTTTCTGATGTCTATATACAGTAATATACTTAATATATTCCAAGTTTTGTTGCTATTCTAATCATACAATTTTTTTTATTTAAGCACCAGAATGGCCAGCTGGATTAAAAAACGTTGGAAATACATGTTGGTTTAGTGCAGTTATTCAGTCACTATTCAATTTACCTATATTTCGAAACCTGGTACTTCATTATCAATCCTCATCTGAATTGCCATCACCTGACTCAGCGGTAAGTAAAGCATTATTTCACTTTCAATAGGAGAGTAATCTACAAAAAGAGGGCTATAACCCAAACAGGTGAAACTTGAAAATGCCACTTTGAGAAAATGAGAAAAAATAAATTTTTCATTTCAATATTCTGCAACTTTTTTTACTTTGGTGTATATTGCTTAAAACTATGGTATGATACCTGTTTAGATAGCCCATATTTCTTTGTAATATTTCTAAATAAAACTTCTTCAAAATATCAACATGGAAATTGGTTAGACCAAAATATTCATTTTTATTTCTTTGATGTAATTTATTGCTCTCCCTCTTTCCAAATAGCTGTCCCTGAATTTGAAGCCTACAGTGAATGTCAATTCCCCATAAAGTTTCAATGATTGATAGTACCATTTTTACTACTTCTGTTTTCCAAATCTCTTTTTGTGCTTCAGTCTCTTAAATTTTTTTTGGGAATACCTGTACCCAATCTCTTTGTAGTCTCTTATTCTTAGTACCCGCAGTCTGAGTTGTTTCAATATAGTGATAAATATAGTCGAGGTCTTTGAGCTGTGGTATGCCAAACTTGTGCTTCGAAAATTTGGCAAACCTTATTTTTATGTGGGTGATATAACTTTAGTGAATAAATAATTTAATTAAGATCATTTGATTTTTTGAATATTGTTGTTAAAGCCAGGCGCGGCGGTGTGATTCATTGTGCTAAGCGTTAGGAATACGCTTGCCACCGCACCTCTGATTACTCTGCGTGGGTTCACTGGTTAAAATCCCATGCAGGGATGGTTACGTGTAAGAAGATTGCTAGACTCTGTCGTAGGGTGGTTCACGTAACTGCTGGTCGGTTACGGCTGCCTCCACCATTGAGTCTGTGCTTCCGAAAAACAAATAACTAATTAATCCCATACCCGACATGGACTGGTAATCAACAAGAGGCCATGGCTCCTCATATAGAAATCCTATCCTATATTTGGTAACAGTATATGCTTCATATATATATATTGGGTTTGTATATAATATGGCTTTTGAAGCCATATTATTTTGGGTAACAATTCCCTGCTTTATATATATATATATATATATATATTTTCATTTTAGAGATATAGAAATGTTTGTTTCATGGAAGAATTGAAGAAGCTCTTTGCACTTCTTATTGGATCAAATCAAAGTTTTATTGATCCAAGTAATTGTGTTTTATTGTTAAAATCTGGATTTGATGAAAACAGTCAACAGGTAAGTTTATTGCTCGCTGTCTGATTTAGTGTTTGTATCAGTGGTTGTCAAACTTTTATGACCCATGCCTCTCTTCCGAAGACCCTCAACTCTTGTGCCCCCCTGCTCTTCGATGAAAATAACTAGTTTGTCGTTAACATATTTTCTGACGAATCACAATCAATTTATTTTATATTAATTATGGTCTTCATGAATGGAACCTAATGAAAGTCTTTTCCCCATTGAAAAGCCTCGTGGCCCCCTAGAGGAGCCAATGGCCCAGTTCGAGAAACCCTGGTATAAATATAATCACATGTTCCTTATGCCCTTTAAGGCCTTTATAGGAAAATCATTTTGGTTTAGTAAATAAATCGATTTTTCAGCGTAATCACTGTACAGTATTTGCCAAATTTAAAATGAATCATTACTTCTCTGTGTAATTGTATTATTTATACCTAAGTGTATCAAATAATTTTAAATCAAATGAAAGAAATTTTTTTTAAAATTTTTATGTCAATGTCCTTGTCATGTCCTCAATGTTTTCTTCCTAAATTCTTATCAATTCATTCCACATTGGTTTAAATTTGATTTAACATGAATTATATTTTTCAATTTTAGCAAGACGTGAGTGAATTTACGCACAAATTATTAGATTGGCTTGAAGATGCTTTAGCACATAAGAATGAAACATCTTCATCTGCTATACAAGAGGAAACATTACCTATGGAGGTTGACCAAGCGGAAGAAGCAACTCATGCAACAGGGGGGCAACCCCAAAATAATTGTAATCCAATGGTTGAACTTTTTTATGGGGAATACAAGGCACATGGAATAAATAATGGTATGTTAAGAATTTCATCATGGAGTCATGTACTATCTATGATTCATTCATTCATTTAGAATATTTTAAACTGTAATCTATAGATGATATGTGATAGTTAATCCAATCACATCTACAGAAAAGAAAAATATTGAACATTTTATTTTGGTACTGTATAAGTATATGTACCGGTAATAGAATAAGAGAATACTCTATTATGGATTGGGAGTAACTCGATTTGTTTCCACATTGCGTCTCTGCAAAATACCACATATCATTCAACTTTTCGATCAAGTATTTATTCTGATAATCAAGTCTGTAGATATTATAAAAAATTTTGGGAATCAAAATTGTAATAGGTAATTGGTTTTCACCTAATTTTTTGACATATTCCTTGGAAATATATTCGAGAATCAAAATTATTTACCGATACTTTTTATATTTTTCTGTAGGTTTTCATGGTGGTATTGTACCGTTGCAAATTGCAATAATGACATGGTGATATATCATTGTATGCTTCTCATTACAGGTAACAGCTTCACAAAACCTCAAAAGTTTGGTTTATTTCCACTGTATGTTGATGGTGTCAGTAACCTGCATGATAGCCTGGAATTTACAACACGAGATCGTATGCATCATGATTCATCAAGCATTGGTGAAAGAAATCATATCGGACAAGAGGTTTGTTCGGTTATAAGTATTATAACTTTGAGCTGGTGTTGATTCTAATTTTTTAATTATCTATAATTGAAGCAACTAATTAAATTTTAATGTTTCTTTGTTAGCATTGGTTCACAAAATTGCCACCAGTGTTAATATTCGAACTATCTCGTTTTCACTACAATCAACATTCAAAAGCTCCTGAGAAAATTCACAGTGGATTTGATTTTCCAAATATCCTGTACATGGACCGGTATGTTATTTTCTTTTCATTTTTTAAATTTTTTCTCAAATTTGATTTGAATATCTCAATAAAATCATGAATGTTAGAGAAAATTTAGTGTAAATTTTGATTTTTTTATTAAAGAAGCAAAATTCTGTTCCAAAAAAGATTTTAATGATCTGAATACACACTAAAACAATTTAGAAATTTTTTTTTCTTGAGAATAAATTTTTTGGTCATCCACATTCAATTATAATAAATATTATTTTAAATGTTCATAGTTACATGGAATTGAACGCTGAACGAACACGCCAATGTAGAGATCAATGTTCGGAACTCTTACGCCAACTTCATTCTATGAAGGAAGAATTGAAAAAGTAAGCACTTAATTAACAAATTGTTGTCCTGAATGCAAACATATGCATGAACTCATGGAAAATGCAACTAACTGTTTTAGAATGAGCGTTTTTTATTCAAGTCAGCTATGTATAGGTTTATTGTTCTTGTGTCAAGTAGGTCAGATTGAACTAAATAAGCTTTAATGATTCACATATATGTCAGTTAACAATGAAATTCATGGTAGATAGACTTGAATTTTGTTTGCCTCTATCACTAGCAATTCTTTTTTCGATATTCTATCAATGTTATCATTCTAACATTTATACCATTATTTTTCTTGATCAAATTATAACAGGAGGAGAAAAATGATGCTTGGTGAAAAAAGTTATTCTATTCAAGACGTTTTGAGATGCTGCACAGAATTTGCTGCTTCAAAGAGAAAACTCTATGCTAAAAATAAAAGGTAAATTAAGTATTTAAGAAATATCTATCTATTTTGATGAGGGGAAAGCTGAATAAATGGCTTAAATCACATAGCGAACAATGACTAAATATAAGGTTACCAACCCAGGTTAGTTATGGGAATAGTTGATAGTGATCCTATTGCATGTTGATGATTTTGATGATGACAATATCACGGAAAACAGATTGCTATCCTTTCAATATCAGTAGCTGCTTACTTAATCAATTCATGCTTGTTCAGAGCCTAGTTCAGAGTAAAGATGTGAAACGCTCCAATTATATTTTTGAAATTTGAAATGTACGGTATACATTTTTTTCAGCCATTTGAACAAACGGAGCAGAAACTCGTCAACGGATCAATCGTCAACTGCAGAACACCTTGATGGTGGGTCAGGTGATCATGTGACCGAACCGCAGCATATTGAAGAAGATAGTGATGATGACAAAAAAATTGCTAATGCATCTGTAGTGGAACATTGTTTGAAAACATGGCTCGAAGAACTCGAGAGGGAAAAGGAAGGTTTGTTGGAGCTGGTATATATCAACTAGATTTTGTTTGCATTTCACAAAATGCATTTGTACAAACAGGAGTGTAATTGTTTAAAGAGATAATTTGATAAGTCTTATATGACACCAAGCTTGATTGGATGATGGTCTCATGGTTTAATTTCAATTTCCGACCATCTTTTTCTTTTTGTGTATTTTTTGTTGAGTGTCACCCATACAAATAGAATATGGAGTAATCCATTTGGTTTGTGCATGGGGTATTTAATGCGCTAGACCATAGGTTCTCAAAGTGCTCCGTACGGAGCCCCAGGGCTCCGCGAGCTATTGGATTACTTTTCAAAATAATGACTTGGCCAATTTTGTAACTGTTCAAAGAAGCAATGGCAGCTTTGATAAAATTTGACAACAATATAGCCTCGAAATATGGCAAAGATGCGGAATTAAAAAATGACATTATTTAATAACATAAAATACGTGATAAACTGCCAAGTGCCAACTATAAATAAATTGGAGTCGTATTTTTGCGATATTGGAATTTGTCAAACTTGATTTGTTCTTTTGCACTTGAGATTATTTTTAAGCAAGATATCGCCGTTTAAAAAATCACAAGATCTGGGCAAGATACGAACAATCGAAAATTATTTTAATGCATGCGGCTCCGTGGGTAGTTTCAGAATAAAAAAAGGTAAATCGCGCACACAATTGACTGTGTTTCGATTTCGCAGTTACTATACGGTGAATGACCAAAGAAAACCTAACATAACACCAAATTTTGTGATTTACAATGCCTATAAAAGCGTTTTTAATCTGACGTGAGTTATAGTGTGATCTTTTATTTTAAGTTTTAATATTTTAGAATGCCGTTTTTCAATCAAGAAATTTGGGTTGCGGATTTACCTCTTTATTATTAATTATTATTTTTAGCACTTCGTCACCGATGACTATATGGTAATTGGTAACATGTTTTTCACATTAAACTCATAATTCCCCACGAGAACAAAAAAGCAATTAACGTTGTCATTGTGGAACAATACATGTATATGCTGAAGAAAATTTTTGATTAAGGGAGAATAAACACCGGCGTAAAGATGTTTAAAAACACGCATGCTGACGAAAACTATCGGTGATTGTAACAAAATGCAATCGCACACATTATTAGCGGCCTTCCGAAAATGTCAAAAGGAAAAAGATTCGACCCCTAGTTTAAATGTTTGTCAAGTGTCAAATATACCAGCGTTAGTAAGAGTTTATATAATTTATCTTCGAAATTTAGATTTATTTATGACTTGTATTAACCCTATTAAAAAAGGTTACGCATTTAAATTAAGTGAAGTACTTTTAACTTACTCAAGAATATTAATCGGAAAGTAACAATTTTAACATTTCTTTTGGGGCTCCGTGAATAATAGTCAACCTTTTCAAGGGCTCCGCAACACCGAAAGTTTGAGAACCCCTGCGCTAGACAACAAGGTTATGTGTAACTAACAAAAAGAATGAAATTTCACAAGGGGGGTTTGCGTACTTAACTGTGTTGGCGTTACGTGTTGCACATCTTTACTTCGAATCCAATGCCCCCCACTCACCCACCCAAAGTGTAATAAATGCAGAACCAAAAAGATACTGGTCCCAATCCAAAGAAAAATAGTAACTCTTTACATATTGTGTGATCAATGGCTGATTGTACAAGGCATTTTTCCTGAGTTAAATGTATGAATAAGAATTGCACAAAGAAAGACTAACATGCTGTTAATAGGTTGCATATGTGATCTATGTATTATTTTTATAATAATAATATTATTTTAATTTGTACTAAGAAATTTTGTACACTATGCCTAAAAAGAATCAGTATCATTACATAATTGGTGACTGCTAGAGTAGTCTAGAATTGAACGAGGTAAATTTTTTTCAATTTGCATATTATTTTTTCCAATGTTTTATATATCCATGGTTTTTGAATGCCTTTTTTCTTTAGTTCTTCGAGATGACATCAATGACGTTCAGAAAAGGATCGAGTCAATGTACGATGATCCAGCTCTTAAACAACATCCTTATAGTTTACATGCAGTTTTGGTGCATCAAGGTTATGCAGTTGCAGGTGAGCATAGCGGCGTATGTAATTTAATAATAAACTAAAATTAAATTTTGGATTTCTATTTTGTTGGAAATTTACAAATATTTTTTGTTGTGTATCAACTGTATCGGGGCTAAAGTTGTATGTATGTATGATATAGTCGTCCGAAAATGATAAATTTTGCGTTAGTAATCTCGCTATGAATGCGATCGGCTTATAATGTTCTATGCAATAATCCTTATTATTGTTTCTACTATTGAGTGTATAACCACTAATTTTTAAAATATCATATCTGTTTTATCTGCGTGTAGTCTGTAACGTTTTGCACTCACAAAATCACTACAATAGAATATTTGGGTGTAAACGTACATGAACAGAAAGAAGTTCAAGTGTTAAAATTGTTTTTTTTTTGGTACAAGAATTAAGAAATTCATGGGTCATCCTGTACTTCAGCAGCTACTTTTGTTGTTAACAAATGTATTACACTGTCCTCAAGAACACTGTGAATTTGCTATTGCCTGCAGTTTTTTCATTAATGCACTTAGAATATAAGATACCACTCCAATAGTATTGTTATAATTTTGTCATTTGTATTTCTAGGTCATTACTGGGCCTATGTTCGAGATTATCAAAAATTAAAATGGTTGAAATTCAACGATACTGATGTAAGGGAATCAAATTGGGATGAATTAGTTCAAGATTCAATAGGAGGAGGAATGGGATCCACCAGTGCTTATTGTTTAATGTATATTGATAAGAATAAAGAAGAATTGTTGATGGGTAGGTTGCTGTATGTTATTACAGTACATAAAAAATTAGCCAGTTTTTGGGAAATTTCCCCTCTAGCCGTTGGTGTTTCAACTCTTTAATGCTATTTTGAGAATTAACTATCTCTATTAAGCGATGTTAGATTAATGATTCGTACGATACTCACCATCTAAAAAAAGTAGTTTCCTAACTTTAAAATCTTAATTTTTCAAATTAGAAATTTGAACTTTGGGTGTCAGTGTTGATAAGTAGCTATGATTGCCCATGTTTTTCATTCCCTAGTAAAACTGTACTTTTCATATTTTTTGTATTTTCTGTGTTCTATTGTTTTTTTAGTTACTGGTTGAAAAAAATAAACTTGACTTGACTCAAAGCTTCTATTCTAGATTAATTTGTAAACTCGAACGCTAACTCGAAATATGTAGGCATCCAAATATATCATAATTATTCCAAATAAGAACTTTCAAAACGATGACATGCATCTGGCCTGCGACTTGTTTTTAAGCAACTTCCCATTAAAAAATCATTGTGTTTTTTCCCAATTTGTTGACTCTACCTATTTTAGACAATATTTATATTTAAACTCTGTGAATATTATGTGGTTATGACATCACAAAATGTAGATTGAATTGCAAACTGGCTAGATAGTTTTAACACTGTGTTAAACACTTGGAACTCACTTGCCAACACACCTCTGTATATCTTGGCTGACAGCCTTGACAGGTTGGAATCACATTGGGAAAATTTAATTGCGAAAGGATTGCTGGACTAGCCACATTGGGTTGGGTCACATAACCCCTAGTTTATTACGGCTTCGTCTATGCATCTGAAATGAAAAACTGGTTAACTATTCCCATACTTGACACAGACTGGTAGCTGAATTAATGCCCATGGCTCACCATATGGTTAACCCATCTTATCGACTTTCCTTTCCCTGGAATAAAAAAAAATTGAAACCTTGTTATATCCTATCCCAAGACAACCTTGTAGAGTAGTCTTTTTAGAAGTAGATTTTTACAAAACTTTATTCCTCAAAACAAATTTATTTTTTGTAATGAGCTTAAATGAACATTATTGTGCCAGGTACACCCAACGGAGAAAAAGTGTTATCAGCTCATACTGAATTGCAAGAACTAATTGAAAAACACAATACAGAATTTGCAAACGAAATGGAAGAGTGGGATTTGGAACAAGCTAAAATACTTTCATTAACTGTAAGAGTGATTTGAGCCCTGTAAAAAGAACTTGATTCCTGGCTGTCAAAATTTTTCAATTTGATTCCAGTTTCCAAGTCAGCAACTTTTGCATATGCAACTATTGCAACCATACTGTCATCTGCAGCTAAAATCAGCAGATGAAGATTGATTTACAATGCTCCGCTTTTGAAAAATTAGTCATTTAAGTGTTATTTGAGTTTCAATGCCAAATTTCACTGGAGTTTTCTGAAATAGCAGTCATTAATATTAATCTCTGATGTAGTTCAAATAAACTTTTTCTACTTTAGGGACAACAGGACATTTCTGATGCACAAGCAACATCAATGGATGTCCAAGAGAAACCTAATGGTACGCTACCATAGAAAACTTACCAATCTGAAATATATACTACCATGAACATTCATATATATATTGAGTCACATATTCTACGCCATCTTGTGCGAGACCGTTGAACCGAAAAACTGGAGAGTTATCTGGCATTGTCCCAGGGCTGCAAGACAATGCGAGTTGAGGCTGAGGTGTGGAGCCTACTGGCATCTCAGATATGTGCACTAGGAAGCTTTTTCCTTGATTTACTCACAGAGAGAAATGGTTACCGTAAATGTGTGAGAAATCATGTATAATTAGAAAATATGCAAATAATGTATTTCTAATGGTACAGAGTACATCCGATTCACATTGTTCAAATCAGTGCAATTCCATACTAACATTCACAAATTAATGGGATTTTTGTTGTTCAGGAATAACCCAAGCCGACTCTTCGAACAAAGATTCTATGTCATCATGGCATGTAGAAGCTTGTAAAAAGGCAATCCAACAAGTTTGTCAAGACTATAAAGATGATGTCAACATAAAAGACTTTTTCGATATGGTAAGTTTAATCATATAGCCCTAAGATGGTTGTGTTCATTTTCAAAGTCATACCTCATGTAACTATTCTATCTATCATTCATTTTTTTGTTTTGAGCTTCAGTATTTCTTCCATCTTTCTCTGTAATTCTACAAACAATTATTCTTTATCTATCTATTCACTATGTGATAAGTTGGCATCTTTCCTTCTCTTTTCTTGTAGGAAATTCATAATCTTACTCACCAAACTAGTATGCTGGCTATTGCATCTGCTACTGACACATTCAACATGAAAGGTCCAGAAGCTGCTCTTCTTGAGGTAGATACTCACTTGTGTGATTACCGATTGGAAACATTCCTTTTCTCTTTCACTTTGTTTCCTCTCTGCTATTTATTAAATCAGTCAGGATTTGGTAATGAAAGCATGGCCTACTTTTTGAAGAATATTTAATATTTATTCACTTAGCAAACAAATCTTGCTTGAGTGTGTGTTGTGTATTGATTATTTTTATATTTGTCACAGATCTCAAAAATTTACTTGAATGAAAAACATTTCAGTTTAGACCAGGGGCCAAATATTTTGCCTACCTTGACAGACAGGCCATGTCAGTGTGACCTAAAAAGTTTCATTTTATGAATAATATTTATGGTGTTACAAAATCAAAAGTGGAAAACAATAATCCTTGAGTCAAAACTGTATTTAATCGCAATCTCAACAAATTCTTTGAGCAATTTTCTAGCTAAATCATCAAAATTGAATTATAGTTTGGTTGTGGCTGCATCAGACAAGCCAGATGGAATTACCCAGCGGGCCAGTTTTGGCCTGCGCGGGTTAGTTTGCTCATGTCATGTCAGAATGATAGTTTTTATATGAAGCTTTTAAATTATCCCAGGAATTATGGACTTGAAACATTAAGTATGATTAATTTCAAACAGATTCGTTCGAAACCTCTTTTATTTGATTGAGATTTGCTTTAAAATTTTCTATTTAAATATTCTTACAGGTTTTGAAACATGAATGGGATAGACTTCGAAAGATAGAACGATTAGATATAGGGGCTGATATGGATGTTCGTCTTCAACATATAGTTATATATATGTTCAGGAACAAGGCACCAAGAAAGGTGAGCATTGATATTATTCTCTTTCAAACTTTTACTTGATAAAAAGTTATAGACGGTACTGTAGGGAAATAACTGAATAGTTCTATCTGTGATTTCATTGTAAATAGACTTTATTTTATAACAAAATCATCATACATCAAAATTGACATAGCCTAATATAGTTTTAAAGTGTCTGAGCAAGACTAACTACGGTACTAACTAACTACCTATATTCTGTGTTTTGCATTGGTGGATCTGTATGGGTGGCCGGGTGGGTACTATGCATGGATGTTGTAGCAAATACATTTCACGGGGGCGCAGCAAGACTCCACTTACAATTTCACAAAAATGATTACCTGAATTCAAAAAAATAGCTTCTTATGAAATCATTCACAGATTGTGTTTACAATAGGTTCTCATGATATTCCTACCATACCATAATATTACCAGTTTGGCTTCCCTCACATAAAAGCTGAGGCTAAAATATACCCATAAAAAACATTTTATCATTTCAGATCATTGAACGAGCATTACTTGAACAATTTGCAGACGACGAAATGAGTTATGATAATAGATCTACAGAAATCATGAAATGTGCCAAAGAAAAATTGAGGATGTTGTCACCTGAAGATAAAAATGACAGTGATTACCAGGTAGGAGTCGACCAAATTTATCAAACTCAAGGAGAATTACATTCATTACATAATATAGTTTTTTAATGGTTTCAATTTATTTAGTGGTTAAATAGTGGTTTCAATTTATTTATTAAAATTATTGCGATGTTATTGCGTCCTTCCAAACTTTCCAGTTAATAATCAATTGAGTTGGTTCGTTTACTGAGCTTCCTCATTTGCTGAGTAAAATGTTGAACAGGTTGGATAGGATAGGATTTACATATTTATCCCGGAGGAGAGGAAAGACGATAAGACGGCTTATCCATATGGCGAACCACGGCCTCTCGTCCGGTTACCATTCCAAGTCGGGTATGGGATTAGTTTTACTGTATTGTTTGTTTTCGGAAGCATGGACTTGGTGGTGGAGGAAGCCGTAACCGACCAGCGGTTACGTGAACCACCCAACGACGGCGAGGAGTCCAGCAATCCTCTCGCACATAACCATCCCTGCATGGGATTCGAACCTGCGAACCCACGCAGAGTAATTAGAAGTGCAGTGGCGAGCGTATTCCTAACGCTTAGCCCGTTGAGCCACACCGCCGCGCCGCGTTGAAAATGACTAATGTCTATTATGATGATTGACAAGCATAAAACCATGACTTGGCATGCGCTGGGACTGCAATGGAAATTATCAAGAAAATTATTTACACATATTGCTAATTTCTACAAAATGCTCACAAGTTCTTGTCTGTATTTTATGTGTGTTTTTACACTGGGGTAGACTATTCTGGTATATACAGACCTATCCTGTCTATTCATATCGAAGTATTCTACACTTTGGCTGTCAATTTTTACTTTCAATTTTAGAAATGGAACAGATATTACTGCTATTTCTGCAAGGCTACTTGTTGTTTAATACAAGGAATGGAACTTTATAACAGCGGAAGATATGCTGATGCTTTACCTTATTTTGCAAATGTAAAAACATTAAATGATACCGTAATCAGAACAAGTGCTGATGAAGCAGTGGGAGATGATTTGTTTGCAGACTGGGAACTTGCTAGACGGTTGATATCATATTCTATAGAGGTATGAATGGAATATCTTGATTTTGTCGAGTGCATTTAAAAAAAAATAAAGAGCATGATTTAGCAAGGCCATGGGATTACCTAAAGAGTTGGAGATAAAAATTCAACAATTCAAATGAGTACCTATAGCAGGAGTGGGCAAAATTTTTTAGTATAAGAGCCGCGTGCAGCGAGTCAGAAATATGTGAGAGCTACATAATTTTTGAAATTGATAATTTTAGAATACCGCTTAATGGATTTAAAAAAAACTGTTACCCTACAGTTTCTCTTGAATTGAATTTGAATTATGTATAATTATTGCCCAACTCTGAGCAGTTTGTAAATACGACTCCGGAACCTAAGGCTTTGACTCTTGAATGCTTGTTTGTTCCGAGTGGAACATTATGTCAACAGTAAATTTAGATTTGTTCGTGTCATGATACATTTTTTTATTCCAAGTTCTCCAACACATAAATAAAAGTAGAAAATGCGCTCGCTGATAGAATAATTGTAGTTGTCTAATATAATCGTATGTGTTTTTTCAATTCAGAAAATTCACCAAGAAGCAATAGCAAAAGTAAATTCAGCTGAAGAAGATGTTGCAATTGAAGGTATTAATATCTTAATTGAATCATTAATACCATGGATTCATCTTCTTCCAGTAAAATCCAACAGAACAACATTGCTTGGACAAATAAGGAGTGACTGGTGTGATTTGGATGTTAGTCCAGGTACTGTATGTAATGTTAGCTTGTTTAGTCTTTTTAGTTGTCTGGGGAATGGTTCATTAAATATCATATTATTTGGGCGCTCCAGAAGAATGTGTACCAATACGGAAATAACTAATTCTGTATGCCTACTTTACATCAGGTTGTGTACAGGGACTGAAACCTATGGACAAGGGGGTATATTCACTTGGCTAACACAGACAGTCCCTGAACTTGTAATAGAATTAAAATAAGGAAAATCGGAATAAAATTATGGCCTAACCCTAACCTGGTACACACACTACGGGAGTACCTATTATTGCAGTAAATTATAGTCTGTTATTTGAGTGTAATGTTGAAGAGTTTTGCAATATTCTTGTACATATTCAACATTCTATGGAAAAATAAGCATATGCAATGAAATGCTGATTAAGAATTAAACATTACTGATGCAGATATTGCAAAACTTATATAAAAATTTTTGTCATTTTTATATTTGTTAACAAAATGCTGTGAATGTTAAATTATCAGAACCGATAATATATTCAGAATGCATTATAAGGTAATATTCCATAATATAATTCAACAAAAAACACATAGAATTCAATTAGTTTGTATTTGAACATGTACGAAAGTTATGATAAACAACAATGATTTGATTTATTGTGCATTTTATAAATGTGTCTGTACAAGGAGTGCCGTTCGAAAAATACTTGCACAAGGTTTTGATCTGATTTACAGCTACTGGCTGCGGATTAAAAAAAATTTGACCACAAAAATGTTCCATTTTTTCAAGGCTTTTTGATTTTATTCATACCGGTATATATATAACTCCAGTTCCTACAGCAACAATAAGAGTAAAAATCTGCTCCAAAAACAAAATCAGTGTTTATAATCAATTAGAATGACATGCTATTTAACATGAATACATAGGTAAACGACGTGTCGACTCTAATAACAGAACGCCATTTTCATAACAAAATATTCAATCACTAACATAGTGCATTGTTGATGAACTTATCCCCGCACTTCAGCATGCGTGGGATGAAACTAACGTCTGTCCCCCAATATATAAACATTACTTACAAACATTTTTCCTTCTCGATACACAGGAAGAGTGCAAGAACAACATGAATGTGCTCTTCAAGCACTAATGGAACCACCAAACAGAGATGAAATTGCAAATATGGCGTTTCATGGTGCTATCATCAAACCAGAAAATTCACACGATTTATGCAAACGATTTGAAGCAGCATTTGCAACGATGAATGAAAAGAAGTCAGGCTGCTGATTTATTTATTTTAATTCTAAAATTTTGGCTTTGATCAAGATTTACCGTAAGTGCCACAATGACCATGTAGTTTCTTTCAATTGATGTTAATAAACGTTGTTGTAAAATTTCATTTTTAATATTTCGTTTCATCGTATTTCTTGTTATTGACCAGGTAGAATCATTCACATCTGCAACTTTTCGTTTTCAATTTCATACTTGAAATATATATATATTGGCGAACTATTTCAGCCATTATAAATGAAATAGTTTTGAATTTTAAGCATTTGGCCACTTTTACACCAGTCCTCCCTATCATAACATTAGCTTACTACTGCTATAAAAATAACAAAAAAATCGTAAACTATGACGACTGCTATCTCTACAGTCTTTGGAGGTATGTGTTGAATCAGCACAATCCCCGGAAGTCAGCATCTGTTTTATATCAGAAGACTATTATCAAGACGAGTGGTTGTCTTTAGACATGCACTGTGAGTTACTGTCTTTAAGCGTTTAGGTCTGTACTAAGCATATGTCAGCCCAGTTATATGTAGAAATACACTGCAAATAATGTAATATGCTTTTAATTCAATTTGTAAATTTTTGCAATTAAAATATTTATGCAAATCGTTTTGTATCTGCCTCGGCATACAGGGTCTTCATTATTAGGGGTGGGCAAAATCGAATATGTTTTTCATTTTTAACGAATACCGAATAACGAATATTTTTTCGTCGGCCGATACTCTCTTTGAAAATCAAATAAAAAAATAATCAAATAAAAATCGGCAACAAAGCGTTTTTGCCTGGTTAATTTCGCCCTAATCGCCGATTGTTTTTGTCATCACAATCGTTTTGACGGCGATATCCTGAAGTTGGTAATCTATATTCCCGCCCGTTCTCTTTTTTTGTAAGGATTCATTCTTACGGGTTGGTGGACAACTTTTGTAAATTTACCGTCCGAATTTTAAGCGAGCGGTAATATTATCGATACCGAGATGCAGATATTTATTATGACGATGATGAACTTTCTTATACTTTTCTATGGTGTCTGTGTTATTTTCGTGTTAGAAGGATAAACCTCGCAAAGCGATTGCATCAATCCTGAATGTTGATTTAAAATATGATTGAATAATTCGACAACAAAGGCAATTTCTATGTGGTCATAAGACGCGATGACGGTAATAAACAGCACTTCTCGAGGGATATTTTTTTTTACATATGCGATCTAATGCTAAAAACATTTTGCGCTCGAGTGTTTATGTGCCGAAAAGTGGGTCAGATACATATTATAACTAATTCTTTCAAGTTTCAACGTCACGTCACAATTTTACTTACGGAATTTGCAAATTCACCATTTCACTTGATGATTTTGATAATGTCGCGTAATTATTGGTGCAAAAATGTTCGAAATATAACGAATGTAATCATTTCCGATGGTCATAGGCGCAACAATTCGCAAACGAGACGGTGTGCATTGTGACATCGAAATTCACGATTGATTTTACGATCTACTCTCGTTCACGATTTTATCACTCAAACCCGCCATGCATGGCCGAAAAAAATGTTCACATTTACGAAACATTACTTGGTCATAGAATAGATCGAAGGGATCACTGAAGAGCTCATAGAATATACATTAAATGGAGTTTGGCTTGTCATTTCTTTTCTGGTTATAGCTTATAAGTGTTTTACTATGTATAGTTTCTCGAAAACGTAATTTTGATTTTCGATAATCACTTTTATGTTCGGGTCATACATGAAGCGGCTGATAACTACTTTACGGTACGTGCTTTTGCAATATTAGGGAATTGAAACCGATATGTTGGGCGCAAAAAGGAAGCAAATCACACCACAACGCAAAGACAACGATTTCTCAAATTTGTCGCTCTTTTCTGATAGTGAGCGCTGTTGGTGAATTCTCGCGCGATTCAGAGACGCGCGAGTTCCGTGTCCAAGCAGTGGCGCAGGTCACGTGGTACCGGATATTCGAATAGTAAAATGCCATTCGAATAATTTAATATTCGATCTGCTATTCGAATATTTTGCCCAGCTCTAGTCTTCATTATGGAGTTTGTTGGTTACCTGAGGCAGCCGAGCTCTCAGATAACAAGGTAGTTTATTTAAAAAAAAACTGGTGTGGTGAGTCATGTGGAAACGACAAGCTTTTTTCAATTACATGTCGAACAAAGTTGCTGTTGTATCTTTACTGAGAGTTTTATAATTCTTATGTGGTTTTCACACAGCAATTCTATCAAAATTAAGGAAATTTCTGACCCTTGACTTTATCAAAATTGATGCGTAAGAATTACTGAATTGAAAGGAACTCCTCCATTCTGGAGTTTTCAACCCATGTTGCTCCATTGTTATTTACGCTTACGCCAATAAAATTGTTTTCCAAGCGACATTATATCGGAGTAAACCGTGAAGTAGCAATTAGTTCTGGTACATTCTCCCCCTCTGTGTGCTATTACAAAACAAGTTGTGAGAAATGTATTGTTATTAATTGTATTGCTATTTCAAATAACAGCATTTGTTGTTAATAGCTGCACAGTAGTTCACATATTGTTAGATTCAAATATTCAAGTTTTTATCGCTGAATTGTTTTAGCGTTAATTCGTTGACTTCGCATGTCACCTAAAAACATGGCGGGCATTGGTTCGCAATCCCTGCAATATAAGCTCCATTAATCGTCCCTTTCTTAGATTTTCTAGAGTCTAATTCTCTTCCTCTCTCTGGATATAAGTTCCCAATGGTGCTACATAGTTTTTGTTGGGGGGAGTTTCTGTAGGGCCTTCCATGGCAAATGGAAAGAGGTTTTCATCTACTTCCGTTGCGGCAAGGTAAAGTTCTTCAGATTCTAGGCGTAACTCATACAGTGCTGTTTCCTGTAGTGTAAAGAGGGAGTATGAATGATTTCAATATACTTTTGCTTCAGCAGGGAAATAAACAATGTAATTAATAGAAGAAATAGATACAGGAAGCAGGTGATATCTGTAGTGATTTGTCCTTCTTAATCACGGAGAGCCAAAATTTGAAAAAAATTATGAATACGTTCTGAATTATATTTTCAAATGTGTGATATCGAAGATTTTGAATTTAACGGAGAAATCGGCTAAACCGAGTGTAACTTGATAACAATTTAATTAATAAAATATTTTTTTGTCTCCGGCCATGAGATGGCAAATTCCTAAACTGACAAGTCAGATGGAAATACTCTAAATTCCTCTTAAGATCAATTTACTATATCGAGTACACCAATTTCATGGATGTAGGATGTTTTTAATTTCTGTATGATTTCTCAGAGCATAAATAATTGTTATTTTTGCACTCTAGTGATACTATCTGTGACTCTCCTGCAGAAAGATAAGTACACTACCTGAGATTCCTTGAGAATGAGAAGTTTTTCATCTTCTTTCTTTTTACGATTTGTTACAAACTTACTCCATTCTTTTTGTAATAATATTCTTCGCTCCAATTCTTCTGCAGTGAGCGGCTCAAGAGATCTTTGCCTAAACAACAGCATACCATTGAAATCTGTAGCTCAAATTAGAGGTAATGAAAAAATCGTCATTATAATGACGCTCAGTGGAGGCACATTGTGCTAAGAGTTAGATTCACCTTCAATCACTCCTACCATATCTCCCTCATTATGGCTTCTTTCTCCATCAAGTCCATACATCTGAAACAAAGAACTGACTAACTAATACCATACCTGATATGGACTGGTAACCAAACGAAAGGGTTCGCCATATGATTAAGTCATGTTATCGGAGTTCCTCTCCCTGGGATAAAATGTGTGAAATATTCAAATATTGTTATCATTAACTTTATTGTAATTTTACATACAGCATGAAACCAGTCAGTTCATATACAAAAAATAGTGTTACCGTAGTTCTGTTTTCCATGAATATTTAATTTGAAAGTCCTGAACTGGTTTTTGTTGGAGAGGCATTTTTTCAAGTTTCAAAATAACACGTCTTTTTCTTGTTATTTGACTCTGTCTCATTTCGGAAGATGCGCTGATCCCTGATCGCCCTTGAAAGCCAGCATTTGCCATACATGATGTTGATATAAATTTTTTTGAAATATTTGTATAGCAAGTGGTTTCAGATGCTTCACGAAGGAAACGCCCCCATAAACTCATTGTTATAAACAACTAAATTGCATACTATAGAATACAAAAACATACCGTATTAGCAGTTTTGTGTGAAAATAATTCCATAAAGCAGCTAAACCTCTCTAGTTCAATCCTTTTATTGCAGTTAGCAGAACATGTAGAAAAGAAAAAAAACCTGCCACTAATGTGAGATTTGAGAAAAACACCCCCGCTTTGTTTTAAAATAACAATTTAGGTAATAATCCAGTTGGGGCTAGGGTTAGGAATAATTTGAATTTCCAGCGCAATTTGCATTCCTAACCCAAACTGGATAATTAAAAAAATTTTCATTTTAAACATTGGCAGGGATGTTTTTTTTGGTGGGGGCTTTGTACGAAAGATCCAAGAAATATTTTATTATAAATTTAATCAAAAAGTCATTCTAGAATAGATTGTTCCATATGCTTGTACATATGTACAAATCTGTAAATTTTTACTAATTATCAAGTATTTCAAATATTGAATACAAATATTTTGAATCAATTTGATTCATTTTGGACATCCCTGAGAATTCATTTTTATTGGCACTTCGGATCAACTCAAAAATTCTTTTAAATTTATTGTAAAACAATTTCAAATTGCTTGTTTAAACATTTCCCTTACATATGCAAAGATACCACCACAACCATAATAACATGCTAAATTGAAAACTTCGAAAGATTTTCCACTGCAACATAGGCACTTCTATTTGTTCATACTCTGTTGGAGCTTATGCCGACAGGTTTACAAACCTTTTAATGGCAAGGTGTCAGATTAGTACTATATTAGGCAGAAACCAATAATAATCCTTATCCAAGATTTTTATTAAGATGCATCAGCAATAGGATTAGCATGAATTGTTACTCTTTGTATCCTAACATCAGTCATGGGTCTGTATGTTTTCTCTTCCACAGGAAGTTTTTCAAGGTCGTCCAGAACCTCAAGTCCGTCAATAATACGACCTATGATTGTGTATTTTGTGTCTAAATGTGGTTGTTTTCCATATGTAATAAAAAATTGTGATCCATTCGTATTTGGTCCACTATTTGCCATTGAAATTACACCACGGCTGTTATGTCTTAATGATTCGCAAATTTCATCTTCATATTTTCTATTCCATATACTTGTCCCACCTTTCCCTGTACCTGTGGGATCGCCAGTCTGTATCATAAATCCTTTTATATTACGATGAAACAAAGACGAATCATAATAGTTACTGGCACATAAGGCTAGGAAATTTTCACATGACTTCGGTGCTTGTTCGCAATGAAGTTCAACTTTTATATCCCCAAGATCTGTGTGCAACGTCACTGACATTATTTTTTATAAGTTTTTGTAATCAATTTCAACTGCAAAAAGCATAAAGAACTAGTTAAAAGTTGAATGTCATGAATTGAATGCAGTAATTGGCTTTATATCCCCCATTGAGATAAATATATAATCTTATTCCTAACTGCAGAACTGAGTCAACTGGAAATGTATACATCAAAATTAATCTTTCAGTATATAATTTAAAAATGCATATCTATATCTTGTAAACTATTTCTATTTAATTCTATAGTGATACTTCGGGTCTAGTATAGTTTAGTACCACAGGTACTTCCAGTGGGCGTAGCATAACGAATTTTGCATATGTTATTCCTAACCCCCACCTGACTATGCCATCCAAAAATTATATCACTACGACGTCGCCATCACGTCATAGATCTTGCCAAAGTATAATTACGTTCGCCCGAAATGACATCTGCGCCGCCGATAACGAACTCGCTAAAGCCGGCGATCTCTCTCCTATCGTGATCGTTGTGACGAGAAAACGAGAGAGATAGCTTGCTCGATTTCGGGTGCTCGTCTGCGCGTTTTGGACGACCATTCGCATACTTTGGTGGGCATTATTACGCCACTGTGACGTCGAAATGACGTCATTTTTGGGTGACGTAGTCAGGTGAGGGTTAGGATTGACATATGCAAAAATTGTTGAGCCAGGCCAACTAGAAGTGCATGTGGTACTAAACTATACCAGACCCGATACTTCGATATTCAAATCAATGAAACCATACTATTATATATAATTGCCATCAATTGTATATAATTGATTATTGCGCAACATATTTTCGGAAACAGCACTGAATCTTCCCTTGGCATTTAGAAGCTATCTGATATAACTTTGGCCCACAATTGAAATGTGTTTTTTTTTCAAAATATTTTCTCTACCTCACCTAAAATTGAATATAGTTGAAAAATATAAAATGCTCATAACTACTATGATTCATCCCAGTACTGCAAGTATATCGAATACAAGATTTAGTCCTTTAGAGTTTTCACATTATCTCGTTAAAACATTTTTCTGAAGAATCAGTTCAAATGATATTTGAAAATATTGTATTTCAAAATTTGAGCAGTCAAAATAACTACCGTAAGCATATTAGTATCAGGACCATTCAAAACAAATCACTGTAAACATTTTTTGGGGAAAATTTGATCAAAACGATTGAAATAGAATCATCGCTATTTAACTTATACTTTATTACTGTGAACACACACTGACACAAACATATAACCAACCAAGGCGTGTATTTCAAAAGAGTTTGTAAATATGAAAATACTCCTAGTTCCAACCCAGTGTTCTCGATTATGAATCAGCAATCAACAAGTAGAGACATTACGGTAGGCCCAGAACAAGAGTTTTTGGGTAGTATAACGTCGATTAATTATAAGTACCGTATGTGATATAAGTAAACTGTTCAAAATTTTAATCATTCCTGCTTGCATTAAATGAGCTAACTCAACCACGACAATATTCACGCTATTAACTACCGCCAATCGTGAAAGAAGATGAAAACCAACCGGCCTACTGGAGATTACCTCCTATAGTGGTGGTAGCATAAAAGTCATATTGGGGATGGCAGAATAGGGATGGCAAAATACGGTCGAAAGGTGGCAGATTAGGGATGGCAGAATAGGGTCGAAAAGTCAAATTGGGGATGGCGAAATGCGGTCGAAGCGTGGCAGATTAGGGATGGCAAAATGCGGTCGAATGGTGGCAGATTAGGGATGGCAAAATGCGGTCGAAGCGTGGTGGCAGATTAGGGAATGCAAAATGCGGTCGAAGCGTGGTGGCAGATTAGGGGTGGCAAAATGCGGTCGAATTGTGGTGGCAGATTAGGGATGGCGACGTTTGAGAAAGTGAAGGGCATGGTGTCAGTGTTACCGTACCGTACAGGGGGATGAAACTAGTCTAGAAAGCCACGCCCACATTAATAAAACAAACAAAGTTATTCGCGTTTCGCGTTTCTGCAGCTTCACGCTCAATTGCGATCACTTGATTTGCGCGGAGCTTAGTGAAGACGGTGGTATGTGCACAAAATGTCTCGCTGTATATTTTTAGCTCAGCAGCCTATGGGCCTAGTATTTCATTAAGTTGGTTCAATACTTTAATCAAATGCTGGTTGTCCATCTTAAGCTCGGTCTCTTTAGTTCATTTCAAGATAGATTAGATTTACTTTTCGGCTTCAACTGGTATTTCCCCCTCAAGACAACTCAGGTACGGTACGGTAACTTGGCGTTCAATGAAACACCTCAATACTGCAATATTCTACCCGATTATCGTAACCTAGGGCCTAGGCTACTTTATTTCTTATGTTCTGTGAGTCCGGTACTGGGTTACGATCTTTTTAGTTACACACCATTCTAGGAGATATAATTCTACTATTACAACTTACGACTAACATACCAGCACTATAGTCTGATAGTAGGGGAAAGTGGGGAAGGTTGGGACACTTTTTTTCTTTTGCATCTTTTGACCCCTATAACCAGCACATTCATTTGACATTGCAGTACTAATGCAAAGAGGGGTAAATGTACTTCTTATTCATTGACTAAGAAATACCCGAGCCACACTAGTTTCACCCCCAAAACGCTTCAAAAAACGTTTGTCAAGTGTCCCACTGCACCCCACTAGTGGGGCACATTAGGACACACCCTGGTGCACAGTGGGAAAGTTTATTAAACTCAACGAAATATGCAAATAAAAATAAGCAACGAATGAGCATCATCATTTAATTAACTGTGGGCCTATTTTTAAAATCAATGTTCAACCAAAACACTTATTTCAAAAAATTGTTGAATGAACTTTTCCGGGCAACACTTATCAAAACACTCTGCTATTGTGAATTATACTAATAATAAATTTGTATTTGTATTATTAAATCTGAAATAACTTCAATGTTTAAGTTTTGGATTATGCCAAATTGAAAATGAGTTCCATAACTTTCTTGACAATACCAGTTTGTAGTGAAGGTCACAAATATCAAATACTGTTCTTTAGAAGAACAGAACAAAAAACTAAAGTTCAATCACCAAAATGTTCACTAGGTTCAACCAACAACGAAACAAACAAACATGTAAAAACTTAAACAACGAAACTAGCAGATATATTTACAATTGAAATCCTATTCCAGCTGAAGGTAAATTATTTCTCATTCGAATAAACTTTAAAAACTCTCCATTTTTGAATTGGTAATATATTCTGAATTAGGCTATGTTTATTAAGGTGCAAAAGTAGCTTGTATTTTTTCAGATTCAAATTTTTCTTTTATAATTGATAAAGCTGCTTAAATGTCAACTGTCTTCTGTTGTATAATTTAACCAATGTTCAAGTGTAACTTATGCTTTGACATTTTTAATACCAATAAAAATTTTGTGCTCAAAATGTAGTTGGGGATATTCTATCGAATATTATGAATTTAAAAGTGTTCCAATCTTATTCGACATCCCCAAGTGGCACAAAATTTACTGAACATTCCACTTAGACATATCTATGCCGAAGCGATAGTGCTTTGAGGCCCTTGCTGTTCCCCCAACCTGACTTGGAATGGGGAGGATACACACAACATCACCGACCGCTACACTTGCCAAATCCTCATCATCAGGAAATACGAATGCTGGCCTTGTTACTTTTGAAAGGATTTTTTGCATGAAAGTTACATCCAAATCGTTATCATCATCAATATCAATCACTTTTCCAACATAGTAAACTTCGTCACCCAAGCGATTGGCCTTGAATTTTACCAAGACGTAATCACCCACACTTGGATTCACTGCCTCTTCTTCATCATCACTGCTTGAGTTTTCAATCAGTGGAGTGGGCAAATATTCAATCGACAGCCTCCTATTGGAAGCACATTGGTGAGGACCTGTTTTACTAAGTTTAGCAATTATCGCATCTTTTTCAGGCGTATCTGTGAGGATGCGTGTTTTTGCCCCTCTATTAGATCGCTTTTTCTTTCTTGGTCCTGCTTTCTTGAAAGGTCGCAGATCTTTCGGAGATAAATATCCACCTTGTGCACTCGTTGTTGGCAAATCTGCATCACTGGGAGAAGCTGGAGACAGCTCAAAACCTTTATCTGCTTGTGCTACATCATCACTGCCAGAAAAATCCTGCTGGAATGTCTCTGGCCGATCCGTCACATATGAACAGAGGAAATCTTCATCTTTAAAAACATTTTTGTTGAGAGGGAAAATCCCACATGATAAAAATCCAGACACAATGTTCGCAGGAGTGAACGCTTTACCATATGCTAAGGAGGCTATACCTGGAATATCATATATAGAAATTGTTTGACCGGGATGTGCACCAAGCCAGGAGTCAACACCAGTATTATAGTACGCTTTTAGAGGCCCATATACTGTCTTATCCAGAGGCTGAAGTTTTTGGCTACAGTGTGGAGGCAAAGTGAGCAAAACTATTCCATTCTGTTTAGAAAATTCTACAGATTCGATTGAAATGTGACTGTTGTGGTTGTCCATGAGAAGCAGGACAGGATTGGATTTTGAGCAATTCGAATGTGTAAGAAAATGCTTCAGCCAGCCTAGAAAAATTGTGCTATTGACCCAGCCTGTCTTGTATGCAAAACCCACTGACCCAGTCGGAGCCCCTATCATCATATGTGATTTAAAATTAACCCTGGGAAAAATAAATGCGGGTGGAACAGAGTTCCCAATGGCATTGATACAGCCAATCATGGTCACGAGCGTTCCTCTTTCTGCAGATGTCACTTGACCCACTTGTTTCCGGCCCTTTTCTGCAATAACTCTGCAGGGTTTCTGCACTGTTGTAAGGCCTGTTTCATCTACATTAAAAATACGCTCAGCTGGGAATGCATGCCTTTTCATGACTGTTTCGAGATTTTCAAAAAAATCGTCAACATTTTTTCTATTAAAACTTGTTGCCCTAGAAAGACTTGTAGACTCAGGTTGGCGAAGCGTTAGCTTGGTACGCCTTGTCAAAAAACCTCTAAGCCAATCAGGCCCTGCTCTCGTATTTCCTTCTCTAACCCATGATGCAGGGACCCTTTTACCATTTCTGACCGCGAATTGCCAAGCTAGCTCCAGAACATCTTTCCTGGCCAATCCGTAATGATGCCTCGACGCCTCAATCAAATATTCCTCCAATTCTTCTTCTTCACAATCTGTAAA